TTTGGATTACGCCATGCAAAGATTTTAAAAAAGAATTTTTTTTATTTTATTTATTTTTATAAGGATTTTGCGTGACGGAGTTTATTGTTTTGTCACTTAAAGTCACTTTGTGCAACGAAAGACAATTCGTCGTGTAAAGTCGCTTTGAGCGACGAATTGTTTTTCGTCGAGCAAAGTGACTTTGCGCGATGAATAGTTTTTCGTCGAGCAAAGTGACTTTGTGTGACGAAAAACATTTCGTCGCACAAGGTTTTGAGCGACGAAGTTTTGTGTTTCGTCGCGCAAAGTAACTTTGAGTGATGAATAATTTTTCATCGCGCAAAATTTGGTCACGCAAGGGTGATTTTTTACTAGTGAACCCTAATTGTAGAACCACATTGCAAAAAATTGGAAAGATTGGGGTACCTAATTGTTAAAATTGAGAGAACATAAACAAACATGTCTTACAAGTAAAACCACATAATACCAAACTGGAATTTGACCTTTTCTCTTCTCTAACGAAGAAAATAAAGTTTAGGATATTACAAATGAAAAGATTATCAAAAGATCACTAGATTTTTTTATTGTTTTATTTTTGTATGAAGGGGTAAAAGTTAGTATTTCCATTGGGTCTGAATAGAAGCAAGCACTCATCGACAAAATTATTATAGCAGAGAGAGCTTCCCCAGTAAAGCCAATGCTATATATGTGGTTAATTTTAAAGTGACACGGCATAACCTTAAAATAGTTTGTAGTTACTCTTTCCTACGAATCATGCATGAGAGGTTGTTGTTGTCGAAATAATTAAGCTTGACTTGAAATTCAAAAGAGCCAACAAATTACGTTGTTTTCTTCTAGCTAGTAAGCAAATTACAATATAGTACCCCCCAAGGGTTTGAACAGTCAAAAATAAGATGATCCATTCCTTTCCTGTGGGGTCTGTCGGCAGTACCATAAAGTCCAGCTGTAAATATGGCTTCATAAAAACTGTGGAAATATATAGGTTAATTTGCTCATTTTGTGAAGAATAATTTGAAAATTCAGAAATACTAATGTACAGTGTGTGAAATTTCAACGACAAAATTATGGTCCCGACTTGAAAACTTTGGTATTGCAATAGAAATCTAATGATACCATGATGATAAGTCTTTGTAACATAATTTGAGATACACTTTATGTAGACGACAACCAAGATCGTCATATCAAATATGGATCACAAGTTCACAACCCAGAAAGGTTACTTGTCGTGGGTGCTATTCTATTTTCCCAATTTATGCCATTGATTTGCTCCAATATTATAACTGAATGCCTCCCTGCTGGGCTTGATCTACTATAGCTTGCAAGTCTTTATTTGATGCGTGTATCACTTATTATATACGGTATTGTGTCGTTTTTGGGTATATTTCTTTGTGCCACCTGCCACGTGATGCGTGTTGTATACATAACGAGATATAAGGGGATACGCCTCCTATTTGTAAGACAGATTCTCTCCAATTTCCAAATCATGGGCAATGCTACAAGGACGGACTTAGTTTGTGTTCCATTGACAGTCAGTTACTTCCTCCTTAGTGAGCAATTTTTGATCTTTGATGCGAGCGTTTATAATGAATTAATGGTTAGAATTTACCTTCATATGTAAGTAACTCACCGTGTAACATTCTTCGCATTTTCCATTATATGCAAGAACTTGACTAACTTTTTGCGATTTGTTTGCTTCGAGGATTAGAGAATTGGCAGCATCAGTCAATGACTTACCTAGAAACATTTTTGTGCATTTCCAATCATTATCGCCTATGAAAACAATGTCAATATTCGTTATCGGTTCCTATCATTAATGGATGCATGAACCTCTTCACTTCATATGTAGATCAACCGGATGGTAAACGTTTTTTCTTTTCTTTTTGTTTATTTTTTTTTAATGGTACAAGTTTGGTGCAGACACTGGTGGCCCTGCCCTAAGTCTCCTTCCATGATTTCTTCACTTTATTTTATGAGTTATTAGATGTTGTAGTTCGCAAGGCTATACCAATATATCATCAATTGGTCGTTTCTGCATGTTTTGATAGTTTTTGTTAGTCGGATATTTCTTTCGTATAAATTAAACTAAAGTTACTTTTTCCTTCTAATTATAGGGTGATATCCGCCACTTTCCTGAAATTATGCGCCAGATGGAGAAAATGATCTTGATGTATAGACTCAAGTATATGTAAGAGCTGTTATAGCTAGGGTTTGGATTTGAAATATTTAGTGGAACAGTGGGGACCAAATGAGGGCAAACAGTACACATCAGTACGTTTGACATATACTGGTGAATAGTCACGTCATAGAGATAAAGGTCTTTGTAAGTTTTCTTAATAATGTTATATCATTTAAACTTGTCGTCACATGTTGGACATATATAATAATGTTATACTAATTAAACGCGTTGTTATACCCATCTTAAGTAACAAAATAACACTTTTTGATGAAAGGTTTCCATATTTAGACGGAAGGAAAACCTAATGTAATGCGTCGTTATACCCATTTTAAGTAACAAACCATATTTTTCGATGAAAAATTTCCTTCTTCAAACAGAAGGAAAACCTAATATAATGCGTCGTTATACCCATTTTAAATAACAAAACAATATTTTTTGATGAAACGTTTCCTTCTTCAAACCGAATGAAAACCTAATGTAACTCTTAATACTGTTTCTGTAGCAGATAGCAGCAGTTATAGTCTCCACAAAAGGATGGGCAGGCTGCTACCCCTGCCACGGAAGTACAAAACATGAAATAGCCATGGAAGCCATTTTGGTTATCGGTTATTTTGCTTTTTAATATAAACGATGTTAAGAAAGCGGAGAATCGAATATAAAACAAATAAAATATACGGTCACATCATAAATAAAATATAATGTAAGATATTTTATTCAAGGATAGAATCATGAAATTTTTTATAGATGGACTAGCTTAAATTCTAATTATTTTATTTTTTATTACCAATTTCCAATAAACTTTTACATAAAACAAATATGATTGCTAATGAGTTGATTGCTATTAGTCATTCAAAGCATGTCCTAATTTAGGTTTAACAACAAACCATGCGCTAGCATTCCTTGTAAAAATTCCATCTATAAGTCGTGAAGGAAGTCCTAAAAATCTGGAAATTCACAACAAACCAGCCCATTTCAACATGAGGGCATTATTGGAAAAATGAAAACAATAAACCACGGAAGCGAAGTTTGGTGGAATGTGAATTTTGTATTAATTGATGACATGAAAATGCAATCAATGGATTCCAATCAGACCACCATAGCAATGGGTTATCCTGGAAACACTACCTGAGCTATAACCCCGGCCACTATGAGATTTTAGGGGTGTTGTGCCAAAACAACAAGAGGATCTCCTAAAATAAAGTCTTCAATGAAAATTTATAAATAAAAAAAATCGAACTATATACAATCAAAATCTTGTGATCATCAAATTACTAATTATCAATAACCAACAATATATATATATAATATACAAAGTATAGGAAAAACAAAATCTGAGAATTTGAGAGGGAGAGAGTTGAACAGTTGAAGGCTGAAGCTTGAAAAAAAATTAAGATACATGCGGCTTGAAAAAAAAAATTTGCATACAAAGTTGTATGTTGGAGGTCTCTTATATTGGGTAGCATGAAAATCAATATTAAATAGGAATAGGAAAATCAACATTAATATATACCAATATGATAAAGGGATATTTGTAAAAATGTCACATGAACTTATATATCAGTTTTAATTTGTCACCTTAAAGAAAAATTTAAGAGAATTGAGAGGGTGGGGGCTGGGGGCTGGGGCTGTGGGTGAGGTGAGGATGGGGTGGTTAGGTCGTGGGTGAGATAAAAACAGAGTGACGGGGGAAGGGGTTGGGGGAGGAGAGGAAGAGAAAGGCTTTTTTTTTCCTTCAAAATATAAAGACTAAAATATCCGTAATAATGGATGAAAATTTGAATGGTATTAATCCAGATGATAAATTATAGATTTTGAAAAATTCAAGTGACATTTCTCTTAAATTTTTCTTTAGGGTGACAAATTGAAACTAATGTATAAATTCATGTGATATTTTTACAAAAATCCCTATAATAAACTCACATCACTAAAATAATATTTATTATGAGGCCTTATACCCTCGCTCATTTTGCTCACGCCGAATGCCATCCTTAATTAACCCACTATAGTCTTGTATGTGGTTCCGCCGTTGATTTTACTATGCTTATATGATTTATTGTATATGTAATAGGTTCCATGTAAGTGTAGCACTAAAATGGGGAGAGAGAGAGAGAGATTTGAAATTTCATATGATTCTCATGCTCTTATATCTTATCTTTATTGGTAAAGGGTGGTCGCTTTTGCTAACCCCCTTCATTGGTACGTACGTTAGGTGAAGCTGTGAAATAACCAATTATATATATACAATTATTCTCTTATTTGGATGTCTGTATGTTATTATCGGGCAGATGTCATTGTAAACAAGCAAGAAAACAAGAAGATGTAGTATAAAATATATGACGTCCGCACGATAATAACGTCCGAATCTCCGCATATGATAATTTCTGCATATGTATATATGTCTTCATTTATATAACGTTGATATTATATGATCAATTTTCCAGGACACCAAATATACGATCAAAAGTCAGCACAATGCTATCATTGATTCGCCAAGCTTATCAATACAGTTAACAGAAAAGGATGAGAGCATAATTACAAGTTAGAATTTAAGAGCATGCATGTGACAGCTCTCAACAAATTTCTAACTTTAATGGAAAGACATGTTTATTTAAGAAAAAGATAATGGTTGACAATGCCACACTATCTCAATTACCACCTAATTTATTTAATCCTTTTATTTATTTATTTTTTATTATTGGTCACAAGTATATATTATTCTCATGTAAACATATACGTACTACAAGCCCTACACGTACTTCTTAATTAAGCATTAAGAGCTACTATTGTATTATGTATAGAATATATGTCGGTCCAAGTGCTTCCCTTATACCGACAAGTGGCACAGTGGGTCTGACGACGACGGCGATGAAGGCGATTTGGTGAAGTTCCAAAGATCATTCTCGTTGCTGTAGACTTCAGATTGGTGATGGGATCTACTTGTACGTAGGTATGGATATGATAGTTGTACGTCATGGTCATGATCATGATCATGTGGAGGAGAAGAACAAAAGGCCATGTTTGGATCACCAAAGCATGACAGGTTGTGCTTTGATGTCTCTTGATCTTGGCCGTTGAGTTGACCCAGCTGAGATGCCACAAGGCGGTCAAGGGTAGCCCAGTCATTTAGCCTGGTTTTGGGGTACTCATCATGATCTTCAACTGGGTCATTATTGTCACAACCATTACTTGGTTGGTTTGTTGAAGGAGTGTCTATGAGCATCTCATCAATGGCCTGGTAGCAAGCTTTGAAGCTACGGTCCTGATCAAAAGTTGGAAGGGTTGGGCTCTCGAGCCTTGGGAGATGCATAAATCTTTCTGATAAGTTATTCAAGGATTGGTCATGGTTTTCGAGCTTGCAAGTCCTTCCCATGTACATGAGTATCTGATCAAGCACCCCATCGTTTCTGGAACTGTGTATTTGGTTGCTTGATGATTCCATGGAGAAGGAGGCTTTAGGGCTCTCTAAGGCTTTCTGATAATTCTTCTTCTTGAATACTCGGCATACCACCCACCCATCTTCGGCCATTGACTCGGCCATTGAATTACAAACCTGTATATATATATATATATATATATATGCACATATAGCAATATATGAATGAGTATATCAAGTTTGAATAGATGGAAGTATGTATATCCGGAGAATTAATGGCTTACGGTGTTGTCATGGGTGTTGCTTTCATCAAGCCTATATTCATGCATGATCCAATCCGACTTTTGCCCATGAGGAGCTCTTCCCTTGTAAAACACAAGCGTCTTTCTCAACCCAATTCTTCTAAAGCCGCTGTAGATGATCTTGTCCCGCCCTGTGGCCTTCCAAAACCCGGCAGCCGTTGCCCGATTGGTTCGAGTTCCGGTCGGGTACTTCTTGTCTTTGTGACTGAAAAAGTACCAATCGTTTTGTGGGGTGGAACCTATCTTGCACTTCTCTGCATCATGTCAGAAAAATTTATTAACAAACCAACCACCATGAATTGTGACTGCGTATATATGAATTCAAGTTGATGAAGAGTTAATGCGTACCTTGAATATCCCATGGCTCAAGCTTATTGAGATCAACTTCTCGAATCACATCAAGATCAATCCTCTCAAAGGCCACTTTCTTCCTCAGATAGTAATGGAGAAGCTCCTCCTCAGTCGGATGGAACCGAAAGCCCGGAGGAACTTGAGACTGGCCGTTTATTGATAGATTCATATGATCCTCAGCCATTATAACAAAGAAAAACCAAAAAGAAAAAAGAAAACTTCTTGGCGGTGAGAGAATGGAATTGAAGGAGCTAGAACAAACAAGGAGAGAGGGGTTTTGATATCGTAAAGGGTACCACAGTCATAATTTATAATGGGAGTAGGGCATGGAAGGGTCCAAAAATGCATGAAAAGCTTAGGTATCATGGCTATTAGTGTACTTAGAGTGGGGTCCATCCCTTGAAGAAGAGCCAACCACCTAAACTGTAGGGACTAGAGAGAGAGAGAGAGAGAGAGAGAGAAGGGTCGTGGGCCATGCTAATATAGGTAGTAAAATGGGGTTCACATGAAAAAAAAAAGAAGAAAAAAAGCGTTAGAGAGGCAACAATATTATTGTGAAGTCAGTGTGTGCGGAGGGGACGCCCACATCTCAACTATGACCCTCGACCTTAATATCTATTTGAAAAGCACCTCCAAAACCACCACTATTCTATCCTCAAGAGAATCTCTCTCTCTCTCTCTCTCTGAATACATGTCACTCGTTTTACTTGTGCAACCACCCTCAACGACAAGAAGGGCAAGAGAGAGACAGAGATGATGGGGTCTGGAGGCACTGAGCTTTCATATGGTCCCTCAACAGAAAAAAGACATGATGACCTTTTGTGGGAGAGATTTAATTAATTGTGAAATATATACATATATTTGGTTTGTGTAATGTGGATCTCCCATATGCTATTTCTCTCGGTTGATCACATTATTACTTTGCACTAATTAAACATTGCATGTCACCAACTGTGAGGCTAGGATAAGCTATGCTAGCTAGGCTCCACATAAACCTAATGATTTATTTCTAATTTTGACAGTGCGATATTTTAAACTACTTTAATGTACGAAGAGTTGGATTGAAATTAGGTGCAAGGGAACAAACACACTGTATTGACCAATTAGTCTAATCAGGTGAATTATATGGAAGAGAGTACACTATATTATAACCCTCCGTTTGGATGACAAAATTGAAAATTACATAAAATTCTAAAATGACGGAATTTCGATTTTCATCATTTCAATTTCTGTCAATTGAATATTTCGATATTTGGATTTATGTATGTCGAATTTTGTAAATGACACTATGAAAATTATGAAATAACACATATATTGATGGAAATTAAACTCAGGAATTTGATGCTACATTTTCCATGATTTTTGCAACACGTCATTTAATAAATTCCACACTTAACTTTGCCAAATAAGGGAATTGTCAATTTCTCCTCTTAAATTCCCAAATTTTAGCTAAATTTTGAGTTTTTTTCCCTCATCCAAACGAAGGGTAAATGTTCATCCTAAAGAGGGACAATATTAAATAATCAAAGTATAATTTAGGCTTAAATGTAAAAATGGTCCTTGTGTTTTACTCATTTGGTCAATTTAGTCCCTATGTTTTTAATTTGGCTAATTTAACCCCTATGTTTTACTCCATTAGCCAATATTGTCCATTCTGCCAAATTACCGATAAAAAATTATTAAGTTCAGTTTACAATATAAAAAATAAAAATAAAAATAAGAAGAAGAAAAAAATCAGGAAACCCAATCTTCTTCTCTCATTCCACCACCACCACCCAACCCCGACCCCAATAAGCAGCCCTAGCCACCACCCCATTCTCTCTCTCTCTCTCTCTCACATCCCACCCATGCCCACAACTCCTCCATCTCTCTTTCGTCTCCCTTCCCTGCTCGATTATTTTTGTACATTTTCTTTTTGATATATTAATCATTATGGTGTTAAAACTGATCTTTTATTTTTAAATTAAAATTTTATGTTTCTTAATAATTAAGAGATTTTTTATTAGTTTAAATAATATTTAGAAATTCTTTCACCATCGGCATTCATTATTGCACGTTGCACTCCTTCACTATTTAATGGCTTTACAACAACTCTTTTTTGATACATGGGTTATGCGGCCAAGAAAACCGAGGCGGGGAGAGAGAGAGAGAGAGAGAGAGAGAGAGAGTGGGTGGTGACTGGTACTGCTGATGGTGTTTATGGTGGTGGTGGTGACGGCATGGGAGAAGAAGATGACATAGACGTTGTTGGGTTTCCAGATTTTTTATTTATATTTTGTTATTTTATTTGTAAACCAAACTTAATAAAAAATTTATTAATTTTTTGAAGGGTAGTTTGATGAAATGAACAATATTGGCTAACGAAATAAAACACAAGGACCTAATTGACCAAATTGAAAACACGGGAACTAAATTGGCCAAATAAATATAATACATGCTCTCTTTTTTTTCTATTTTTTTGTCGAAATCGAGTTTCATTAAATAGAAGGTCGAAGCCAGATTACATCAAAATAAACTCAAATAATTAAGTTCACGCAAAATGTAATACAAACGGACATAGAGCCCACTATAAATAAAACTAACAAAATGCATAAAACACACTATAAATAAATATAACACATGCTTATAATGTATAAACAAACGGTACAATTGAATGAGTGCAGTACGTGCTATATAAGGAATTTTGGGGTGAGATTATATGATCGTGGAAGATGGCCATGTGACCTATTGTTGAACTACTGCATGGGGTAGGTTATATCCATATTAATGGTGATCGGCCTTTTGCGTTTTCCTTTCTTGGACTTGGCTTGAAATTTAATTTCCTTCCAAGAATTCTGTACATGTAACTGATGAATCTTTTCACACGTGGTCTAATAGTTCCACAATTGAACAAGAAACAAAAGACCATGTCCTAATTAATGTGACCCCTCACAGATTTGATCAAATTCCCTCTTCATATATATATTTTGTTTTTTTCCCTCGGTATGTTGTTCTGTTACAATAGAAAGGAATTGAAACGATTGATCTAGTCTAATTATTTTTCCATATATTATCCCGTCTCTTTATTTATTTATTTATTTATTATATACAAGTATATATTAGGAGAGAAGGACATCGAACTTTAGGACCTTTGGTACAAGGGTAAATACTCTTAACTACTTAAGTTACAAACTCTTTACCCGTCACATTCATACTGAGCAACACTAGTGGGATAAAACATACAAGTGGATTATGCTCGTTTCTTACGGATTATGCTCGTTTCTTACAGATTAAACATAACACGTCATCTCAAAATGAAAGGCCAATGTTAAAGAAAAAATGAAAGCCTAATGTCAATGACCTTTCCTATACCAACGTATACGGGACGTCATATAGCATATTCAAAGGTTGTTAGAAGACCTCAAATCAAACTTAACTTAGGACAAAAATCAGTGCTCAAGTTCATGTTTACGTTCATGCATTGTCTTCATATACGAGTGAAGTGATATGTCCAGTTTGACACGTATTAATATTTGCCAAAGCTTGTGGAAGGTTTTTCCAAGAAACAGTTTCCCATATTACAATTGTTCCAAACTCGTGTGAGAGTTAAGAAAGAAAAGGAAAAAATAAAAAATAATAAAATAATAAAAAAGGAAGAAGAAGAAGAAGAAAGCCAACTTGCAAAGTATTTAATTTCCTTATTTCTTAGTTTTTTAGAACAATTTTTAACCCCAACCCATCGATCTCCATTGGACAAGTTCCAAGAATATACGTACATCTGCTGACAAAGGTATAATACTAGAGACAGCTAGCTTTAGATCGGGGGTTTTCTCCTGGATCTCTTCGGATCTTCGGTTTTTGGTGGACTTATGTCGATCTACTGTTTCTTTGACAGATCTATTGTCTTAAATATGGGCTGGCTTTGGTTGTGCCTCATCTTGCAAGAATGCTCTTCGAGGTTGCAGTTTGGTCATGATAGATCCACTGCTCATTGGTGTATTGAGACTCTAGAGTAACTAAGTTGTGCTCTCTATGTCATGTCCCGAAGAAAGATTAGCGGCGATTGATTTTCCTTTTGTCAGCGTTGTTTTAGTTTTTATATTATTTTAGTTTAGTTTGTTCAATAAAGTCCATAAACTCTATGAGTTTTCTGTGTTTTTTCTCTTATTATTCTAGAAACTTAGTTGAGTTTGTTGGGTGTACTTAGTCTCTCTAAGAGAGTCATTTCGGCTAGCGGCTATTTTTTGTCCTTAATGTCATTAGACTAGATTATGGGAAATTATGGTAGTTGAGAGGGGTCAAGAGTGATTCTCTCTAGATCATTTAAGCTCTCCAGAAAAGTATAATACTCAATTTATGCAAACAAAATTATAAATGATGTCATTTGCGGCATAATTTGCGCAATATAGGGTAATTGACTTAGATGACAAAAGAGAGAGAAAGTTAATTATATGAAGACGTCAACATTAAGTGGATGAATCTTGTCCCCATAAGGGGCATTTTTGGCATCACGAACTGACTCTAGTGCATTGCATAAATTCAAAATGTAGTAATATTCATGTTTTATCTAAGTCAATCCACATTTAACTACCTAAGTCACTTAATTAATGATTTGTTTTGAGTATATATACAACAACATACCTTCGGCCACTTACTAAAGACTTTAGTGCGACTCTCTCTCACAGCACCCACACAAATAACGGCACCACTAGCTACCTATATATATATATATATATATATTTACAATATTATTACATAGAAAAGATTTTCTGTTATGAGGGTTTTCATGTGTCTTAGCCATAATCATGAGCCTTGCTCCTCCAAATTCTCTGTGCCTAATCATGGTTTTTTAGAGACTAATTGACTCAGCAACCACCTCTTCACTAACCTGCACTGGACATCTCATCTCTCTCTCTCTCTCTCTCTCTCCTCTCTCTCTCTCTCTCTCTCTCTCTCTCTCTCTCTCTCATCATCTTATTACCCTCATGACTTCATCTTCTTGTACGATATAATATTTCTGATTGATTAATTACCACTATAATATTACATCTCTAATTTAATTAAACTCAAAACCCTTTCTAAAACTGGTTGATTTATTTATGGTGATCTCGAGTGACGTGTATTGTGACAAATCATGAACAAAGATTCGAGTAGCCAGAGAGAGGGACAGACAGAGGATATGGTGTAGGATGATACGTTAAAAACTTCAACATGAATATAATGTAAAAGATGTTGATGGCTGAAGTGTGTGTTATGACGTAATATCATATGTGTATGTTCTCTGACTTTGTCAAGTAAAGTCTTTTCAATGTATAAGTGGTATAATCTAGAAGTTGGTAGACCACTGCTCAAACAATATAACTTTGTATATATAATCTAGGAAAATACTTTTGGTTGTTGGTGAGGAATATATTATTCACCCTTGTAAATTTTCTATTGTTATCAATTGGGATTACATACTTATTATTTACGTGTTGAACCAACGGCCATACGTGTTTCCACGTTACTCATGTAAAAGAAAAAAACTTTCACTTTAGTCGGTCGTCAATTGACATATTAAAGAGAGAATGTTGGGGTACTTTATGCATTTGTCATTGAAATTTGAGGTGCTGAGTTAATCAAACATAAACATGATCGAAACATCCAAGATATTACCAAACACTCTTTCAGAAATCGATTGGAGAATTTCACATTTATCTTAATCTGTTTCCTAGACGAATGTAGGATGTCTTATTTTTATACGCAAAATGTCAAGCTATTCAGACCAAAACAAGATGTCACCTATCTCGTTTTTAAGGTGTTCTCCTTTGATGTTTCAGAAGATAATTTTAATTAATTACATTGTCAAAATAAGAATCTTTGTCGAAACAATTTTAACAAAAAAAATAAGAGGAAAATGACAAATTAAGTGCCCACATATGTGATTATCAAAATTAAAAAAGACAAGTTGACTACAATTGGTCATCAGGCTGTTAGATCTGACCCAGCTCGTGGGCTCGATCAGTAATCCTCAAAATCCAATGTTATTACTTGCTCTGCAGTATGTCAATTGTCATGCACCAAATCTTTACTTAATTATCAATATACGACGGCTATAGCGAATGTGCTTCCTGTGTTACAGTCGATTTTGAAATCTCTAATTATATAGTTTAGATTAGATTAAAATATAATATTATTTATAAAGGCCAAGTGGAAATATCTCGATTATTCACAAAAGCTTGGCTCACTTTCACGGTACAACCTGAGACAACGAACTGAACTATAATCAGTTTTGGGTTGATTCAATTATATTACTAGTTTGAGATTTAAACCGAACCAAACGAAATCACGACGTGAAATTGGGTTAGTGTCCGGTTTTAAGGTGGAATGACAAACCGGACTCCCACCCCTTGTTTCGCATTGCTCCATTAATTATGTCCATAATCACACTTTAGCCAGCAGAGGCAAAGGTTTATAATAAGGCCCACTGTACCAACTAAAAGCGTGAATGAATTAAAATTAGTTAACCACAAGAAGATCCAATTGAATTTCTTGAAGCTTTCTGAACTTGATGAAAGAGTGATATATATCATCTCTCTGCCGTCTCAGCGGAATCTTTCTAAAGCAGCTTTCCGCAAAATTAAAGCGTACAGCTATGTCGTCTTGGACAATTATTAGTGAATGATTCATATGAATACTAATGGAGAGTAAGCTCCCCTTAAAAAGGTAGGTATAACAGCCTGGTGAAGAACATATCTGCCTTGGAAATTAAAGATCGATGTCTTTTCCTAGCAATTGTGTTTCCAGAGAGTTCGTAATTATTCACGTGGCATGGGGTTGCTTTGCTTCAAATCTCATGAAATATGTCAATGCGGTAACTTTCATTCCTTTTCTTTTTGAACCTTTTGGACGGAGAGCGTATTACTTCATGGTAAAAGATGGGTAATTAGTCTTCATAAAGTTGATCAGACGGGTAGCTTAACTTTAAGCAAAACCATTTGGATCTGAAATCTTCTTTTCTCATTGCTGATTAATTATATGGATGGCAAAGTTCATTTCTCCATTATGAACTAGCCACAGACCAAACAGCTCGTATTTTAGGGCTACGTGTCATTGTGTCAGTTGTCTTTTCTGTTGGCATCGATCTCCTTTCGTACTGCATGCATCTTTGTGAGAAATATATATATCTATATCAGATTGCAAACTAATCCCAAATCATAGTCTATAGCGACATATCAAACTTTCATGCAATAAGTAGTCAATAATGTATATCAAATTATAACCCTTCCTCATGTGTAGTCTTACATGTGGAGAGATATATAGATGCATACGTAATGCCTAAATTTGCTTGAAATAATTAAAAATATGTGAGAGACAGCGTTGGAGTCAAAATCAAGATTTACGTACTGAATTAATAAGACAATCACTAAACTCCAAAAACATATAAGTTTATAACGAATAATAAGTCATCAATTTATATCAAACTACACAATGTAGCTAGAATCTACTTAATTTATAATTTAGATTTCAACTGACAAGATAAGATACTTGTACTACTAAAAGACTGTAGTATGTGAACATTATTATCCATATGCGGCCTAGCAAGCCTTTAATTCTCCATTGTACAATGAAATTAAACTCCGCATGTTTCGATTTTGTAAGGAAGAAAGAGATCAATCATTTTTAGAAGGCAAATGTGGGACTGACCCATTTCATGACAATGCCATTTCAACTTATTAGGACAAACAGATAACAAGGGGACAGCACCAAAATTGATTCTCATGCTTATTTGTGAAATGTCGCATGCAGTAATTTTTCATTTTTAAAAAAAATAATTTATACAAGCGATATTAGGGCTGAAATCGAACCTAATTAAGATTATGAGTAAATGCTCTTAAACACTTGAGTTACAAGCCCCTTATCAATATCAAAGCTTTAAATAAAAGGTGAATGAACATGTGGAAGTTGTAGATGCGAATAATTAACTTTTTGAAACATAATTCATCAACAAAATCTAGAAAACAATACAACTGCATATGAAACATGATCCGACCCTTTTAGGAATAGAAGAATCCTTGTTTGGGGCCAGCCAAATTTTCTTTCCAATTTCAATTCATGCTTTTTTCTTTTTCATCATGTCATTTCATTCAATAATTTAACTCCAAATTATTTATGTGTGCGTGGGTGTATTGCATTGGACATAAGATTACCTGCACTGCACGCATATTAATCTCTAGTTAAATCCACTCTAACCACGCTGTAATGCAGCTAAATATCGAGGACTACACATATGCATTATTTAATCTCTAGTTATTGATAACATGATGATATGGTCGATGTCAAATAGTTGTCTTGTTAAAGTTGCGATGCTTTTGTTGAAAGGTTATGCATGTCTCCATTCAGTCGTCCCACTACAAACGCAAAACACATTTAATCAATTTACTTATATAAGTCACGTGTATTAAATGAAAATTAAACTTAAGTATATGTGGAAAGGAGAATTTAAGCATTTTATATTGTGGGATTGGGGAGGGGTACTTCTAATTAGTATTTTTCTTTTTTATTAACGGGGGAGTGTGAATCTAGAAAAGTCCGGAAAAAAAAACCAGCTACATAGCTATCAAAAAGGGGCAAAAATACAATAAGTAGATACATAATTTCGGGTGTGATCAGACAATGACAGAGCGGCTTGTGATAGATTAATTGACGTCCACGACCAAAGAATTTAGTCACAAGGTGAATTTTTAGCCTCAACTTTAACAAGCATTTTTGGGGACTCCCACTTCTCCTTTGGATCTCTTCCAATATTGCAAAAGATACATATCACTATATTAATATCTAGTTGCTACTTCTAATTATTAGTTATGGCTGCAATATTTTTTTCTTAATAGAAAATGTAAGACAATGCATGATTCCCGCTATTGAAAACATAAGATTTCTCTTTCGGTTTGCTCTTCATAATAGTGACTCTTACTCGTTTGAAAAACCATTTGATATTATTCAAGATGTTTTGCTTGAGGATTATATCTTAAGAGGGCAGAATCGAGTCTAAAACCTCATATGCGAAATAAATACTCTTAATCACTTGAGCTACAACAAACCGATTGCAATATATTGTTTCTTTTGAACAACAAAGAAAGAGGTTATGTAGTGTGCTTCTAACTTTTGGCCCAGATAGTGAATTGAGTTGAAATGGAATTTCTCCCGCTTAACCCATTTCTTAATTGGGTCAGTATTTAAAATTTATTTTCTCCAAAAACATTTCACGGGCTGAAGGGTTCTAATTATAGACTTAGTGAATTGTTCCTAAATTTGAGGCAGTCATGAAATTAAAGCCCATATAACTATGGGTCGCGCCTTCAATGTTTTTCTAAGGAAGGTTGTTGATTTGGGCTTGAAAAGACAAAACACGTAAAGTTTAGCATATAATTCCTAAGCTTAATTCTGATAAAACTATTCTTAAGCTTGAATCAAACTAATTAAGCTTTTTATAAAATAAAATATATAAAGATCATCAACTTCTAGTAGGGTTCAAGTCAGAAAACTAGAAGAAGGAAATTAAGCCCAGCCCAATAAGCATCTAACCCCCCAGTCTGAAGGAACAATCTTCATAAACAAAAGTCTGAAGAACAAGATTGCCAATCGGGTTGGAAAAGGGAGGGCCTAGACTTTCAGACTAGTTATCTCAATCTCATGCTCGAATCTTCATGGCACTTGACAGTGAATGTGTGTGAGAAAACTCATGTTCCTTATAGTTTAGATTATCGCTTGTATTAAAAAAAACGTATAAAGATCAAGATTTATCTATGCTAGGAAGGGTGAAAATTTTCATTAACAACTTCATAATCCATGCATACAAGAGAAATAAGACTATATATGAGCAGCACAATCTAATTCTTACAACACTGGAACCAAAACCAGAAACAGAAAATTGAACACTGTAATTCCATATATTTCCCTCTAAATGTCTAGCAATATTCCATCTTTCTTAGACGAAGCATTTCTACTACTACTTGAGAGACTCCACTGGTCAGAAAATCCCAAACCAGAGGCAGAGCCACCATTCCCACACTTAGCCACAGTCCTCACACTCTCAATCAACTCCTGGGTTCTTCCCTCCTGAGCCAAAATCTCCAGCAGCTGCTCAGGGCTGATCACAAGCTTCACCTTCCAAAAGCTGACATTGTTGTACCTTGAAAAAGCTTCTGTGTAAGACCTCTTCATCATGCCTTGATAATCAAGCGACATTCTGTATGGTGCAGAAAGGGAGCAAGTAGGTATGCTGTTTGATCTCACATGGCCTTCCCTCACAATTTGGGCACTGCCCAAGTGACCACTTTGGCTGGTGAGTGGGAGGAGATAGTAGTTTTGTCTTGCCACAAGATCTTCATGGGGAGAGAGTGGCTTCCAGAAGAGGTCATGGCTTCTGAAAATTCCATGGTTTGGAAATTCTTTGGTGATTGAGCCTACTGTGATTGGCGCATAGAATTCCATTATGCCACCATTGGAAGTTGTCACTTGGACCAACCCTTCTGCCTCCCCCACACCCCCAAACAAGCAATTTCCCATTTATTGAAATTTGCTTTTTCTGATCCAACTTTCTTCTTCTTCTTCTTCTTCTTCTTCTTCTTCTTCTTCTTCTTGTTATAGGGAGGTTGTGGCTTATGGGTTGTTTGGAGGGTATAAAAGAGAGGGGAAGTTATGGAGGCATAGAGGTATTATGCGTCGGTGGGATTCTTCTTGGGGGCTTTCCTAAACCAAACAAAGGATATTAAAAATAAAAGAAACAAAGGGATATACAAAAAGGAAAGTAATGTGGCAACCGAAGCCCATTATTCTCGTCAGAAAGTGATATAACATGCATGAATTTATAATAGGATATTGCTTCCCTTCTTCTAACAAATCACGATTTGACGCGTTTATAAAAATAATTTATTAAGAATACAAAGAGAAAAACATCTACATGTCATACTCATTGAAAAGAATATAAGAATTCATACTTACAAAAAAGGTATTATTCATAATATATGGTATAGTGAAGTGGTCCATGTAGGACATGGTTAGAAATAGTTGGTACTTTGGGGCCATCTATGAAGCATTCTTGATTTTTGGTCAATGGACCCAATAACCATCTTTTTTTCACTTTCTCTTTATCAAAATTTAACACAAGCCATATGGGAAAGAAATTAAAGAACCCTATCGCTAGGATCTTCATCATTCACTCATTGGTTAAAGTAAAAGTGGTAATTTGACCAGTCATATGTGATGTGCCTTTAAAAATAAGGGTCACCACCAACCATTCTTTTTGTTCCCTAGTAGCCTCAAGAAGACAGGAAAAAAAAAGGTAATAAAAACAAGTGGGAAACTACGGAAATCCAGGGCAGACAAATTGGTCTGCACTTGAATTTGCCTTTCCATCTATGCAATAAAACTATAATGTTATAAAAAAGTTTATATGATTATTTTTGCAGCATCAAATTTCCTTTCAAATTTTTTTCAAGAATACCAAAAGTAAAGCATTAGATTTTTCCTCACTTCATTCGAGGATGGTTTCAAGCTCTGGTTTCCACCTTGTTCCACAGTTGTTGCCACCATTGATCACTGCCTCTCTCTGAATTCTCAAGAGCATTTCATCCACTGATATCTTCTTAGACACCAATTCTTGAAGCTCTTGCTTTGTTATAATCAATTTAACTCTCTTTCCACAACTTGCACCATCCATGTCCTTTGATATATCCTCAAGAATCATAGGCCTTGTGTGCTCTAAAATCTTGTCCTGGTTCTTCACAATGTGCAAGAAACTCTCATTCTTGGTCACAACCCTTGTAGCCTGAGACTTATTTTTGAGTCTACAAAGTGGTAAGCAATTGCCCATGTGGTGGGTGTTCAAGGAATCGAATGGATGGGATGCAAATTAATAAAGGAAGAAGAGGGAAAAAGACGTTTGGATTTTGGGAAGGTGGTGGGAAGTTTTAAAGGAACAAGTGAGCTATACATATACGTTCAGTAGATCAAAGGTGTGTTTGTTATAAGTTGTGAGTGGACAACTACTACCTTTCTGTTACAAAAGGGTGCAGAAATTAATTTCCATGGTGGATTGAGAAATTAAATTAAATTTGAGAAGTAGTTCGAGATAGTTCAGAATTGCGAACATACAAGTAATTATATAGTTCTTCTATTCTTTTTTGTTACTAACGTAAGTTGAAGATTCGAAATCACTACCTCTTCCAATATTGAAAAAAGAAATATCACTGAAACTGAAAGCTAGTTTGTGATTTTTTTTACTTTTGTGAATGAAAAGAATCAGCATACATATTGAGTCTTATGGGAATGATATATAACCAACTCTTATCTTATCCCAAAAAAAACAAGAATAAAAAAGAAGTGTCCAAGCCCAGGTCCTGGCACTCCTACAAAAAGACAGCCAAGCTTTTCCCTGGTATAGTGTTTGTTTACGTTTTGGGCCTTAGCCCCCAGAGTACCAAAAAGATCAAAGGGTGACCGAATTACAACGCTACCAGAATGGTATCTATTTATAGGCATTTTTTTTCTTTTCTTTTTCTTCTTCAAGTCACGTAACCTAACTAAAAATTTGTGCTATATTGGTAATTACCAATTTGATCCATTTGCCAAGTAAACAAATTTCCACTGCCAATTTGCCACGAAAAGATACAATGGCCACTAGCTATGAGAAGAAACTAGAACACGTTTTCTTTTTTCTTTGGGGTTACAAGGAGGGCCGAAGCCCAAGAGAAAACCAAAAAGAAAATTAAGTTTTGTCAGACCTCCGGGGCATTATGTGCAGCTCGCACAACCTACCACCTTTATTTTTTGTCAGACCTGCCGACTTATGCCTACTATATATATATACATACGGAGAGCTTTCGTTTAATACACTGTATACTCTTTGGGGATTTTTCATATGCCCATGTGTCGGCTGCTTTGTTTTTATTTCCCTAACATTCCAAGCGCTGGTTCGGCTTGCACTTAAAACTGTTGCATCCCAGCTATAAACCAGAACTTTCCTTCAACCATGGCATTTTTGTTTATTGTGAACGTCGAGTCCATCTTGCTGGACCATTGATTAGATCAGAGCTTCTGAACTCTCATCTTCTCTTTCGGGATTTCTCAACCACTAGAGCTACAAATTTCTACCCGATTTGCTGTTTTGATTACAGAGCAATGCGGCAGGTGGCCACACATGCATGATCGGATTGAGGATCAAGGACCACAGAACATGCTTACAAAATTAGCCGCATATTAAACTTTAGAATGTAGAGATCTAGAAACCCAAATTATTGTGGGCAATTAATGTTGAGAAATGAGGTTGGAGCTTCTGGCATAAAAGATTGACTATTGAGATTGAGCAGACCAACAAAACATCTAATGCTACAAGAACGAAAAACCCAAGCCGTGCTCCAAGGGGCCCCGGTAGACATGTCTAGAAACCAATACCAATTAATTGAGGTAGTTCAAGGCTACCATGGGTTTTAATTAATTTCATTCATCGTCTATTTCCCCGAACAAGCCTCTTTCTAACCGTCTTCTAATCACATAGGTAGTCATTATTCGACTTCAATTTCTTTTGCCAACTTTGAAATTAAACACATTAAACAAATTTAAAAACCTCTCTTAATAATTAATGACATTATGCAGATGTGACTTAGATCATATTATCAATATATTCTCGTATAGTTACATTTGAATTCGATCTCCCTTCCCATACAGTAGAATAATTTAAAATATCATATAACAAACCAACTATGATGCAACATGTGTGAGTATTAGACCTAACACACTGGTTAATATATATATATATATATATTGAGGTCTGAACATCTTACCCAAATGGCAATACATAGAAGCACATAATTAATTTTATATATTGTGGAGCAAGGCTTGACGTGCATGTAAAATCATTTTTTATCTTTTAAAATTACGTCTCTAATGAATCAATCGTTTAGATTTGCCCTCCTTTTGCGTTGTGTACATCTCAAGCACGCAAACGTGCCGCTGACTAATTGAAATATGGAAAAAAAAAATTACAAAATGAAGCTTTCACAATATTTATCAAGAATATGGTTTGTTTGGTTTATAGATTTTTCTCAGTCAAGGTATATATATGTTAAATTAGACAGCCAAAGTGTTGTGGGTGCCGCCTGCGCTGACCAAGTCCATAGTATCACAGCCCAGCTAGCAAGCTATCTCCGGAGACTAAGTCCATAGTAAGTACAAGCGATTGTTTAAATTATAGGGGAGAGGTTTCGAACATGAGACCTTTTATCTGCAAGTCAAGTTCATGGTAAAATACTAGTATATGTCATACATTTGTATACGTACGTTATGTATAGCTTCAATATTTCTTTTTCTTTTTCCTTACAATTAATACAAAGTCAATGGCAGATTAGTAAACCATATCCTCTCGTATTTACATATATGTCATTCTGATTCATATATATATAATGACATCCAACTTCGACGTCCCCACATTTTAAATCTACTTTTCCAAATCTTGAGATTGCTTTCTCTTGCTTCTTTGTCTTTATAAGGGAAATCCCAGATAGCTCTAACTATATATATATATAAGAACTTAGAAGACTTGCATCACAGCGGGCTTACTTGTGCACATTTGCTAAAACTAAGACAAAAAGATGGCCAATCACCAAAATTCTGCCAATGGTTGGTCCAAACCAAGTGATCAAAGAACAACCGGAAAGGTCATCACTTGCAAAGGTATATGAGGTTCAGTGTTTACATGATTTTTTGTTCTCATTGTTTGTATATCTACTTGATCAAACACTAACTTACATGTTGGTTGATGAACGGTGGTGATTGGTGAAGCTGCTGTTGTATGGGGTCCAGGGCAACCTTTTGTGATGGAACAAGTTCAAGTCGACCCACCTCAGAAATTGGAGGTTCGAATCAAGATCCTCTTCACCTCAGTCTGTCATACTGATCTTAGTGCTTGGCAAGGAGAGGTATGTATATCTATGCCTCTGAATATATTTCTAATGGAAAATTTTCAGCCTATTTTTTGTCATCTTATTCTCGAAACTTTGCTTGTTGCTTTTTATAGAATGAAGCTCAACGAGCCTTTCCTCGAATTCTAGGCCATGAAGCTTCTGGGTAAGTCATATATGACGCCAATCTACAATACCTGCTAACATTGAGGTTATTGACAAAAAATCAATGAAACATTTACCATTTTAAGATTCGACCCTAAAATCTTGTTTCGGTTGTTGACAGAATTGTTGAGAGTGTGGGTGAAGGTGTCGAGGACATGAAAGAAGGGGACCATGTGATTCCAATCTTCAATGGAGAGTGTGGAGACTGCAAATGTTGCAAGTCTGAGAAAACCAATATTTGCCACAACTTTGGGGTGAACCCATTTAAGAAGGTGATGAACAACGATGGGAAAAGTAGGTTTTCAACCAAAGATGGAAAACCCATTTACCATTTTCTCAACACATCAACTTTCAGTGAGTACACAGTCCTTGAATCCGCTTGCGTGGTCAAGATTGATCCTGAGGCTCCCCTCAAGAAGATGACCTTGCTCAGTTGTGGTGTTTCAACTGGTAAGTCATGCATCAATTGTGCATTGATTAATTTTATAATAAATAATAATAATATCAACTTGTGCCCTTGCCCTTTAGCATACGTTATTATTTTGAGATTTTTTTCTTCTTCTTAATTATGTATTCTCAAATTTGGACCCCTTGGTCCAAATTCTATAGTCTAGTCCATATCTGACTTATATTTTGTCTTGTTGCAAAAGACCACATGGAAGTTAGCGGCATCAGAATCCACAATATCAGGGAGAGTATTCAAAACTCCTGGATTATGGATTATGAAAAAAAAAAAAAAAAAAAAAAAAAAAAAAAAAAAAATTACAACATGAACATGATTAATTCTTTATCTCGAGTATGTAAGAATTGCTGATGTGGAAGAACCTTAATTAACTAACAAAGATATTGTAACTTAACTGTATCAAAGTATTAACGATAGTCTAGAGTGGTATCATATTCATAAATGACTGTTTGACGAGAGAAGAGTCTAAAGAGTATTGATGTTTATTTCATGTTATACAGAATTATAATGTATGCGTTTGGTCATGTGATATATGTAGGAGTTGGTGCTGCATGGAACACTGCCAATGTGCAAGCTGCCTCGACAGTCGCCATCTTCGGCTTAGGTTCCGTGGGACTTGCTGTGAGTTTCTTTAGTTTTTTTCCTTTTGGTTGAGTTGCTCACAGGTTTTCTTGCTTCTTTTTGTGTTGCCTTTTTGGTCAAATACTCACCAACTATGTATGTATGCATGCACCTTATTACTAAAATATATTGACTTTTTGTATTATTTTTTTTCTTCATATATTATATAAAAAAGAGAGACATGTTGACTGTGGAGAGTATTTGTCTTCAATCTTTCTATCCAAATAATCTCATCCAATAATTCATTTAAAAAAAAGGAGTATTATTAACTTGGAACTTGAAAGATTTTGCTTTGTTTAGATCAACTAAAAATTAATTGCAGCTGTCAATATCATTGCTCAACTGGGGCTGCTTCTTTATTATCTCAAATGCCTTCAACTAAATGCAAGTTGCAATTGGGTCAGGTTGCTGAAGGAGCAAGAGCCAGAGGAGCATCTAGAATAATAGGCGTTGACATTAACCCCAATAAATTCATCAAGGGTGGCCGTCTAATTTGTTGTAATTAATTTGTGTCATGAAGTCAGCACATAATTTATACTTGATTTGGACATTTGCCTTGGCTTAGCAAATCTTTCGTATAACACAGGTCAAGCAATGGGAGTGACAGATTTCATAAATCCAAGCGAACCCGGAAAGCCCTTGCATGAGGTCAGTGGGTCGTTACATTTATTAATGACGGTGTATTTTAGGGAGCTGTTATTAGCACTTCAAAAAAATTATCCATTAAGTAATTCAGATGACTCTTCTCTGTATTTTTGATATCTTATCGAATATTCTGTTTCAATTACAAAATCGTGCTTTCTTTGAAATTAAAAATTCATTGGCCGATATGGTTACAGAGGATCAGAGAAATAACAGATGGTGGAGTGGACTATAGCTTTGAGTGTATAGGGAACTTGGATGTTCTGAGAGAGGCCTTTCTGTCCACACATGAGGTAGCTAGCTTATTGATTATTCTATATGATTTATTTGTCTGTGTTGTCTATTTTAATTTCAATGAAATTCATGGTGAGAAGATATATATGATTTTCTGTTTTCTAATTACAGGGGTGGGGGTTTACTGTGGTTTTGGGAATTCATCCAACCCCAAAAATGCTCCTTCTCCATCCAATGGAGTTGGTTCATGGTCGAGGAATTATTGGATCTGTGTTTGGAGGCTTCAAAGGGAAGTCCCAACTCCCTCATTTTGCACAAGAATGCATGAATGGGGTTAGTCAAATTCCTACATATTTATATTAATAGTCTCGTGACGTAAGATGTTTATGTTGTTAAATTGTTACGCTTATCCGAACTTATTATCTAAATTTACTATCAGACAATATAAGTTTGACAACTTAAGTCGGGCGAGGAACAACATTACCCTTCTTTTCCAATTCTGAAAGTTTTATTCATGTGCCTTTCAGGTTGTGGATTTGGATAAGTTCATAACCCACGAGCTTCCCTTTGAGAAGATAAACGATGCATTTCAGTTGCTCATTGAAGGCAAGTCGCTGAGATGCGTTTTACAGCTCTGAGCTTTTCATGCAACTTGCAAGCTGGACATGGATGACCAGAGGCCTCTGTTTCACGGATTGTGCTTTGCTTGCAGTTGGATTTTGGAGCATGCCACCTAATTTAGTCAAAGTAGGCCTTGAGTTGACACGAAGGTTTTCTTGCCTTGAGTTGACACAAAGGTTTTCTTGCCTTGAGTTGACGCAAAGGTTTTCTTACCTTGAGTTGCCTTGTGATGTATTAAACAGTTGTATTGTGATTGGCTTGTAATGCATTACTATTTAATTAAGGGTAATTCTATTCTATTAAAAATACTTGGGTAGAGTGGATGAGCTCCCCACTTTGCAACCGAGTTCGAATCCCCCTCCCCGTAATTTAGATGAGATTAAAGTAAAATATCGCTTGTATCTAAAACTAAAAAACAAACCCCCAAACTTTTCACATCTACAATTTTAAAAAAGTTCATTTTGCTCAAAACATGTAAAACTTCCAAGAAAATCCCTATAACCCTTTTTTTTCCTTTATTATTAAATCAACTTTCAAAGGCCACAACAAAAAAATGCAAGCTCGCAAGCCCAAATATGCAATGCAATTATGCAAGCAATGACTGGAGAGTAAAAGATGAAGTATGAGCAACATCTAAGCAAAACCACCCATTAACCAAAAGGACGATTTCCATTAACTTACAGAAGGCTGTTAAAAGGGTCTTTAATATATGTCAGAAACTACTTTGCAGCGTTTAGTCTTAAGAGAAAGACCAAACCAAAATGAACAATAATACATGGAATTCATCTTTTAAGCCTCAAGGTTTTTGTCCAACTCTATATTCCAGAACATCATAATAAACTCTAAAAAGAGATCAAAAGATCCAAGGCTATGAAGGCCGAGGAAAAGTATAGATAAAAGCAGAACGACCAGAGGCGGGGAGAACATCTTTACATAAGTTGTATGTGTATTTAAATATATTTCCAACCGGAACCGTAAATCAGTCTGGGATGCCAAAGATGACTCAATGTATGGGAAGGCGAGGAGAGCGTGGACGAACAGGTGTCTTTGATGGACTTACCCTGCTTATACAACACACCAGATATATTAATAAACCAAAATCAGACTAATCTAGGGATTATACAATTCATAAGGTTGGGAGAAGAAAAAGAAAGGGAATCAGTATTCCATTCATAGGATAGATGCAATCCAACCTGATTGGCAATGATCCCAAAACCACACCACTACAGTTGAGAGCAGCAATTGCACTTTCAGCCTGCGGGATGGAAATACATCACAATTACATTTTTATGAATTGCAGCAATGACTGTGGGTGTCTATTTTTTATGAGCAGATATCACGTATAACCCAACTCGTTTTGCAATCCAACTTCAGGAGGACTCCAGTTTGACACTTCATGATTATAGTATGTTCTACAATGCACAAGACATTATATTTCTGGTAAAAAGAAACATAACTAAAATGACAGGACCTTAAGAGGCTTGCCTCCAAAACATAGGTACTGCAAATAACAAACCTATGGGCTGGAGAGGAATGTAAGAACCAATAACAACTTCGCTTTTCATATTGTATAAACTATGGCAAAAAAGGAAAACGTAAACAGGAATAGAAAAGATAGATATACTTATCAAAAACCAAAATGGGGACTTAGGAAACGGAGGGGAATAGGACAGAACCACACTTAATAAGTGATCCTCTGAGAAATAAAGACATAAGCACAAGAGAAGATCCACGAGAGATGGTCTTGACAACCACCACTCAGGCAACGATTATTCTATTGAATTTTAAATTTTCTGGCAGTTTACCACATGACTCTCTGATTTCAAATCTGACCTATTCCATGTGAATCAAGATCCACTAAATTCTCTAAACCACTAGAAAGCCCAGCCTGTGGAATTCAACATACATTAGAAGGTAGCAGTTGCAAGGTTTTCGAATTCAAAATCTCCCACATAGAATGATAAAGTTTGTTGGTTTATCACTGTTCCTAGGTTCGTAGGATGTGACTCAACTATAGTTTTACAATCTACCACTAACAATGAATGAAGCATTCACTTAGCCCTTACAAAAGTAAATACCTAAACTTCTCCTATCCAATCACTGCATGGCAGAAAGAATAGAGAGGAACGAACTTCAAAGGCTTAACACAGATTTTCAAAGAACCTTCTCCCCGTATCCAAATCCCAAAAGCCCTCTTCCTGCTAATCATCCATCTCCACCCTTTTAAAATAAACTGCTTCTTAAATAGCAAATCCATCGCAGCAGTGAGACACATTAGTCACATTACTCAAGTGAAAATTAAAGAGACTTTTTAAAAGGTCGAATACCAATCTGCCATAATACGTTATCACAAAGAGCATTTGGTAAAACTAGAATGCTCAAGTATTCCTACATGAACCTCATATCTACCTAGCTTGTTTCTAATGGTCTAAAAGTTAAACCAGATAGCAATACTAAGAAAATAAAAATACAGCATGCAAAGCATAAAGGAATAAGCAACTACCATCACAAACTCAACAAAGGCAATGCGAGTAGAGTGGTGATAGTCCCCTAGTAGCCTCAGACGATAAACCTGCATCAGAAGAGATGTCTTCATAAACACTCCAATACATTGGCAGCAAAAATAACAATTATCGAGGTTACCCAAAAATGAAACATAAATTCAACTTTCTATGAAATCACAAACCTCTCCACAGACAGATTCAAAAAAGAGTTTGACATCAGCTTGGGCAACCTGCACAAATCAACCCAAATAACATCCATAAAAATTTTACAAATCGCAACTTGGGCCACATTGGTAACAAAACCCTTCAAGAAAGATACCTTTTTGTCAATATTTGTACAATAGATAGTTCGTGCACACATCTCACGTTCATCTTCAGTCTGAAACCAAAGATCCAATGGATAAACAAGTTATTATGCAAGAAAATAATGATTCCAAAAGGCGAAAATTATCTCCAGTTCAGAATCTGCAATTGTCACAAAAGAGGTTGACTCACCCGAGGCAAGAATGTAGGGTTAACAGGTGCAATAGCTGTCTTAGAGGGCAACACCCTAACAGGGTAGAATCCAAGCATTGTCCCAGCCAGACTCAAAGCCGCTCGTGCACCATCTGCATAACGAAAAACCACCAACGAAAAATCAATCAGCAACAATCACAGATCATGACCACAGAAAAATAACTATTCAAGCTTATGCAGCCACATAACATATGCCATCCACATTACCTTCGTCAGTGAACTCTATAAAGGCAAAACGGAGAACAGAATTAGGGTCACCGCAAATTCGGCAGTCAACAACCTTCAGACATGGAAAAGGGCAATTGTTCAAAACCAGAATTTAAGTACAGCCAATCACAGAGCTCTTCAGAAGAAGACTATTACCTGCCCACAAGTAACAAAGAGAGCTGCAAGCTGTTCCTCAGTGACCTATGTCCCAAAGAGGCCGCAGCATTAGTTTCACGTAGATCAAAATGCTAATCACAACGAAAGAAAATGTTATCTCTATACCTGTTGATCAATGTCAGACACATACACAGTCCTTCGAATTCTATCTTCTCGCTGCGCTAGACTTGTCCTGCTGTTGATTCTCCGTTTCCCTTGATTGTTTCTCTGATTAAAAAACAAAAAGAACAATCATCAATGAATGAAGTCTCAACCATAAACCTGAGCCATTTGGTGGCCTAATACTTAACCAAAAGTTTATACAACCTAATAAACAAACAAACAAACGAACAAGATACAAATTTTCCAAATCATTTTTCTCAGCAATCAACCAAACAATCAAAAGGAAATGAACCCATAAAGCTAAAGTCTTAAAAACGAAAGAGAAAAAAGAAAAAGATGTATATACCCGTCGACCAGCACCAAAGCCATTAACTTGTCCATTTCTGTTGCCATTTTGCATCATTAGTGCCATGTTAACAAAGCCAGCATTAAGTCCATGACCGTTAGCAAGTGAAGGAGGCACAAACTCCTCAGCCATGGGGTTGAGCTTAGAGAACAGCTCCCTCAGCTCCCTCATGTCCCTGTCCACGTCGTGATGATCCCCATTACTCATCTGAAAATCCCCGCCGTTGGATCGCTGCTGCTGATGATGATGATTCACCTGCTGCCCCCCGATCTTCGCCACGTGATCGAAGGTCCCCAGCTGACCCACCTTCTGGTTGCTGCCGTTGTTGTTGCTGCTGATGCCGTTGATATTACCGTTGCCGTTGGGCGGCGGCGTAACCATCACATACAGGCTCTGATCGAGACGGTGTCGTAAAGGGGCGGCGTTGTGCTTGGACTGATCCTGATCGTTGGATGCAGCAGCCGCAGCAGCAGCAGCTCCGCCATCCTGCGATGCAGCCTCCGGGTTCCGATTCGCCGAAGCCGAACCAACGCTCTTCCCCAGCTCCACCCCTGCATTCTCAACCACTGCCATAGCTCTCTCTCTCTCCTCCTCTCTCTACCCTTTTTCTTTATAACAAGTCTTTAAAAATGAGTTCTTTGATCGGTGGATCAACAGCGAGACAAAGCCTAAGAACAATCGCGCCTCGAGATCACTACGGAGAAAACGAAAAGAAAGGTTTTTTAACCTACAAAATTAAAAATGAAAAATAAATCGAAATTGGGTTCTCAGTTCTTCTCACAACGTTTGTTTTTGGGGTTTTTGTTTTTTTCTGTGTTATTGGTTTTTAAGAGTGAGAGAAGAGTCGAGAGAGAGTGTGTGTGATGAAGAAAGCTGTGGGCTTTTGTGTCAAGAGATCGGCTTCTCACTTAAAACCATGACATCTTCGTCCTAAAAATGGCGATTGTTCTTCAACTCAGATTCTGCTCTCTCTCTCTCTCTCTAATCTCCAAATGTACCGTGTCTCTTTGTTCTCTCTCAAAGCCCATTTCACCAGGCACATCCATCCATCCATCCATCCATCCATGCATACATACATATGCCGTAGGTTCTATGTGGACACGTGGCGAGATGTGACTGGAAGATCAGGAGGAAGGGCAGGCGATTGATAGTGTTGAATCATTAATTGGAGGCCTTTCTTTTTTGACTTTTACTCTCTCTTTGCTCCTCCGTACTATTTGGATTTTTACAGTATCTGGAGCGGGCTAACAGTATCAAACTGTACCAGTCGGTCTAGGGGTGTTTCCGTCATTTCGCCTCCCGCGCATGGTAAAAGTTGAACATTTGTCCTACATGTTTTTTAAACAAAGCGGAGTACTCTAAAGAGATCGAACTCCGATAGCATTCTATTTTAAGGCGATCAAACTTAGGTACAAAGAGATTGACACACTATTTTAACCAACCGATATAATTTATATTTACATATTTGCCCTTGTATGCATTATTTGATTTCAGGAATATTTTTTACCATATAATATTTGGTTGTTTGTTTGTTAATTTTTTTAGCGGAGCGGTTCATTTCATTTACCTTGTGGTGATAGGACAAATTTACCTCGTGGTGAAAAAAGAAAGGACCTTTGGCTGATAATGTGAAGCAGTATCTTCACTGCTTAACATACCTTGGCATGAGTATTGGAACGCTGTACATCCATCCCATTCTTATTTTGTATATATTATCTATTTTTACTTTGTTTTTGTCCATTTTTGTAGTTGGCAAACGGTCCATTTCATGCATGACATGGGGAAAGAACAACATAATTCAAAACAAAGGTTTAAAGGAAAGATTAAATTTTGTGGCAAATCAAATGATGGGTTTGGATTTGTAGCAATATGAAAAGATGGTCCTGGTTGGAAAGTATTATCACTCGCTTGATAGTAACTCAATAACTGAAATTAAATGGTGGGTCTGGTGAGTGAGAAATAAGTATCCGTGATCAAATATGACATTAAAACATTGCAATGTTATAGGAGAAATGTATGGGAAAACATTATGTACCACAATCAGTACACTTTTGATTTGGATTTCTCTTTAATGGCTTATTAATTTGAATACGATACTTTTCAAAATGACATTTAGGGCTATTTTTTTGTCATGAGTATACCGTAAAATTATCTGGAGGTCCTCAAAATGAGTTATTTATTGAACATGTGATTGTATTTGACTGACGTTGTTAGATGAAATTGTTAAGAATACAAGTAGATCGACCTATTTTACATAGTTTAGTGCATAAATTTAATGAAAAAAAAAGTGTTGAAGTAAATTAACATATCATGAGATATGTACCGCATAGAATTCGCGTTGAACAATGAGATAAAACTAAATAGATTTGAGTCTCTCTCATAACCCAAATTTACTGTTGACCTTAATTAATTAAAACGTTTGAAAGTAAACATCAAGTACGTGCAATCACTTACAAACTCTACATATTAGATAAGGTTGGGCAGAAATAATTTCATTATGTATTTATTTATTTATTTTTTCTTCTCATTTCCCCTACGTTAGCGTATTCAAAAGAAACGTCTACTTTCTACCATTTTTTATTCTGTTGTATTTCATAATATGCTTTACAATTTGTAATGCTGCTTTGTCTTTACGCTAGCTCACATCACATGTGGCATGTCACAATAAAAACATAATAAAATAAAATAAAATAAAAGGTTGGACTTTGCAGAGGTCTGTGGAAAATAAAACAAAAGTCCATTGGACCATAAATTGATCCAAAATTCAAAGCCCAATGAGCCTCTAAAGAAGACTCAATCAAACCTATTCTCACTAAACGCTGTCGTTTCGAGTTTCAGTCTGAACGCTCCGATGAATCACGGCCCGGCTCGTCTTTTGACGAGAAGCGATATTTTGGAGCCGAGCCGCGGTAACGAGTCAAAACTCGACGGACGCCAACACGAATTCACAAAACTCAGAAAAAAAAATAAAGAAAAAAGGAAAACTGGCTCTATCTTTTTCAGTTCCGCTTAATCGTTCGCGAGAAGAAGCCATTTTCGTCCGTGCGGATAAAGATCCGTTCTTTCAAGCTCTTCGCCCCAGCAAAGAGAAGCCATAGCTTTCCAGATTCCAGGTACACAAATTTTCAAACACCAATCTTTCGATGCTTAGGAGCTGTATTCTGGGGAATTATCGAAATTCGTAGTCTTGTTAGAGATTTTGAAAACAATGCATCCAGACTGAGAATGATGTGAATTGGGATTTCTTAGGCTTAGGTTTAGGTTTAGGGGTTGTTTGTTTGATTGCGAGGAGACTAGGGTTTTTTGGTTTCAGGAGATTGGAGGTTGGAATTATGAAGGGTCGATCGCACCGCCTTCAGAACTCTGACCCTCCGGACGACTGGGTTAACGGGTCGTGGACCGTGGACTGCCTGTGCGGTGTGAATTTCGACGATGGCGAAGAGATGGTCAATTGCGACGAGTGTGGCGTATGGGTGCACACCAGGTGCTCTAGGTACGTGAAGGGAGATGATAATTTCGTTTGTGATAAATGTAAGACTAGGAACAATAGGAATGAGAGCGAGGAAACTGAGGTTGCGCAGTTGTTGGTGGAGCTTCCTACTAAGACTGTCAGAATGGAGAGTTCTTATGCCCATCCGCCAAATGTGCCTACTCGCCGCCCTTTTAGGCTTTGGACTGATATACCGATGGAGGAGAGGGTACATGTTCAGGGAATTCCGGGTGGGGACCCTGCTATATTTGGTGGATTATCGTCGGTTTTTACTCCCGAGTTGTGGAAGTCTACTGGGTATGTGCCCAAGAAGTTCAATTTTCAGTATAGGGAATTCCCTTGTTGGGATGATAAGAAGGAGGATGATGCTAGATTTGACGAAGACAATGAGAACCCTGTTAATAAAGGTGCTGGTGTTCTGTTCTCTTTGTTGGCAAACCCAGTGGCTGCTTTGGTGGGGATGAGGGGCCGAGAAGAGGATGGCGGGTATGACAAGAATGTGTCTTTGAAAGAAACGAAAAGGTGGGATAATGAGGTTGATGATCTTAGATGTGGTCAGAGTGGTGTGAAGAAGGAGAGAAGCTTACTTCGGCCTGTTGTATTCCATTCCGGCAAGCGAAAAAAGGACGATTTGGGGACATCCAAAGATCGGAGTAGCAAGAAGAAAGCTAGAGCTGCTGATAAAGAGGCTGATGCAAAGAAAAGAACCGCACAATCATCTAAATCAGGTGATTTGCTGTGCTTTAGATGCTTTAAATGCTTTCTGTGTTTACTTTTCTTTATGTGATGGAACATATCAGTTTTTGATTTTGATAACTTACAAATGGTAAGAAATATAGCAGTGGGTGAAATCTTGCAGTGGTAGACATGCTCCTGTTAACTCCTACTTTTGTGTTTTAATTTTTATTACTAGTGTTTACACCCCCGAGTGATGCAAAACAATTGGAATTTTCTGAGGACAGAGGTCCGAAGACTTCCAAGGCTGAAATTCAGAGTACGAAGAATAAGAAGTTGAGTGACTCTGTGGTCAGAGAACCTGCAGCACCTGCAGCAAACTCTTCTGTTGAAAAGAACTCTTCGGAAGCTGTAATTTCTGACATTTCTAAACATAAGCTTTCATTTGGTGATGGACTAAAGGATGACAAGGTTGGCCAGCAAGTTCCTGCAGTGCAGGGGAATATCACCCTTACCAAACCTGATGATGCTGTCACGCCATTGTTAGAGAACAATGACGATCCAACTGATCATGTAAAACCAGAGGTATGCTTTACTGATACTCACCTTTAGCGGGTTACTTAGTGTTTATTTTGTATTTTGTAGTTTTCAAAACACATCGCTTAATTAGCCCCTTGATTTCAACATTTATCCCCTTAATGGCACCATCGCTGCAATTTCCACTGTCTCCTCCATTTGGTACACTATGAATAATTGGATTATTCACAATTTATTTTGAAAGGTTGTAACCATGTTTTGACTGTGTGAAGTTAAATAAGAAACAAAGCCTTGGCATATTTTTTCGTTTCCCTAAAATTTGATGCCAAGCATGTAGTAGGCCTATAACTAAACTGACAATTTGAAGAGGTAAAAAACGATAGACAAAAGCATCAGCTTCCACTCTCTATGCAAGTAATGGATTTATGCATTTAAGGACTACTGGATTTGACACTATTTAATGCTTGTTCATTGGACTGCAAATCTGGTGCTTTATGTGTGTTTTGAGATATGAGAGTTCAACTATTTTGTGGAAATGACAAATCTTGTAATTACAATAGGGAGATAGCATGGCAGATGATAATTTGGATGTGAAACCTCCCATTGAAGATGTTGCTGCACCAGAAATTAAGAGTCAGGTTCAATATCCTACCGGTGGCGTGTCTATAGAACATTGTTCCAAAGTGAAAACAGAAGAACATGATGACAATTCTAGGAGCCCTTTGAATGCGCAGTCTTCTCCTCATGCTGATGCACAGGATCTTGTCGTATCTTCAGATCACATGTCTGAAAGTTCGAAGATTAATGATGTGACAGTAAACGGCCCGTTGTCCACTGACCATAAGGTGCTAGGTGCTGACAGAAATTCAGAAGCAGCTAGTGATTCTCATACAGACAAGGGTGTTGAATTATCTGTTGATTCTTGCCACCTTAAACGAGAATGGGAAGGTTCTGAGGATTCAATGACTCTGCAAAAAAGTTCTTCAGATGCCAACCATGGTTTGGTGTTTGCCGAAGAGCTTTCAAAATCCGGTGGGACTATCTTAAACTCTCCAGCAGTACCCAGTCAGTGTAAAACAGTAGTAGTCTGTGCTGGAAAATCTTCCACCGTTTCATCCACCATTGCAGTCTCCAAATCATCCACTTCTGATAACTTAAAATCTGGTGATGCTCAGAATCCTAATCCAATCCCCAAGCAACGAGTAATTTCTGAAAGTAATGTTAGCATTAAAAAGGATCGTGCTTCATGTGAGGATATGGATGAAGACAGGGACAATATGTCAAGGAAAACTGGGAAAGAGCAATTAAGATCCCCTACTAATTCTGCTCTGAAAACCTCACACTCAAGCCGGAATCATGATTCCATTTCCAAGTGGACCGCATCAGATTCAAAAGATTCAGTGCTTCACTCATCTTCCAAAACATCTTCAACTGGGAATGCTGCAGTTCCTTCAGGCTCTAGTGAGCCTGCTGGATCTCTGCCAAGCCAGAAGGTTTTACATGCTCATAATAAGTGTTCAGCTTCAAGCGCATTGCAAAGAGGTGAAAAGTTTAACCAGACAACTTCATCTAAGACTAATCAGAGTCACACCACGTCTGCCTGTCCACCTGCACCATCAAGTTTGCAGGCAAAACTAAGTGACGAAGAAGTGAGAAAAAAAGTTTCATTGCTTTATATTGTTATCTTTCATTGCTGGTAGTAGGTTTCCTCTGATGTTATATATTTTATGGGGATTTTGGCAGCTTGCATTACTTTTACATCAACAACTCAACAGTTCTCCGAGAGTGCCTCGTGTACCACGTGTTCGCAATGCATCTAGCTTACCTCAGTTGGCTTCTCCAAGTGCAACAAGCACGTTAATGAAGCGCACATCTAGTTCTGGAGGAAAAGATCAGAATTCGGTAAGATGTCAAATTTTATATTATCTTTGGAAAAAAAATATGATGTGATTTTACCTATTCTTTTAATGAAAAAATATGTCTAAATTTATGCAGATTCCAATATGAACTGTTAAAACTGGTTCTTTTTGTTACTAAGGAACTCATTCCTACATAAAATAATAATATAAAAAATACTCTGAGTCAGGGTTCTGCTAACTAATCCCATTGATACAATCTATAGGTGTCTAGAAGAAAAGTCAGGGATAAAGATGGGTTCCGAAGTTCCCGTGAACATGATGATGAAGCTAAAAAGATTGACAGGGTACCATCTTCTTCAGATCAAAGAAGACAAGATGCAGCATGTACATCGGATGTTGCTGCTAAGAGGGAGGACAATTTATCTTCAACGGTGGTACATTCCAGCAAGAGGAACATCCATTCTGCCTCCACTGCCACTGCCACTGCAAACAGTGGACCATCTTCATCTACTGAGGCTAGTGATCGTAATGTGTCATCTGTACGCAGTTCCCCAAGGAATGCCTCTGATGATGATACAGGCGCAGTTGGTCCTGTTCATCGTACTTTGCCAGGTAGCTGTAATCTTTCTTTATGGTTTCCTATTTCTACTTTAGAGTTTTATTCATTGTTTGCTCATCCAGTTCTCCCTATCTAGGCTTGATAAATGAGATTATGAGTAAAGGCAGGCGCATGACATATGAGGAGCTTTGTAATGCTGTGCTGCCGGTATGAATGCTTTCAATAGAATGCTTGCTGTTTTATGTGTAATTGTTGTCTCCCATAATGGGTGTAGAATAATAAGCTTCTTTGTTTGTTTTTCTTCTTTTTTGTTTTATTTGCAGCACTGGCATAACCTGAGAAAGCATAATGGAGAGCGCTATGCATACACAAGTCCTTCACAGGCTGTTCTTGATTGCCTTCGGAATCGACATGAATGGGCTCGGCTAGTCGATCGTGGTCCCAAGGTATCCTCATGAAATCATTTCAAACAGTTGGTTGACATTCTCTGTTCGCGTTTGTGTTTCATCGAATCACATATGCTTGGTATGCTTTACTAACTTAATGGGAAATTAGGAGCAACGAATCAGGGCTGACATTTTGGTACTTGAAAGGTTCTTTAGATTGCGGCTTGGTGATTTTGTTCCCATTTGCTTCAACATGATAAGTAGGACTATGTATTTTCTCATGCTATGTTTTTAGGACTTAGATTTGTGGGTGTGTTTGTGCTGCCTTTATATATTTCTGACCTCAAAATTGTTCCATGGCAGACAAATTCAAGTAGGAAGAAGCGAAAACTTGATGCTGAAGACTCGGAGGATAATGAATACGGCAGGGGTAAAAATCCAAAGGAGTCAGAAGGCAAAAGCATTGAAACACAGAGAGAGGATTTTCCAAAGGGCAAGAGAAAAGCCCGAAAACGCAGGAGACTAGCTCTTCAAGGAAGAGGAATAAAGGATGTCAGGGAGAAACGGAAGGCAGATCTGCTCAGTGATGATGATATTGGACCATCATTTTCTAATTCCACTGAAGGAAGCATGTCCAGTGAGGATGATATTCAGGGAGGCGGAGCATGTCCAGTAGGAAGCGAGGCCTCTACTGGTTCGGATGAGACGGGGGCAATGTGATTGTTGATTTTCAGTGTTTGGTCGGATATTGAGGATTCTGGAATAGGCTTTCTCACAAAGTGGTCATGAAGCCGCTTGGTGAGCTGCCCCTTCTTCCATGCAAGGGTTCTTGCAAGATTGGATCTGTAGGACCACAGCTGCCATACGGTTTGGAAGGCTTTTTGCACTGAAGTCCCATATGCGATTTCATGTCAGATCAGAAAAATGTAATACTAGTGTACATATGAATTGTATAATTTTTGTGACATTGGGTTAGGAATTCCTTGTTTATTGAAGCGTAGGTTCAATTTGATTCTGTAAAATGTTAGGCAGGCTGCAGCTCCCATGGTAACCAAACCTAACATTTTGTGAATTCGTCACCTTGATTTGCGAGCAAATGGGAAAGGTCAGATTTTCTTTTGCTTTTATCAATGGTCTTTCCTTCACAATTGTAATGTCGACAAAGGATATAAAACTGAGAAAATACCCTAATCAGAATTGTTTGATCGCTCTCTATGATGCTTCAATTTTTCTTGGCATTTCCCTTCCTCTAAAGCTTTTGTCCTCCTTAGCCTGGACATTTAATTATTTTTTAACATGATTTCACCCTCCCACAGTTTATCTACACCACTATCAAAATACTTGTATCTAATAACACAAGAGCCAACAACAGAAGAACTAGTATTAGGGAATCCTCATCAATCTGATCAAGAAAAACCCGTTGTGATTAAGCACTAGTAAATGATTTGACTCAAAATTTTGTGGAATCAACTTAAATTAAATTCTTATTTACAAATGTCTAGGAAAGCTTTAAAATCTAAGAATAATAATACATTTTTTTTTTTTTTTTTTTTTTTTTTTTTTTTTTTTGCATATTTGTGTGTCATTCACTGATCATTTCTCACACTACTGAAAAAATACTACAAGTAAAAATTAAATAAATAATATTGAAAGATTATATACATTAGGGCTGATTTTTCAATATTGGATATACCACTCCATTTTCTTATGCGAACGCAATTATGTGCATCAAAGAATTGCTCCACGTACTATTCTATAATAACTCCTCGTGTAGATCTCTATTTATGAATTTTAATTCCTTTTATATGCCTAGCCATATGGATTTGCATTCACTAATGAACCCCTTCTTTCTCCTTTGTCATCTATTTTAGGATGTTTCAATTACTACCAATCAAAATGTAAGTTGTTTTAATTGAAAAGAAACATTTATTTTTTGCAATTATGTAAGGTAGTAACACTTATTTTAGAATGTTTCTATTACTACCATTCAAAAAAGAAAATTTATATTAAAAGAAATAAATTAAAATTAAAAACTTAAAAAAAAATCTCTCACCCTCTCACTCCTCCCAGCCTCCCCAACCCAACTTCCAGTTCCCCACCTCATCATCATCAGTCATCACCACTCACACACTCGCCGGCGCCGTCATTCTCAATCTGCCATAAGCCAAGAAATACTCTCCTCAGCAACCACACACCTCGTGCTGGCCCACATGCCTATGTGTAGCCTCGTGCTGCTGGCTCACAGGCTTATAAGTCGGTTTTCCACGTGGAGCCACATCAGCAGAAAAAATAGGCCCCACATCAGTCACTTAAGCATGTTTCCCCTCTGATTGACTTAGAAATGGAAGCAGCATCGGGCTCAAGAACATAGTTTGTTTGTTCTCATGTCTTTGTTGATTTGCTAATGCAAGCATTAGGCAGGTTAATTTTTGGCGTGCCTTTTTTTTAAAAACCATGTGTGGATAATTAAGGTTCTAACAACGTACTCTGTTTCAGGCTTCTTTCCGAGAAGCTGTGCACACCTGCGGAATCTGCGAGCTAAAAAGTCCTTGTATTGGACTTTTTACTTTTTTCAGGAGGACCTTCAGATGAGTCAGTTTTGGTGATTATTTTGATTTATCTGTAGTGAGTGAGTCTATTGATCTATGCTTTTCTCTGCAGATTCTTCTTGAGGTGCAAGTTGCCTTAAGCAGGGAAGTGCCTTAAGCAGCCCAACATCAGCAGATACAGATGATAAATGTTATCTTTATAAATAGTTCCAATGAAAAAAGTAGATAGGGTAGGATTGCAGCTTGTTTTATGAATAGTTCCATATGACGTTATTAATATGCATCAAGAAGGGAACTCTTCTTTTCTTTTTTTTAACACATTATACAGAAGATCAATCCCACAAAAAATTTCAGGCAGGTAAAGGCTCATTACCTAACTGATGATGGTTTGAGATCAATCCACTCCTAAGAACTTAATAATACAAATCAACAAGAGAAATCCTTCTTCTCTTTCATGGTGTCATTTCAGGGAGTTTTCAATATCAATCACAAACTGGTATTTCACATCATTTTTTTAAGTATAGTTTCTCAATAGCTTCATTTGCATATTGAATTGAAGCTATTTCAATCTGTTGAGGCCCAAAAAATCTAAGGTTGGGCCCAAATATATTTATAGCCCATACGACACCTAGCTTGGGAAGAAACTCAACTTGGGTACGCAGGAGTTCGTTATATACGCTTGCACATGTGTCATGCCAAGCTAATAAGCAACACGCCACGCTACAAGCTTGAATGGGTCCAAGCCACGCGAATGTCTGGGGCTTGTTGAGCGGATTGTGGTATGGATGGTTACGAGTTTTCATGAGGCCCATTGATGAGCCGAGAAATGGAAGTTTTGGGTTGCTTGGGAGTCCCGAAACTTAAGCCCATTTCTTGAGTCCAAATATGTGGGTAAGCATAAATGAGAGAAAATAGCCCATTACCTTAGAAAAGATAGCCCATTACCTTATGAAAGATAGCCCATTGTAGGGGCTTTTTTCTTCCGGCAGCTACAAATGGGCTGGGCTGCCGTAAGGAGCGAATTGATGAAATTATCCCGTGTCTGAGTTCAAAGATCAAGCCCCAAGAATGCTTCGAAAGGATAGTGAAGCCTTAGGAAATACCTTGGTTACCTTCACCAACAAAAATAACAGTAGCTTACAGATAAATTCTTTGCTTGGCATGAGAAGCTTGTGGCATGGGAGTTGAGCATGAGAGAGAGAGAGAGAGAGAGAGAGAGAGAGAGAGAGAGAGAAATGGCTGCGATTTCCTATGAGAAACAGAGTTTTTAAGGCATGGGGGAAGAGATTCTAAGAGGATTCGTTGAGGAGAGAGGGGGAGAGAAATGAGGGTAATGAGTGGCTTAAGTGATTTTCCGACAGCTCGACAAAGGTACTGTCAAGTGCTGGAACAGTTTGCCATGAGAGAAAAATAGGGGGATAAGGATGAACATAGCACGAATTTGCTAAGTTTTGAAGATGAGAGGGAAAGTTTGCTTTCTGGATGTGGTTGTGGCTAGTGGTGAAGTATTGGGTGTTTTGGGTAATTTTCCAGCAGCTTGACAAAAGCTACATCAGACTTTGGCATGGCTTGCCAGAAGAGAAAATGGGAGGAGATGGAGGAATAAGGCACGAAATTGTAGAGTTTCAGAGATGAGAGATGAAGCTTGCTCTCTAGATGTGTGTGTTGATATGATGGGTAGGAAATGCCTCATTTTATAGGCATTGGAAGCTATCATTTTCCAAGAAACCTTAATGGTTTCTATCCAATTTGGCCAAGCTTTTTCCTTCCTTTCTCTTCTCCTCCATTGACTTATCCTATCTTGGTGAAATTCCCTCTACCCAATTGCACAAAAACATGGATTTTTGGGAGCTCAATGCTCTTCCCGCAGCTGCCTCAGTGAAGAACTCCCATTTTCAGCCATCTTTCTTTATTCTTTTCTTCCATCTTCTATGGCTAGATCTAATGGGGGGAAAGAAATGAGTATGTACATTAGTTTGAAGGGTGTTTTGCTAAAGTATCCCTTAGTTTTTTGGATGTTTTTGCTTGGAACTTGTTCCCCCCATGTGCTGGAGATTCCAGCAGCCTGCAGATGTGAGTGGCTTTTGGCTTTTGTCATGGTTTTGTCTCCAGCCATGTGCTGGAGACTTTCAGATATTTTGTTGGTCACTTGGGCCATTCTTTAAGGTAATGAGCTAGTTTATTAAAGGGATGGACCAACTTCCCAAAGTGATAGGCTATCTTTTATAAGGTAATGAATTATTTTCTCTACTCTAAGCTTACCCATATATTTAGGCTCAAGAAATGGGCTTGAGTTTCAGGGCTCCCAAGCAGCCCAAAACTTCTATTTCTCGGCTCATCAATGGGCCTCATAAAAACTCGTAACCATCCATACCACAACCCGCCCAGCAAGCCCCAGGCATTTGCGTGGCTTGGGCCCACTTAAGCTTGTAGCGTGACGTGTTGTTTATTTGCTTTGTGTGCAAGCGCATATGACGAACTCTTGCGTACCTAAGTTGAGTTTCTTCTTAATAAGGTATTGCGCTGGGTTAGGAATTCATTTAGGCCGAACAGTGGATTTTTTGGGCCTCAACACCCATCACTTTGGGAAGTTGGCCCATCCCTTTAGTGAACTAGCCAATTACCTTAAAGAATGGCCTAAGTGACTAACAAAATATCCGAAAGTCTCCAGCACATGGCTGGAAACAAAACCATGACAAAAACCAAAAGCCACTCATGCTGCAAGTTACCAAGAATCTCCAGCACATGGCCAAAGACAAACCCAACATAAGCCATCAGAAAAACCAAGGGATACTTGAGTAAAACACCATTTAAACCTGTGTACATACCTATTTCTTTCCCTCCATCAGATCTAGCCATAAAAGATGGGAGAAAAGAAGGAAGAAAGATGGTTGAAAATGGGAGTTCTCCATTGAGGCAGCTACAGAAAGAGCATTGAGCTCCCAAAAATTCCTGATTTTGTACAAATGGGCAGAGAGAATTTCACCAAATAGGATACGTCAAAGGAATGAAGGAGAAATTAAGGAAAAAGCTTGGCCAAATTGGATAAAAACCATTAGGGTTTCTTGGAAAAGAGTAGCTTCCAAAGCCTATAAAAAGAGGCATTTCCTACCCATCATCTCAACCTACATCTAGAGAGCAAAATTTATCTCTCACATCTGAAACCTCTGCAATTTCGAGCCCTATCCTTCCATCTCTCTCCATTTTCCCTTTTGGTAAACTTTTCCAAAGTTTGACAGAGTTTTTGTCGAGCTGCCATAAACTACCGAGCACACCCACTACTTCATCACTAGCTAAAACAACATACATCCAGAAAACAAGCTTTATCTCTTACCTCTAAAACCTCTGCAATTTCGAGCCCCATCCTTCCATCTCTCCCCATTTTCCCTTTTGGTAAACTTTTCCAAAGTTTGACAAAGTTTTCGTTGAGATGCCGGAAACTACCCAACACACCCACTACTTTATCACTAGCTAAAATAACCTACATCTAGAGAGCAAACGTCGTCTCTCATCTCTGAAACTCTGCAATTTCATACCTTATTCCTCCATCTCCTCCCATTCTCTCTTCTGGCAAGCCATTCCAGAGTCTGACATAGCTTTTGTCAGGCTGTTGGAAAATTACCCAAAACACCCAATACTTCATCATTAGCCACAACCACATCCAGAGAGCAAACTTGCCATATCATTTTCAAAACTTAGCAAATTCGTGCTCAATTAATCATTTCCCCCCTCCCCATTTTTCTTTCATGGCAGACTGTTCTAGCACTTGACAGCACCTTTGTCGAGCTGCCGGAAAATCACTTAAGCCACCCATTGCCCTCATCTCTCTCCCCATCTCTCTCCCCATCTCTCTCCTAAACGAATCCTCTTAGCATCCCTTCTCCTATGCCTTAAAAACTCTGTTTCTCATAGGAAATCGCAACCATTTCTCTCTCTCATGGTAAACTCATGAATGCTCAGCTTCGATGCCACAAGCTTCTCATGCCAAGCTAAGAATTTATCTGTAAGCTGTTGTTATTTTTGTTGATGAATGTAACCAAGGTGTTTCCTAAGGCTTCACTATCCTTTTGAAGCATTCTTGGGGCTTGATCTTCGAACTCAGACACAGGAGATAATTTCATCAATTCGTTCCTTATGGCAGCTCAGCCCATTTATAGCTGCCGGAAGAAAAAGACCCCTACACAATCATTATATGAATTCCATATGCAGCACAGAAATCTATCATTTCTTGAATATCCTTTGTTCACCTATTACGCTACCAGAAATGCTTTTCATGCCGTTATTAAGCTATTTCAATCAAAAGTGTTGCAGAGAGGTGAAAAGTTGAACCAAACAACTTCATACAAGGTGTATAGGGAAGCATTAATATAAATCTCAATGTATAACATCTACAAATCCTTCAAAGAAGTACCTAATATCATAATCAACTTCATCGAACGTAATAGTGGGTCGACAATGTACTTGTGAAAAGTGATGAAATAAATTTCGAATAAATCTCAGCAGGTCTTCTGGAGTACTAGTGCAGTCTGTCTTCTCTTTGAAGAAATACACTTCCTGCATGTAGTCCAACCAAGATGCTAGGGCAGACTTGCTATTCCAATTCTTGTACTGGTCAAAAACCTGTGAGCTGATGTACCAACTCGACCCTAAATTAATATTTAATTATTAAAGTATTCAAACGAAAGACAATGCTACCTCAGAATATTTTAATAGGTGTACCTGTTGACTTGTTGACCAAGGAGACTTTGGTGGAATTGTTACATCCCAGTCCGAAAGTGTGTTAAAATAACTAAAGTAAGAGAGAATAAATTGAAATAAACAACAAAATAAAATGATTTGAATTAATTAAGGTTTTTGAGAAATTGAGATATTATTTAATATTTAAAAAGGGCAAAAAGGTCATTTTAAGTTTGGGAAGGAATTTAGAAATTTCGATTGGACCATTGTGTAGAGCATGTCGAAACGAGTCCGTAGACACGTAGTGGACTCGAATCGGAGTTGTAACGAAGAAATGACGACCAAAAGAAGTTCAGTGGCATAATCGTAAATATATCGAAGTTCAGTTTTTTTAAACCCAGAATTTCTGCATTCTGGGCAGCTCGATCAACCGACTTCAAGAGTGGATTTCTCTCAACTCCGACCACCAATTCAAGCAAGACCGGTCTTGTTAGACCACCACACTTCCCTCTTCCAGCCCCAGCCATTCGCCGCCGTAGTCGCCGGAATCAGCCACGAAACAGGCGGTTTTTGACAGATTTTTCTTAAACTTTCGCCGGCCGTTTCTCCCTCCTCCGACCACCAAACCGGTCGAATAAGGTATGTTTTCCCACCAATTTTTCGAGCTCTAGCTGATGGTTGGGTAGGATTTGATCGATTTCTAGCCTAGGTGTTTCGATTTGTAACTTAGAGTTTGGCCGGATTTCGGATTGAAATTCCGGCCACTTTCGGCCATTTTTCGGGGTATGTCCAAGAACAAAAGTGGCTCCAATTGATGTCCAGAACCTAGGGTAGGAAGCTTGGCCCTTGATTTTGAGATTTTCCGGCGAGTGGTATTGCTTTGGACACCCACGCTCTGCCGGCGTGTGGACAGAGTGGTTGAGCTACATTATGTCCTATATTGATCTCCTAGTTGTCATGAGCGCGTAGGTGTGCTTGGATTCTAATTTGGATACCATTTGAGCATCAAATGGATTTCGCCTATTGTGCGATTTCCGGGTTCAATAGGTTCGGACTGTTGGATCGTATGGATTTCGCCTATTGTGCGATTTCCGGGTTCAATAGGTTCGGACCGTTGGATCGTAGTCAATTTCTTATATGTTGATCTAGGTAATTCCAGGATCATATAGGACTCGACGGATTGTAAAACAGAGTCCCGGATACTCCAGAAACATCAATCCTAGGGTTAGGTTTACAGTAACCATCCGATCTTGTAATCGTGAGCAATCCGACCGTCCGATAGAGACTGAACTCTCGGGACATGTGTCCTAGGGACCTTTAGGGACTCCTGGATTTGTGATAGGTGGTAGTGGACCCCACGCGGGTCCTGTGGACCTGGTTTGGGAAGACTGACCACTTTGTGGACTAAGAGTCTTCTGAGGTAGTTTATCCTTCGAGAAGTATTAGAACGATCTTATACTTGAGAATTGACTGTTATGTTAAAGTGTTTTGTTATGTTTGGTTTATGAGTTTACGTTATAGCTTTTTATGTTGATATTGGATATTATTTTGGTATTGGAAGGTTATGAATTATTGGAAGTTATTTATTTATTGTGTTCAAATGTGAAGAGTATGAGTATTTAATTATCTGTTCATTTATCACCTGCTTATATATTCATATGGTTAGTTGTGTTGTAAGATTATAAATATAATATTGGAATGATATGCTGATTAGAGATCAATATGGCTAGCAAACTAGCTAAGTATTTGATACATATATTCAGTGGTTGAAAAGGAAGAATTATAGCTTTTGGTTTTTATCAGATTTTGGTGTATATATATATATATATATATGTATATACATATAAGGGGCGGATCCGTGGCACTATGTTTTTGACACAAGTTTTGACACAATTTTTGGGCCATTAGATTACTCCACTTTCAATGGTTGAGATTAAATATTACACGGTAAGTAGTTTTAATTTTTTAAAATAGACAATCATTATTTTTATTTTCTCTCTCATAAAAATAAAAGAATTTTTTTCTCTCTCCAATCTTTTTGCTGGAAGACATAATCTCTCTTGCCTCTTTAATCTCAAATATTTATTAAGGTCTAATAAATAAAGAATCTCACCAAAAACTAAATGCTCAAACCACAATCCCACAATCCCACATTCGCTCTCTCTCTCTCTCTCTCTCTCTCTCTCTCTCACACACAATTTTTGCCTTCTTCGTCGGGAAGAAAGCTTTGCTCCAGGTTGATATTTCAATTTTCGATTTTCTTCATCAGATTTGGTTTATTTTTATTTTATTTTTTGTTGGAATTAAACTAGGACCTCTAGATTAGGAGTTTAAAGAATTAATAGTTTCCAAGGGGATTACGTGTATTTCTTAGGTATCTATGAGTAAGCTATTCATTTCAATTTGTTTCAAATTGTTGGTAGGATTTCTTATTTTGAGGATTTGATTTAGAGATTTTAATATTCTCATATATGAAAATTTTGACTATTACTGTTTTTTTTTCTTCGATTAATAGGGAGAGAATACAAAGAGAACATTTGATGCCACACTACTTTCTTCAACGTCCTCCCTCTTTGAGGTTGGTTTTAGAAAAAGATGGATTACCTGTGGATTGATATGGAATTACATTTTATGAATTGTTTTTTTCTTTCTTCAAGCTGTTGTCTTTGCTGGGCTGTCCAAAATGAGTGTTTCTTCAAATGGCCTCAACACCCTCGGTTGTACTATGCACACACAGAGAGAGAGAGAGAGAGAGGCGTGGGAATGTGGGATTGTAGTTTGGGTATTTAGTTTTTGGTGAGATTCTTTATTTATTAGACCTTAATAAATATTTGAGATTAAAGAGGCAAGAGAGATTACGTCTTCCAGCAAAAAGGTTGGAGAGAAAAATTTTCTTTTATTTTTATGAGAGAAAATAAAATTAATGATTGTCTATTTTAAAAAAATTAAAACTTCTTGCCATGTAATATTTAATCTCAACCATTGAAAGTGGAGTAACTAATGGCCCAAAAATTGTGTCAAAAATATGAATTATTGGAAGTTATTTATTTATTGTGTTCAAATGTGAAGAGTATGAGTTTTAATTATTTGTTCATTTATCACCTGCTTATATATTCATGTGGTTAGTTGTGTTGTAAGATTATAAATATAATATTGGAATGATATGCTAATTAGAGATCAATATGGATAGCAAACTAGCTAAGTATTTGATACATATATTCAATGGTTGAAAAGGAAGAATTATAGCTTTTGGTTTTTATTAGATTTTGGTGTATATATATATATATATATATATGGATATATATTTTAAGTTTAGTTGAGAACCAATTTATTGAAAGTTTATATAAATGACCAGTTATGGTTTTCAAACCCACCGCGAGGGTACCCCCCAGTTGCCTTGAGACAGTTTGTTATTTATGATTATGCCGTGCGAGGATTGCGGTTCAAGCTAACTAATGGTCCCCTGAGGCCTGCAAGGAATGCGGCTCGGATGGACTTGGTGTCTCCGGGACCTGCGAGGATTGCGGCTCAGATTGAAGTGTTATCTCTGAAACCTGCGAGGATTGCGGTTCGGGCTGACTAATGGCCCCCTGAGGCCTGCAAGGAATGCGGCTTGGATGGACTTGGTGTCTCCGGGATCTGCGAGGATTGCGGCTCAGATTGAAGTGTTATCTCTGAAACCTGCGAGGAATGCGGCTCGGTTAACTTTATGTTTCCGAGACATGCGATGATGGAATTGACAGATTATTATTGGAATTGACGGATATATGGAATTGACAGCATATATGGAATTGATGGTATTAAAGGAATTGACGGATCATATATGGGGGTATGCCTAGGTGGAGAGAATTTAAGATATGAGATGCTTTTAAACTAAATTGAAGATTTTATATAGTTACCACTATTTTCTTAAGCGTCGCATTTGTTTTACAAGCGATAGATGGAAATATATATATATTCTAATCAAGTTATTGATATATATAAATATTTATTTATTTATGAACTTTACGTGAGTTCGATACAAGGGTGTTCGGAGCTTATAAATCTTTAACTTATTTTATTTTATTTTATTATGTTTATTTATCTTTATCTTGCATTATTTTATATAGTATTAAATAGCTTAAGTTTTCTAGCATATTTTGCCCCACGAGTCTTAGATATATCTGGACCGTGGGATCGAGGATTGCGGACCAGGTTGACCAGATGTCTCTTGAGTCCAGCGAGAATTACAGGTCAGGACGTGTCACCATTGGTGTCACGAGAAATTAATGGTTATGGCTTTCCAAGCATGATTACCTGATATAAATGCTTTTATTTATTCAATTGATTATATATTGCCATGTGAGAAATGCCAAGAAGCTTGAAACAGAAAGCTGAGGTGAAAATTGAGAACTAGAGTGATTTTGCAATGAAAGAACTACGTGTGGCTTGATCCCTCAGTAAGGGCACGTAGGCAACCTATAGTTACAAGGTGCAACCACAAGTTAGAATGTTTGAGATTACCAATGCATTATTGTTGTTCTGAAAGTTGAGATGAATTGTATTAGCAGATTGATTTATTTGATTTATTGCGACCTAAGACTAGAATATTATGATGCTCGATTTGTTTGGATATAATTAAATGCATGCTGAACGATTGAGTTATATAAATGTTTGATGACAGGTGGAAATTTTGGGAAATGAGTAAATTACAAGGGAAACTCTGCCGAATTTTTGGCAGAAGATAATCTTATTTTAAAAGTGTATTTTTAATTAGAAGAGCAATTTGGTCTTTGTGCCCAGCATTAGCCAGGTGTCGGACACTCACAGGGTTCGGCTTTGATTCCAAAGTGGAATTTGGGTCGGGTCCTGTCAGCTGAGCATTTTCAACAAGTTGCTCCCAAGGTCGGCAACCATCAATCGATATAACCTATCCGCGTATTCTAGACGTTTCCTTGGGGTCAAAAGAAAAAGGGTGTTTCCTCAGTTTAAAATAGAACTCATTGTACCTGAAAAGACAATAAAAATAATCATTATAACAAAATATAACACATTATATTTCACCAAAAATCAACATATGAATATTTCTCACCCTAACCGATAGGTACTCCAAATACAATTGAGAAATGCATCCTTCTCAGGCCACCGGAAATTTGAAGTCAACAAAGAAAACAAACTCCTAAAAAGCAGCTCCATGTCTACAAAATCCTGCTGCTTTTTAAAATCATAAAGATCTTGACTTATATCATTACAGGATCCTTCAATGTTTATCAATTTCAAATGACCTGCAACGAACGCATAGCTGGATTTCAAGTTCAACGACCCGTGGTAGCAACCATAGCGATGGATCTTAGAGACACAGACAATCAACTCCATGTCAATATAACATAAAAATACTTAGGTCAAAACATCAACATAAATTTAAACATCAAACTGTAATATGAGAACCACCTTATTTCCTTCCTCCAGTAATCGCACAGAATACGATCTCTGCAAATCATGTTTGTCTTCATCAAATCCTGCTCTCCACCATATTTGACCTGGCCAAACCATTCGAGAAGGGACATTCCCATAACAGATCGTATTATACACCTTTGAAAAAGATGTCTGTTTATCCAGACCACAAACTTTATAGATACAGCTAGTGCAGAACCATGGACCACAAACTTTATAGACCACAAACTTGAATTAAGCTTTGCGGAGTATAGATAATTTTAGCTTTAAATTTCCTCCAATATCACACATCTATATCACACCTTTTATATATTCAAAAAAAAAAAAAAAATTTCTTTAAATTTTCGATTATCAGTTGAGGCTTGAGAGTAATAACAATTATGCTTTCTTCAAGAGCGTTAAAATAAAGCAATATAATGAGCTTAAGTGGCATCCAAGATTATAAATATGTTCGGTAAAATGTGATGCATGATTAAAATGCAAATGTGATGCATGATTAAAATGCAAATGTGATGCATGATTAAAATGCACACGAAAAACATTCGAGGTGGTTAAGCATGCAAGGTAAATTATGGGCCTGTTTGATAATCATTTTAATTTTAGTTTTTAGTTTTTAGTTTTTAATTTTTAATTTTTATGGTAGAGTATAGAGGAAAATGAGAGTGAGAGAGAGGATGAGAGGGAAAAGTAACAAAAGTGAAAACAAAAACTTAAAAGTGAAACAATTTCAAATAGATTTCAATTTTTAGTTTTTATTTTCAGTTTTGTTACTCATTCCTCTCTCCTTCCCTCTCATCTTCCATCTCAATCTCATCTTCACTCTCATTTGCCCTCTTTTTCCTTTATACTCTAGCACAAAAATGAAAACTAAAAACTAAAATTGAAATGGTTATCAAATGGGCCCTATATTTTCAATTCGAGGTGGTATCCTCCATTGCACCATACCTCACCTTATCAAACCAATTAGCAAGCGACATGTCAATCCTATCATAGCATATTGTAGCAAATCTTTTTAAAGAACTAGTCTTTCCATCAAGATCTCCACCAATTTTTCAGCTACATATGGTACATGCTAAAATATTTTGGGAATTTTATGTATGTTGTATTCTTTTCCATAAGGAAGTTTATATAAGAGTAGGTTTACTATCTTTCTTCCAAAATGTTATAATCAACGTCCAAACTTTGAATCTACCCTTGTCCAAAGTTCAAAAAACATTTACAATAGTTAAGTCTCCATGCTTAATTAGAACTTATATTATAGTCACTCTCTAATCTACATTCCAACCAACGACCACAATAAAATATCATCTCCTTTCTTTGAATATAGAAGTTCAACAATGTGTAAATTCTACATAAAAACTATATATAAACTCAGCAATTGATCATTATTTGATCTTCCAGTGAATACCTTATAGTGATGGAGTGATGTGAAGGCCAGTGTTTACTCTATGCTAATGCTGTTTTTTATTGATTTGATTAAGTAATTGTTTTTGCAAAGGAAAAGCTTGATTCTTCGTTTCCTCCTGCAATGGATGGCCTTTTGATGGAGAAAAACTTAGTTGCAATGGAGATAACATTGTTTTGCTATTCCCAACTAATAATACTATGCCACATAGAATGTTATTGCCCCGTTTCATAAAAGTCTTTCTCCTTTTCAGAGTTCACAAGCGCATTATTGACGGTTTGCATTTGCATGTTGATTCTTCTCACAATCTCTCTATCTCATTTTATATGATTTCCAATTCCATCTCCTTTCAATTCAGTTTTTGAATTCATTTTCTTATTTTAATCAGAACATTCATGGATCTGTGAGTTGGAAAAGATGTGGCTGATGTGGAGACACGTCAGCAGAAAAAAGAGGCCCCACATCAGCCACACCAGCATTTAGCAGTATGACTAGCGGTTCATTGACGGAGAGGCTTATGTGTAGATTTTCCTTGAGTTTTGGGCATTATTTAGCAAGATTTAAACAATCGGGTACTAATTTGAAATGACTCTAAAAGTTTCGGGGGTTTTATGTAGTTAACCCAGAAAAGAAAAGACAATAGATCGTTGAAAAGGACGGTAAGAGACTTCTCTGGCTTTTGTCTCTCCCAGTCTCCAGATCAGTTACCATTACCTCCCAACCCAACAACGTCTTCTACCCACCTACCTTCAACTGCAATCTAGGGTTCCTCACCCCTCTCTCTCTCTCTCTCTCACTGTTTTTCTCTCCGTACATTCTCTCCTCTGCCCCGCGATCTCTCTCCCTCCATTTCCATTGAACTTGAAGGTTCGTCCAGTTCCTCAATTCCGCTTTCTGATTTTGTAACTTTTACTTTCAATTTCGTTCGATTGGGGTCGGGATTGAATAGGTTTAGATTTGAATTTGTGATCTCTTTTGTGTTTAATTGATGTTTTACTTAGTTGAATTAATCTGTTGGGTTAGGTCGTGTGAATCGTCATCGTCAATCATGACGATTGCGGATTCGGGTTTCATGATGGAGAACGGAGCAAGCTGCCTACCGCACACACCAGAGGAGGAGAAACGGATCATCGACGAATTGGCCCGCAAATCCGAAGCCAATGTCAAAGAAGGCAACTTGTTCTACGTTGTTTCTAACAGGTCTTTTTCCTTTTTGATTGAATTCACTGCAAAGGTTTTATCTTTGAATGGACTACCATCTTTGTGATGTTCAATACTTTAACAAGTGTTTTGGCATCGTATTTCTTTGGTTGGTTCTGGGAATTCAGCTTCTGGTGGGCTTTACGTGCTTTCTAAGCCAATAATATGCATCTATGCTATGCTTCTGTAGTGGGCAATTGGGTATTCTGAATTAGATTTCTTTTTTGTTTATAAATTTTTTGGAAATCGGTCTCCTTCTGTTTACTGATCGTAGCTTTGTCCTGAAAACTGCCTTTTGTTAAGAGACTGTTGATGGTATTCCTTTTCTTTTATCCCAAACAATGGTTGTTTTCTCATGGGATCATTAATTAGTCTCATGCTTTTACAATAATATTTATGTTTGAATACATTTCTTGTGACATTGGTTTGTATCGGTATGGCCAGTAGCTGGTTTAGTTTGAATATGGCAAAATTTTCTTTCCGCTTTGTAGAAAAGATTTAGCGTGACCTGCACAAGTAAGAACCTATACTACTTTGCATGGGTGCGCTACTTTGAAGACTTATTGGCTGTAGTGTTGGGCTACCCGCTGTTGGTGTTTTGCATGTTTGTAACTAGGTTCTACTGTTTGTCCAGGTGGTACTTAAGCTGGAAGAAGTATGTTGAGCAAGGCACTGGAGAACGTCTAAATGATGAGTGGTATTTGGAGTCCCAACAAATGGATCTGCTCTCATCAAAGATTGTAGCTAGACCTGGACCAATCGATAATTCTGATATAGTTGTAAATGAATCTGAGGGCAATGATTTACAGCTTCATAGAACGCTGGTGGAAGAGCGTGACTATGTCTTAGTTTCTCAAGAAGTTTGGGAAAAGCTTTCCGATTGGTAATTAATTATTTCTTTTTTCATAGAACCACTCTTGCTTGTATGATCCTTCTGCTTGTATTTTTTTTTTGGTTTAAATGTACACAGCATGTGCTTGATATCCATGTTTGATAGTAAACTGCAATACAAAAAGGATGCATCGATCTTTTCATTTTTCCTCCAATTTTGTTTCAGTTATTTTCTACAAATATTACAGGTACAAAGGAGGTCCAGCGTTACCAAGAAAGTTGATTTCTCAGGGTGACGTTCACAAGAATTTGATGGTGGAGGTCTACCCGTTGTGCCTTAAGTTTATTGATTCTAGAGACAACAGCCAGACAGTTATAAGGTTAAGCAAAAAGGTACAGCAATCATCCCTTTGTTTTTTTTTCTCCATGCATTTATATCCATGAGAAGTATTTTTTAGATTGTTTTAATTGCTTGTAGAAAGTGATGTTTAAGAGGGGATTGCCATTGAGAGTTGCATTTGCGTTGTTTTTATTCGTCTGAAGGTGTTGCATGGTTCGAAGCAATCTTTATTGTATTTTGTTGATGACCTATCCTTCTTATTCATGAATGTGTCAATCTATCTTGTATTTTTTTTTAAATAAATAAAATACTGTTGATGTGGCGCTTCTGCTTCTGGGAGGATTACGTGGAAAGTTTTAAGATGTAGTACTATAAACCTGTTGTGTTATCTCTTTTTGAGCTTTAAGTTCTTTTCATCTAAGCTTTTCTTTCTAACATGTTTCCCCTCTGATTGACTTAGAAGCATTGAGTTTAAGAGTTCAGATGTCTTTGTTTTGATTTTTCTAATGCAAGCATGTAGGTTAATCTTTGGTGTGGTTTTTCTTTTTCCGTTCTTGGACGTATGTAATCTTGTGGCTGGCATAGATGTGATGACTCCGTATGTAGATAATGAAGGTTCTAACAAACTTACTCTGTTTCAGGCTTCTGTACAAGAGCTTTACGAGAAGGTGTGCACACTACGAGGAATCGAGCAACAAAAGGTACATTTATATAGTTAGTTTTCCCCCCTTTCTTTTGGGCTTAAGTTTTCTACTTTAGTTGCAATGTAGTTATGTTACGTTGTCTTGTTTGACGTTTATAACTTTCAATCACAGGCCCGTATTTGGGACTACTTCAATAAGCAGAAGCATACGTTATTGGATGCTTCAAACCAAACCCTGGAGCAATTGAATTTGCAGATGGATCAAGAAGTGAGTGCTTCTGTGTTATTGATCATTAATTAGAATATTCTTTGGTAGTTGAAATATATGATTGTGCATCTCCAGCTATGATTTTATCTTTTACTTGTAATAATTTATAATTACCTGCTTGCCAAAAAGTTGTTCTTTTTTTTTTTGGGTAAATACCACAAGTTGTCCCCACACCCGAAGGGAGGGATTAATCCCCGCTCGGGGTTTGGCTTGCCCTTGGCCACAAAGTGCTTCCAACTTAATTATCCACATATGGTAAAAAAAAAGTTCTTTTGTTTTAGAAGGAAACAAGCTTAAAAGTACTAGAAGGACCAATAATACTGTTTCATAGAATTCCTTACTTATTTCAGAGACATCAAGACTCTTTTGATTGTTACAGTATGCCAACTAAAGAAATCCTGAGTTTTTCCTTTTGAACAGGACTTATTTTCAAGAAATTTTGATTCTGGTAGGAACTATGAGCCAAGTTGTGTTTGGTTGCCTACTTATTACTGATTCTGCAGCAACTTTAAGTACAAATATGATACCTGGTTATTTTCGCACAGTTCTTGTATTGGACTTTTTACTTTTTTCAGGAGGACCTTCAGATCAGTCAGTTTTGGTGATTATTTTGATTTATCTGTAGTGAGTCTATTGATCTATGCTTTTCTGTGCAGATTCTTCTTGACGTGCAAGTTGATAGAAATCATTCTTCTCAATTTTCTATGGACTCAACAGGAAATGAGTTAGCATTAGTACCCATAGAACCATCAAGGTCATCTATGACCATTGCAGGGGGGCCTACGTTGTCGAATGGTCATTCAACGAATGGTCATTCAATGGATTATAGTTATAATTTGCCTCAGGGAAGTGCCTTAAGCAGCTCAGCATCAGCTGATACAGATGATAAATGTTATGTTTATAATCCAATGAAAAAAGGAGATAGGGGAGGTTTGGCAGGATTACAGAATCTTGGAAATACTTGTTTTATGAATAGTTCTATCCAGTGTTTAGTCCATACACCCCCTCTTGTTGAGTATTTCTTGCAAGATTACTCGGATGAGATCAACACTGAAAATCCCCTAGGAATGCATGTAAGTGGCTATCTTTGCCTCACGCTTGTTCCACATGGATAGTCTTGAACACTGATTGCTTTGCTACTTTTCTCCCCTAAAATTTCTAACATATGTCGTTGCAGGGTGAGCTTGCTCTTGCCTTTGGTGAGTTGTTGAGGAAATTGTGGTCCTCAGGACGAACAACCATTGCACCGCGTGCATTCAAGGGAAAACTTGCTCGATTTGCTCCCCAGTTCAGCGGCTATAATCAGCATGATTCTCAAGTTAGTACTGCATTTTTTCGTAAATGTCTTCTCTTTGGTACATGTATCATTATGCTATTCTCTAATGCCAAATGTGCAATAGCTTGTTACAGTTTTTATTATAATTTCACAAAGTCTTCTAAAGCCATCTAGAATACTTTTCTAGGGGTATTTATAATAAGCTACCTGATTATTGTATTTGCTCTGAATGATGAATTCTTCTTTATAGGAACTTCTTGCTTTCTTACTGGATGGCCTACATGAAGATTTGAATCGTGTCAAAAATAAGCCGTACATTGAAACAAAGGATTCAGATGGTCGTCCAGATGAGGAAGTCGCAGATGAATGTTGGAAAAATCACAGGGCCCGAAATGATTCATTGATTGTGGATGTTTGCCAGGTAAGAAATCTTTTTACTGTTATTGTTGTATCATATAATTTGTACATCTTGTTTGTTGCTATATTTGTCGGTCATCTACTTTTTCTTGTAGTTGAGTTTCTAGTCCTTATCACGTGGCAACTTGCAAGTGTGCTAAATCGCATCTAAACTTTCTGCTATTGTTGCTTTCAAATACACATGCACGCATTCATTGAAATGGCACCTATGGAAGGTGCATACAAGAATAAAGGGTCTATACAGGACCTATATAAATTTGGAAACAGATAATTTAAACAGATAATTTAAAGGGGTTCAAAGCTTGAGGGGGATGGCTGATTCCAGCTTTTAAGGAGTGCTAGGTCCTTTAGATTTCGAGAACCTTAAACGCCAGCCTTTTTGCTCTTCTATAATCCTATATTGCTTATGCTAACATCTTGGTGCCTTTAAATTGGATTCTTATGGTCAATTTTTTTATCAAATTGTATCAAAATTTACTTGCCTTTTTATATTTAGCTCGGTATTTGTTTGTTTCAAGAGTAATTTTGTGAGTTGCATGTTGTTTAGTGCTCACTTTTCTTCTTTATTGTGGGCTTCTAGAGTAATGTAATTCATGGTTGTGGTATTTTTGTTGAATGTACAAGGTTTATCTTTGGTTATTGGAAATCAAAATCTGGTTTAACAAATGTCCAGGGTCAATATAAATCGACGTTGGTATGCCCAGTTTGCAGCAAGATTTCAATTACTTTTGACCCTTTTATGTACTTATCATTGCCTCTACCTTCAACTGTCACTCGGTCAATGACGGTGACTGTGGTTTATGGTGATGGACGTGGTCTTCCAATGCCATACACTTTAACTTTGATAAAAGATCGCTGCATTAAGGATCTTATTGCCGCATTGGGTACTGCATGCTGCTTGAAGAGTGATGAAAGCCTTATGCTTGCTGAGGTAATATTGAGTTCACTGACTTATAATTTTCCTCTCTCTGTCATTTATTTATTTATTCTGTAGAACTGTACCTTTATGTTAGTTTGATTTGATATGATTTGTTGGCTCATTCCAGCATTCCCTATTAGTTAAGTTTTTGGGCGAGGTAGTCTAATATGGTATTAAAGTTACAGTTTCAAGAGGCGTTGGAACCTCTCATCCCTCATCATTCCCCATTTAACTTTGTGCACTTCAGATTAAGGCTGCATTCGTATGTTTCTCTACATGCAGGATTGGGGTTGCACTTTGAGTTGGAGGGATGTTAGTTTGAAACATATTGTTGGCACATTTTCTAATAAGTTAAGTTTTTGTGTACAATAGTAGTCTAACACTTCTATTTCAGGTATATGAACATCGAATTTATCGATATTTAGACAACCTTTCTGAACCATTGTCGTCAATTAAGAATGATGACCGCATTGTGGCTTATCGATATTCTAAAGAAGAAGCAGCTTTCAAAACCAGACTTGAAATCATTTATCGATGGCAGGAAAAGTAGGTTTGCTTTCCTTAATCTGTAGCGGTTGGATTTGCTTGTATGTAAACTTGTCAAAGTGTGAACTTTGTTTCGACCCTGTGATTGTGATGTTTAAAGGACATGTATGAGCGTGCCACAAAATGTTGATTTCATTGAAATCGGAGGCCCATGGAACCCCTTATTTTTTAATCGCATCTTTCTGAAAATGAGGTTCATGTAGGCCCTGATAGATAGGTCATTCTTAACCTTCTTACATGTTGCCTTTTTCTTTGGCTGACTAGAAAGAGAAAGAGGATCTTCCTTAACCATACATACTTAATTGCCTGGTTGCTGCATATATTCCATTGGATAAGCTCTTTTATCATTATTGCTTCTGTTTTTTTTGCTTTTTGGCTGAAATTTTAACCAAAGTCTTTGTCAATTTCCAGATCTACATCAGATTCTCTAAAGGGTCAGAGAAAGCTTTTTGGAACCCCATTGGTTGCTTATCTTGGAGAAGACAAATTAAATGGAGTTGATATTGATAGAGCTGTCTCCAGAATTCTGTCACCTTTGAAGAGAGCAGTTAAGCTTAACAGCATAAAAGAAAATGGATTAGTTTCAGAAGGCATTGATGAAGCATCAAACAGCCACAACTCGAGGCCCATGGACAACATAGAACTAGAGGAAACATCTAGTGGCGAGTTGTCCTTCCATCTATTTTTAGCTGATGAAAGGGGTTCGAGCTGCAAACCAATTGAAAAGTATATGCCCATTAGTTCTGGTAAACCCATAAAGATTTTTCTGGACTGGACTAATCAAGAAGATGAAGTATATGATGCTAGCTACCTCAAGGATCTACCTGAGGTGCACAAGAATGGGTTTACCGCAAAGAAAACTCGGCAAGAAGCTATTTCCTTATTTACATGCTTGGAGGCATTTCTGAAGGAAGAACCTCTAGGGCCTGATGATATGTGGTAGTGTACTTCTACCAATTTAGTGGCTTCTGATATGGCGTTATTTTAAATTTTCAGGCAAGTGGGTATCATCATAGGCAATATTTTGACGTATGCTCTTGAATTTTGCAATACAGGTACTGCCCTAAGTGCAAGGAACATAGACAAGCTACAAAGAAACTGGATTTGTGGATGTTGCCAGAGGTTCTTGTTTTTCACCTGAAACGGTTCTCATATAGCAGATACTCAAAGAATAAACTTGATACGCTAGTGACTTTTCCAATACATAATCTTGATTTGAGTCAATATGTCATGAACAAGGATGGAAAACCTCATTTATATGAGCTATATGCCATTAGCAACCATTACGGTGGTCTAGGTGGTGGGCACTACACTGCATATGCAAAGGTAAAACTCTGATACATCTCATCTTTTCTGAGTTTGAATGGTGCCCTACTGGCTGAGATTGGCTAGTTGATGACATTTTCCCCCCTGCTAGTATTACAATGATACTGTAGGCTTTGTGATTCATATTTCAATCACTGGCTAATGGCAAAAAATTAGCAGTATTCCATAGTTATATGATATTACAATGATATTGTAGGCCTCTTTAAAATATCATCTGTTGAGATAAAGTTATCTTGTTTGCCAATCTTGCAGTTGATTGATGAGAACAGATGGTACCATTTCGATGACAGTCATGTTTCTCCAGTCAATGAAACTGACATCAAGACTTCGGCTGCCTATGTGCTATTTTATCGGAGAGTTAAAAGTGGACAAAAGATTGGAGAGGCCGAGTCATCAGGGACTCATATGGAATCTTGACGACATCAATTGAGTGCATCCTCCTATTATAGGGTTTTGAAGCTTAGGTTAAGCTGACTTGGTCCAAGAATGGTGAGCTTTGTTGTTTTACTTGGCTAATGGGACCTGGCAATCGGCAGGTTGAAGGTACAGATTGCACGATACTGGCATGGACCAAAGCCGTAGTACAAGGGGCTGCATGACATGGCTGTTGGTACTGGGAATGTGTTCGCCATCTCATACAATATTTTTTAAGGGAAAAGAAAAGAAATTTTGGTAGCCATTTATCCATTAGATTTCCTCTGGTAAAGATTTCTTCAAACATCCACCTGACTCTGCTTCTTTGTTTTTTTTTTTGGTCAAGACCTGACTCTGCTTCTTATTTGTTGGGAAGAGTAGCAAATTATTTTAGAACTTCTGTAAGATGTTCTATGTTTATTATGGCAGTGCAGTGTAAGATGTAGAGACAGGACAGATTTTGTACTGGACGAAAAACACTGTAATAGAATCAGAGACAAAATTGGTGGAAAGTTGAAAGAACCTTTTGTTTTTTACCCCTAGCCTTTGCAGATTTACATGTTGAAATTCCCCCTTCTTTTTTTTTTTGTAGTTTCTTTAGGTGGATGCATCTTTACTTTTGGCTATTGATTTGATCCTCAAGTGACAAGCTTAAAGTGGATTGTGAATCATCAGAGCTTATATGGGTTTTTTGTTTGTTTTTTTTTTTTTTTTAAAATATTGTCCATACACAGTAACAACACAATCTAAGATGACACAGATACGTACTACAACAAATACAAAAGTGATCAAATAAATCATAACTCTCTCTAGACTGCCTCCTTCCAGACGTCCTCATCAGCAGCAGCACTAAACTAACACCTCTCTCCCTAATCACTAGAGAGTTATTAAGACAATGAAAATAATTCTCCTGCAAAAGCCAAACAAAAGAAAGAAAAGTTAAAAGGCTTGTTAAATAAGTTTGGTACCATTTGAGATGCCACTGCCAACCAAAAAGAGTTAAAGGCCACCCACCATCATCACTTTCCTCAGTGAACCCCACACCTTTTAACTTATCAGAGACATGTTGATGGATCGTTAAGAAAAAATGCATCACGGTGTGGGGCCTCATTGGGAATTTTATGTTAACAATCAAATTTTATATGGTGACCGTTGATGGATGCATATGAGATTCACAATGCATCGACAAACAGATAAAAGCATTTTAAAATTCTAGATTTCATAAATGTTATGATTATGATGAGTGATGATGATGGTGATTCACAGTAAAAGCGGGTTATGAGCAAAGGAACAGAGTTTCACCTTTTTTTCCCTTAATTCTCACGTAGTCTTTTTTTTTTCTTTTTTTTTTTTAAATAATCCTCTATCTTTTCCACCGTCCATTCACATCTTGATTTCTGATCAAAAGGCTTGAGCACTTACTGCTCTCAGCAACAAGACCACTAACATGGGAATCAAACCAATCACATGGCATCTCTCCTGATAAAACAAGAAAGCACCATCACAACACAAATCAGAACTAAACAACCCAAAATAGCAAAAATTAAACCAAAAAACATCTAAATTAAGCAACTGTATGCTGGCACATGTACATGTAAGCCGACGTCGTTTTCCATGAAATGCCCTATTAAATTTGTCCCAATCAAACCCAACGGACACCACTCTCTCACAAGGAAAAAAATCATCCTAAATCTTATCAACACTGAATGACCAATATCCGTTGGACATCTGGTCCACTAAAAACTCGGCTGCTTAACACAGTAAAACAGGAAAACAGTAAACAGTAAAAATGAAGGACTTGCCGTGACCGCTGCGGACGAAATTGCCAAGTAGCCAGAACTGGAAGTTCCCGGCGGAGAGGGAGTAATCGGATTCACCAACCCGCCCGAACCCGAACCCGAATTCGAACTCGAGTTACCGTTACCAAAGGAGCTGTTGCTCACCGACAGCCCGATTGAGTACGCGGGCGACCCGTCGGGTTTGAAAAGCCCAAAGTTCCTCTCGGAAGTCGGGCCGGGTTTCATGTTCTCATTGAACAGAGCGAAGACGTAGATGTTGAGATCCGACCCGGGCCTCAGCGGCGTGCCCTTCTTCTGGCAGATGAGCTTGATCAGATTCCCGTTGTACTTCTTCGCGTTCTCCGGCGTCGCTCCGGCTTCGTCCTCGTCGCCTTTTGACGGCCAACCGGTCTCGGAGATGTGAACCGGAAGCTTCTTAAACCCTAGCGCAGCTAGGGCGGAGTAAACGGCGTCGATCTGAGCGAAGAGCATGTTGTCGTAGTGGAGATTGGTGCCCGAATCGAGCGAGCCGGAGTTGGGCTGGAAGAGGACGTAGTCCAGAGGCACCTGCTTAGGGTTTGACTTGTAGGCGAAGTAGGGGTATGCGTTGATCAAGAACGGCGAGCCTGTTTTGGAGTGGAAGTTGAGGATCGGAGTGATGCAGCCGGTCAGATCTTGCCGGAAAGCTCCGGCTGACGGCGGGAACGAGGTCTCGAGAATGGAGAGGGAATGGGCGGTGGTGACGGTGACTTGCTTGTCGAGATTGAGAGAGACGAGGGCGGCGTGGACGCTTTGCATGGCGGGGAGGAGATTGTTGCTCAACGACGTGTCGTTGAAGGTGAGGACCTCGTTGCCGACGAAGATGCAGGTGATGTTGGTGGCCGGTAAGTGGGCCTGAACATTGGACTTGACCCAGTTTTGGGCCTGGGCCGGGTCTTGGACCTTGATGAGGAACTCGTTGCCCAGGCCTACTATGAACTGGACGCCGGTGTTGGCGAAGGCCTTGAGGACTTTGGGATCGGCGTCGTAGAGCTTGATCTTGGAGATGCCGATGGACTTCACCAACGGAACAACGTCGTCCGGCGAAGGTAAGTTGTTGGCGATTTGGCCGTAGTTTATCCCCATTGAATTCACCATTTCAGCAAACACGAACCCTTTTGAAAACAAAAACACAAAAACAGAGATAATGCTGTAATTAGTTAACCAAAATTCAAAAAGAGTAAAAAGATCAAAGCTTTGAAGCTAAATTGGAGGATGAGGAGCAGGGTTTTAGCTATCAGTGCCTGAAATGATTAGAATTGATAAGAATAGTGAAGAGCAGTAGCTGAAGCTAGTGCTGGTCGCCATTTTTAGTGCTCAGCTTGGAGACTGCAAAAGGGAATTAAGCAGAAATGTAGAAGCTGCAGCAGCTCCAAATTGGCCAACAGTGAGGAGAGAGAGTGACCACTGTATATAGAGCTCTTAGTCTCACTCCCTCACTCTCAGAATTCAGAAATGAGCTGGGACAATGGGTTATAGGTCAAATGCCCAACGTAGGCACGCAACTGTGAAAGCTATGGGTTTGCGAGAGAGAGAGAGAGAGGATAAAAAATGTGAGCTTTGAATTTGGTTGGTACCGGGTAGATATTTAGGGCTTATAGGGACGGCACGGAGGCAGGTTTAGGGGTAGAAACTACAATGGGGACCAAAGGGAATAAATGAGTGTCTCTATGTTTACAGTGTCATACAAAGAAATGTGATTTGGTGTGATTTGGTGTGAGTGATTTTTTATTCTTCCTTCGCACTTGAATCCTATGATTGATGCATTGGTGCTGGCTTTGGCGGTGGTGATGGGTTTTGAGTGGGGTCCAGTGACTGTTGTCCGACAAGCTTCACATGATCACCATTCCCAATCCACTCAAATCTGGGAGCTTTTTATTATTTTACTTTTTGTGAAGGAGCAAGGGTAGGCTGCACTCACAAACTCTGCTTTATTTTCTATTGACCTTTTCTCTTTTCGCTTCTTTTTCACGAGGAGGAGCTGTTGGGCTGTTATGTTGGTTTTCTCATGGTTCAAGAAAAACGGCAGAGCCATTGCCATACAGCACCAGATACGTGGCATGCATGCCAAGCAAAGGTGAGCAAAAACAAAGCAGTGTGAATCAACCTTTCGCCGTTTCTGGCTGCAAGAACAAATATCTTATCTCTTATCTCATGTCTCAACTCTTGCTTCATATTCAATGCAACAAAAATGAAAATTTAGCTCTGAAGTCCACACACATGTCACTGATACGTAAATCAAATGTCTTTTCTCAACCATGAACATGAACTTTTACAATTAGTTGCATTTAATTAATCTTAGGGATATATTTAATTTTTAGCTAGATGTTGAGTTGTCAAGTTGAGCATATTTTAAAGTTGAACTAATCATATAGCCAATTGGGTATCAATTGGTTGAGTTCTTCTACTTTCACCAATGTGGGCAAGTGTTCGAAAAGCACCCAATAAATATTTGTGTAACCATCTCCAATCGCTTATAACAAAAAAATTTAAACTAATCATTTTGGAGTGTTTGTGTGCATATCAATTTTCATGGTTTATCTGTTTTTGTCCATATGTATGATAAGAAATACGAAAACTCCCACCTAGAGCATCATTTGGAGCAATTGGATTGATTACTTGAGTCATAATTTACTATTATTCTGCCTTCCACCATGCTGCCTTTTGTTGTTACTTTTGATCTTGTGGGTTTTCTGCTTTGTATAATCATTTTCTCTTTACCGCACGCTCATGGTGATCGTTATTGCTACTATAATTATTCTAGTTTTCGGTCATATATTCCTTTTGTTTTTTTCCGGGGATCCGTAAGCTAATTTGAGTATCTTCGTCTCCATTTTTCAGAGACTGAAAGATACATAAAATCTCTTAACCAATTAAAACCTTGTCAACTTGGAACTGCATTGCTGTAAAGACAAGGTGAAATGTCACCATCTTGCTATCTTAGCCGACATTTTTGTGCATTATATTTGCTGGAAATTGATCAATTATTCTAGTCTGGTATGTACTTGATGTTGAAAATGGTATTCTTGTTGTATTAGTTATATGTTATTTGATGGCGAGGTTTCTTATTAGCATCTCCTTCACCTTCTAGGTCAAAAATGCCAACTCAAAGCTTCCATTTTCTCAGAAGTCTGAGTTATAGACTTTGCTCAATTTCTTGTTTTCGTTTTCGACAACCACACCAGCAAAGAGAAGAAAAAAGAGGGGAGAAAAACCCTTCGAAAACCATAACAGAAAGGGGGAAAAAAAAACTTTATTTTATTTTTCTGCAACACTAATTTTTATTTTGTTTACTTGCAATATGTATTCAAAGTACAAGACTAGGCAAGCAAAGCAAAACTTGTTCTTCAGGTCTTCATAACCACAGCAAACAAGTGTCAGATTCATTAAATTATGCACAACTCGAAGATCACTTTTCACCCTCACAAACTTACCTGATTATAGAAAAGCTTAGATTTCCACCAAAAGCATATGGCTCTCTCACTTGGAGCTGGAGGTCAAGAACCAATAGCGGCTACCACCGGTGGAAGTTAGCTTTTACTTATAGGTTAATATTATACTAGAAACTTAACGCTCAGGGAGTGGGAACATTTTCCTTGGCAAGAGGAGCAATCTCTTCCCCTTCAATTCCAGGTTCGCCACCGGCAACTTCCAGGCTCAAAAGCATCTGTTCCCATTGTTTTGAAGGTCCCTGCGTTCGATCCGACATGGTTAATTGCAAACCAAGCAACATTAAACTCAAAATTTATGAGAGAACTAGCTGCTTAGCAACTGAGTATCGTACGAACCTTCCACGAAAGATCTTGGGCCATGCAATTCTGGATCATCTCATTTAACGCAGGAGTACCGTATGCCGCAAGAGCTCTCTTTACAGTGGTAGCAATTGCAGTCACATCTGCTGGGTCAACTTCATCACACTAAAACAACCCACCAAAACACATAATTCATTATTTTGAAGATAAGTGGAACAAAGGAATATAAAAAAAGTAGTGCAATTGTGTGACGTCACAGATGCAAAGCAAGTCATTGACTTACTACGACGTTGAAAGCTCCCATTTGAAATCCTGTAAAGCCTTCTTTGACAGTGTCAACAAGTCCACCGGTTGAGGCAACAATAGGCACCTAAAGACATTGCATTCAGCATAATTAGAGGAAGTGACTGATAGTTTAAGACATTGGTTGTTAATGTACAAATCTAGCTCCTTACCGTTCCATATCGCATAGCATGCAGCTGAATGAGACCACATGGTTCAAATCTACTTGGGATCAACATAAAATCAGCACCACCAATAATCATGTGGGCTAATGGCACATTGAAGTTTGCCACTCCTACAGCCTTGCCTGGATATTTGATCTCCAGCTGTTTGATCTGCGTCTCCAGATACTTCTTGCCAGTTCCCTAATAGAAACAACATCCTTCCATCAAACTCACCTCTATGCCTACTGCTGACAGCAACAGGGTAAAGAAAGCTGATTCATCAGATACTTACAAGGATTATTATTTGTACTTCCTCTCCAATGAATTTCGAGATGGCTTCTACTAGAATGTCTGAACCTTTCTGCTCCTCCAGCCTACCAATGAAGCCTATCACCGGGATGTCCCTATCAACTGGCAGCCCAACTTCTGCTTGAAGGGCCTCCTTCAATAGAGGCTTTGCATCCAGTACCTGGACATACAATTCTGATCAGTACAAAAAATTTCCTGCCAGCCATGTCAAGGTATTGAAAACCCTTAGGATTTACTTACACTTGTGTTATCATATTTGACATCTAGGTACTTGTCTCTGGCTGGGTTCCACTCTTGAACGTCCATGCCATTTATAATACCAGTGATTCCGGTCTTACGGATGATGCTATCTAATTCCACACCTTTGTCTTCTCCAGAAATAAGTTCTTGGGCATAGTATGGGCTCACAGTCACAACCCTGTCTGATTCCAATATTCCAGCCTTCATCCAATTGATTTTCCTTCCCTTCACAGGCTTGTCATACCTGCAAATTTAACCAAACATTCAGAAAGAGGAAAATTTTGCCAAATCCACAAAGTAAACTTTTGAGTCCTTCATATAGTTGCTACATCAAATGTGTAATATATACCCATCAATGAAGTCAAAAGAACCCCTAAGTTGGTCGGGCAAATCAAGCAGTGAGAAGTCCGAAAAGGAAAATCTGCCCTGGTAAGCTATGTTGTGGATGCAAAATACAACCTGCCATTCATTTAATAAGCGTTATTACAGTTTTCATGTAAAATAATGCTCTTCAAACTCAGGGCACCTTACCTTGGCATTTTTGTAAAGACCCCTTGGCTTGTAAATGGTTTTTAAGTAGCAGGGAATAAGAGCAGTGTGCCAATCATTAGCAACAAATACAACATCCTCTCCTGCAATGAGGTAGCCAAGGATACATCCTTAATAATATGCTATGTCTTGAAGAAATCATACTCTTTTTTAAAGAAAAAGAGTGAGATGCACACCGTATGGTCCGGAGAAGTATTTGTTGCTGTTCAAATTAAGAACCCTTGGAGCCTCCAGAGCAGCCTGTAAGTTTAAAAAAAGACTAATTCATAATTCAACTTTATTCATATATGAGTCATCACAACAGGAAAATTAATTGTTCTAGACAAGTTATAAAAAGAAAATGAAAGAAAAGAGCATGACATGCCTGGCACAACAAGCTGAAGCGCAATTGGTTGTCCTTGTAATCCTCTCCTGTCTTGGGACCATAGACTTTGGATCCAGTTTTGCCCCATACCTTCATATCCAGAAAGCCAAGCATCAGTCAAAGATCTAATTGAACCCTCATTCATACAATAATCTAGAAACACATGGCCTTAGACAACGAAGAGAATATTCATACCCTCTCAAGGAACAATGGGTGATCCACAAAGACACGATCAACACCGCGCTTGTAGCAATGGAAGAAGCGAACAGTTTCAATTTTACCACCGACTTCCATCTGCATAATCAAAACTTCTGATCATTTGAGGCACATTTTCCTAAACATACATTACTCGCTAAATAAGAAAGAAGCCCGGAAACAACATTAGATTCTTCAAGTTCAAGAGGCATATACTAACTGCAAGACTTACCTCAACCAGTACACTAGTATCCCATGCATCTTTGTATTGATCATAGCGTGGAGACACGGTCATAACACGGTGCCCGTTAGCCTAGAAATCAATCATCAGGCAAAAAATCAGTCAAACTAAACCAGAGAAATGAAAAACATGGATCAAACTCAAGTAATTCACAAACCGCCAGAGCCGGTGGGAGGCCCCCAAGAACATCACCAAGACCACCAGTTTTGCTCCATGGACCAACTTCAGCCCCCACAAAGATCAAGTTCATGCCTGTCCCACATACAATCTTCCCCACGCACTGATCACCCTCGGTCTTGTCAGCTTTCTTCATGGCTTGCCTAGGAACTGCATTAGGACGGGTTTTGATTCGAAGCATATCCAAGTTGCTCAAAGACCTTAGCCCGTTGTGAGTCATTGGCTGGTTCCAGAGGCCCATCTGCCCCAAGTTTGTTCTGGTTTCTGATCCTGAACCTCCATTTACATGGGAAGTCCTTGATACAAAGTGTGAGGCTGCCAAAGTCGACATATCTGATAACCTTGCTCTGAAACACATAACCAAACAAATCTTATAAAATTAAAAACATAGAAATAAATTTTAAAAAGTTGTGCCTCTAAGCCACAGAAATTAACCAAAATACAGAACAAGATGATCAAGCAAAACCAAAGACTTTCAGGCTCACGGGGGTGAGAGATTACTCAAAAGAAAAGAAACCCAAAAAAAATGATCAGGCAAAATTGTAGACTCTGAAGCTCACAGAGATCACTCAAAACTAAAAAATAAAATTTAAAAAGTTGTGCCTCTAAGCCACAGAAATTAACCAAAATACAGAACAAGATGATGAAGCAAAACCAAAGACTTTCAGACTCACAGGGGTGAGAGATTACTCAAAGAACAGAAACCCAAAAAAGATGATCAAGCAAAATTGTAGACTCTGAAGCTCACAGAGATCACTCAAACTAAAAAATAAAATTTAAAAAGTTGAGCCTCTAAGCCACAGATATTAACCAAAATACAGAACAAGATGATCATGCAAAATCAAAGACGTTCAGGCTCATAGGGGTGAGAGATTACTCAAAGAAAAGATAGCCAAAATTGCTGATCAATCAAAATTTAAGACTTTGAGGCTCATAGGATCATAGATCACTCAAGCAACTATACCCAAAGAAATGATTATCAAATCAGACACCAAAGTGTTTCGCTTGCGTTTACTCTGTACTAAAAATATGAAATCACAACCAATTGAGAAAAACTCTGAACGTTGGTTTTATGTACTAAAACTTATCAAGATAAGAGCAAATTTCGGAACTGATCATACCAAATTTAAATAATTTGCAAAAATATTTAATGTTTAATGGTATTGGTCAAGTTTCTTACCAAGTTTCAAGTTGAAAAAGCACTCGTAACTCTCTCTCTCTCTCTCTGAGTGTCCGAGTCTCACTCAAACAGCTAGCTGAGAGAGTGAATTGGTGTGAAATGGAAATGGTCACTGGGGAAGTGGGGATTTGTACTACTTGCCACCTACGTTATTGTGCCGGGACACGTGCCATAAAGGCAGCGGTTGGGCTTCCAAACCTGAAGCATGATCACGTGCGGTTTTTGCATCCCTGGGGGATATTCGACAAACGTGAGGCCATTCATTGCACCTCCTGTTCATTGGAACAGAGCAGCAGCAGCAGCTGAAGATGTTTTCTTCAATCAAGTGGCGGAAACGACACCGTCTGGAGTGGTAATCGTGTCCATGGCTTGGTGGTGGTGGGGCTTTTGATGGCGAGGGTTCCTGCATAGGAAGCAGACAAGATACAAAACGACATCCAGATATTTTGTGGGGCAATCAAACTTCACGGTTGAAGTAGTTTTCTTGAGATTTTATTGACTCTATTCAGTGTGTAGTTGCTGAAAATGGACGGTCGTTCGTTTCTCGGTACCTTAAAAAATATTCCCAAGTTGCATTTATATATTAAATTATGCACGGACGTGGTTGAAGCCAGCAACAATCTCTATCATCGTGATCGCCCATAATTGCAGCTGAGGAAGATGAATGCTCAGTCAGTAGGGTGAGGAGGACCCTACCCTTGTTTTCTTCACCAATTTTTTATTTGAAATCTTGAGAGGTGCGGATGATTTGGTCTTTTACCCTTTTTACTCGTAAGGAGGAAATTAAACAAACTTAACTGGTTCAATCAACTCATGGCATTTTGATAAGGGTATACTGGTGTTCTGCTTCCTGAATTTATGCCTAATTTTCAATTTGCCTCCTATTCTTTTTTTTGCCAATTACCCATACCATTTAAATCCTTAACATTTCATCCAATTTGACGTTAAATACGAGAACAAAGTGGTCATTTTGTAGTTAAAAATAAATAATAAATAAATAACAGAAAATTAAAATAAACTCTCTCTCTCTCTCTCTCGTAATTTGTCGCAAAGGGTGTAGCTGCCCAGAAGCTCCAAATGTTGCTCCAAGAAGATATTTCCTGAGGTGGGATTCTCCGATAAAGTACCTCATAGCCACTTTGAGCACAAGGGAGGGATGAGTCTGGGTCTAGAGGCAAGGGCCTGGGGATGGAATGGGTCTGGGGCTGGGGGATGGGTCTGGGAGTGGAGGGTGGTGGTCATGGGGGAATGGGAGGAGAAGAAAAACCCGGAGAAGAAGTGGGGTGGGCTGGTTTTGGGGGATGAAAAATACAAAAGGGGGAGGTGGAGTGGGGGAAGGTTTGTGGGAGTGGAGGATGGTACTCTTTTCTTCAATATTTTTTAAAAATAATAATTTTTTTAAATGATTTAACTGAAAATTAGATAAAATGTTGAGGATTTAGAGGGTAGGTGGAATTGGTGAAAAAGAAAAGTTCATATCCTTAATTTTCTAAAACAAAATGATATATGACAAATTGAATATTATGTACAAGTTCAAGGGGTAAATCACTGGTTTAATGACTACAAATGTTGTAAGTGTTAATTGACTCTGTTCCACCTTTCAAATCTCCATTTTTCCGCTTCAATTATCTCCATCATCATTCGTCATGTCGTATTCAGTTTGATTATTTTCTCATTTTTCATTATTATTGTGTTTACTGTTTTCAGTGCACATCCTTTTCTACTATATAAAGCTGTCAAGTAGCCTAATGACGAATGTTTTAAAGATCAATGGACTTTTAAGCATTTGTTAATTGATAACTGCCCATGGTGGGTAGAGAGTGCACTTATCCACATACAACCAATCACTTTAATGTCTTGTTTAGTTATAAGCCCACATTACTAGGCTCGGTCATTTTGGTAAGACTCTGGGGTTCGATTGGATTTGTTCCCCAATTCGGGCCCTAGCAGTTGCAACACCTGATGGTCAGCGATAGGCTCAGTTTCGCGAGTGGGGATTAATCGAGGTGAGTGCAAGCTGACTCGGACACCTTATGGTACTTAACAAAAAATAAATAAATAAAGATCAATGGACTTGTTTGCCATTTATTGGATTTGTGGTTGTGATTTTGTGTTTTTTCATAGAAGCAAACTACAACAGAAGCTTCTGATTAGGAAAATAGGAAGAATACAACAGAACTCACGACCCACCACACTACTAGTCACTTGCAAGAAAACGACGTGGGACTAGAAGCAGCGCTGTCTGTCATGAACATGATTTTCAAGATTTTTTATGACGTGCGTTTCAACAAATGATTATGATACTGTGTTGTTCACGTTTTTATTTTTATTTTCTCAACCCCTCTTCTTCTAGGAAATTAAATCTTGAACGTTCCTGCTTCATAATTTGCAGTTTTTGTCTTCCCTCCTCCATCCATTGGCCCACAGTTTTCCACTAAATGAAGGTACTGCTGCTATAATGACATTCAGCCAAGAGCTTGCCCCCTACTTGTAGCCATAAGTTTTCTGCCTAAACAAATGCGTGGAGCGTTGCTTGTCACTAGTATTTTTCATTTTTAGATTGTAAAAGTACGAGAGTGTTCACCACATATTGTTAGACAATATGGTTCGTATTTCCCTTCTTAATGTTAAAAGAAATTCGTAAATTTAACTCTTTTCTTTTTAGGAGTTATTTAATGTGTAATTTTCAAGGCATCGTCATAGAGTTGGATGGACCACGTGATTTTTGTACACAAACTTTTGTGGCATCTAATCATCGCATAAATATAAATTAAATTGAAGGGTTGAGAAAGTAATGAACTTTCAAATTCACGATGTGTCATCCGACTTTAATCGCCCACAAAAAAGGTGCCCTATTTTCATTCATTTCCCTAAGGAACCCTTTCCAAAAAAAAAAAAAAAAAAAAAAAAAAAAAAAAAAAAAACAAATTAGGGATCTTCCCTGATTGCTGGCCCGTGCCTTTAGGACCCATCTTAGAATACGCAAGGTATTGGGAGGTCTCCCTGTTTCCCTGATTCTTCACGAAAAACAAAGTACACAAGTTTTAACCAAAGGGTTCTCAATTGCACATGAAGAACATTTCTTTTGACTTCTGGGTTAAAGACTAACAATAGGCTGAGCAAGTCTTAAGCAACAGCGAAAAATAATTTAAAATTGAAACAGGGCAGGCAACCAAACCCGACACGTTGGGTGATTTGACCAAAAACAACTGATAAATCCTTTCTTCTTAGGCAAATTTAAGAATTAATTAGCTTATGATTATGATGAGTAAAAGGCTGGCAAAATGTGTTTTATACAATTCCAAATAATTTAGTCCGCAAAGCAAACCAATTTGCTACCGACAATTTACAATGAAATACAAACACAGGCCAGACCTTGTGACATGTACTGGAATCACGAAGATTCCTATGACCAGATTTTTAAGGAAAATACGAAACCTTCTTGCTTTATAACTACGAGATTAAATGGTAATTACGAGATTGAGAACATAAACACCAAACTGAGAATGACCCAATTAACAATAACCACCAAAAAAAAGTCTTGAACTTTGGAGAAGAAGAAAGAAGAAAAAGGAAAGAAATTTGTCTCTGATTGAACTCTAATCACGGGCTTACAATTAATTAAGAGCTCCGCGCCAACAATCATCTATGCGCTGTCACCAACGTCTCAATGAACCTCAACCCGTCGAATCTCGGCTCGAATTTCTCCTTATCCGACGCCGTTTGACAGTTTTGTGCACCGTTCTTCACCGCCGCAGAAGAAACCCCCTAACCAAACACAATTAACATGTAGATTAGATTAAAGATGGGATTTTTACTCACTTTTCGTGAATCGAAGTTCACCGAAGCAGAGAAATGGGCAGATCCAATCACCAATTTCAATCTTCACAGAGAAAAATATATGAAAAATTTGCAGCATTCATGTACATACCTGGTTGGACGAAGACGACGTCGTAAGAGCCATGGTGGACGCCGCAACCACCGACGCCACCAGTGTACCCGACGCTTTCATTTTGCGAACTCAACGAGAAGAGAAGAGAAGAGACGAGAAGGGAAAGCCCGTTGGTTCGGGGTTCCGAATTAACTATTCCAAATCAGATGGGCGAAACCCGACGAGGCTCGCCGGATCTCGACCCGAACTTTGCGATTTCCTGCTTCTCTGAATTTTTCGCTTGCAGAGGCTTTGGCTGGCGCTGTGGTGGGCCGTTATATATATACGCGGGTAGCGGGCCTCCCTCAAACCGCATTTAACGGGGTTTAATTTTAAATTTAATTCCGCCTTCGTGTCGAGATTCTCCGCCACGCTGGCGTGTTTTGACGTATCGAGTCAAACAAATGGACGGTTACGATTGTGTGGTGGTGATTTTGAAGGGTAGGTGATGAGCCTGGAGGTGCGTCCCGCAGGTTGGGATTGGAGAACTGAGGTGGGTGCACGGTTAGGTTGGCTGGGGGGGGAGAGTAGGTTAGAGTGGTTCTTTCTTTGGTGGAATAAGGAAAGATGCTTTATTGGGCCGTAAGATTCCAGCGCTGGTGGGGCCCGCTAGCTTGGGAATGCGAGTTGTGGAGGGAAGAGGGGAGGGGGTTTAATAGGTTACGTTACGTTCTATTTGTTTAAGCTCGACGCCGTTTTGGTCAGTCTCTCCGCTCACGCATTGTTTTGTGGAGTATTTGACTGACTCTTTTTTCTTTTTCCTTTTCTTTTTCTTTTTCTTTTTTTATAGTAAATCCAAACACAAAAACAATTCAACCATACTCACAAATCGTTTCTGACTACTTAAAAGCGCTTCTATAGTCTTCAAAGAGGCCTACTCTGTACCTGGATGGGGTAACCTTCCCTCCCCTAAACTCTTTTTTATTTTGAAAAAAAATAAAATTGTGTTTTCAAATAAGTGCACCAATTTGTTTTAATGTGAACATTGTTAAACGAGTTGTAGTTAGATTATATGCAATAGAGAATAGTAAATTTGTCAATCCAACTGCTACAATAGTGTTTATCTTATGTACGATAGAGAATAGTGAATTTGTCGATCTAATAGCTGCAATGACGTTCGCCTTAAGTATGAATTTGTTAAAAATCTTTAAACACACTTTGCTGATGAGAATAATAAGTCGAATGAGAAAAAAAAACAATATTATAGGAAATTGGTCAAGATTCTTCAACCCATTTTTGGTGTATCTTTGTGATGATGTTGAGGTCAAAATGGAATATGTGACCCTTCATCCGTAGATAATCTACCGACAATATGGTTGGAAGGGATATAAAAGATGAAGCACTATATGTGATCTTGGACCCCTCTTAAAAGCAAAGTCCTACTTGAAAGCAAAGGCAAAGAATTTCCAACACGACTTTTTACTAATTTGCTTAGGAAGGAAAAGCATGCAGTTGTGCTTAAACTAGGAAATCAAAACCCTTGCCAAACCAAACACTTTCTAAATTCACTAGGAATATTAAAATCCTAAACCCTCTGCCTTTATATTAAGGCCAAAACAATCCTTGTGCTCATCCATAATCTTTTGTTCCTCAAAACCTAATCCTTAAGGTTGCTGTTTGTTTGACAACAATGTCTGTTTTCGGTGGTTTTCTTGGAGGCATATGTGCTGATTATTTTGATGATGAATTTGGTTTGCCTCTGCTTAATTACAAGGCAATTAGCACCAAACCAAAGGATGCCGAGAATTCTGAAGCCAAGAGAGGAATTAATGAGACCAAGAATAAGTACAAGAATGTGGGCAGCAGCAGTTCATCGTCTAAACCTAAAGCCTTGGCTGAGGAACCGCAAAGCGATGCACTGTCTTTTGCTCCTTCCTCTGATGGATTGTTCTGCTTTGAAACGCTAGTTTCCAAGTTCACCAAACCTACTTAGTATTTGTTCAGTTGTTACTTACTTTGGCTAGTTGGGAGAGACAGTCAATTCATTCTTACTGTTTTATGAGATTGTAAGGAAGTTTCAAACTTTCAATTATGTTAAAATAATGCAAACTATTTTTTAATCACTGGTGTGTGGTAAAGAAAAATCTTTTGTGGTATTGTATAATTGTTTATGTTAACTTAGGTGGAACGGAGGAATCACGAAATAGAGAAGTCATGAATAAGAGAGAGACGGGGTGAATATGAGATCGATTACTTTTCTTAATCAATTCTTGAATTTTTACGTATTTAATTACGGATACCTTTGTATTTGTGAACCGGAATAATTTCAACACTCATAGAGAAAATTAGGAATCAAAATTATTGCAATCCCATTACTACGAGTAAGCATGCATAGTTTATGCCTACAAATACTTTCACATAATATAGTGGAATTCAAATACTCATTACATACCATTACATACCAAGTGTGTGCATATCTTTATTTTCATAATATTACATACCCATGAAATGTAATACAAGGCTATAAAGCAACTACATTATGAAACCCATAATTGTTTTTTGGGTTTGTAATTGATGCGCTTTTGGGCCCAAATGAAGCCTAGAGAGTAGAGAGTAGAGACCATCAATAAAAAGTAGAACACAAGGAAGGGAAAAGAAGACTATGACTCGAAACAAGGACTTGTTTTCAAATATTAAAGTCAGGGAATAACTCAGTTAGTTGAACTCTTTAATCTTCACTTATGTAGATAGAGGTTCGAAACTCCCTAACACCCAATGAATATTTGTGCGTAAAAACTCATTTCCCAATCACTATAAAATAATAATAATAATAAAGTCACTCATTCTTCAACCCTTTGAACCAAACCTACCACCAATCTGCCATGCATGAATGAAGCCTTCTAAGATTTCGTCATTCCCTTATCAAAAACTCCAATGCCTCTCTCTCCAAAGTGGTCATCTTCGCTTCCTTCCATCTTTATCCATGAGTTGACCGTTGACTCTTCAATACTTGGCAGAAATAATTCTAGGCTGCGGTCTCATCCTCTTCCCAAGCAACAACCAACAAGTCTGATTTTTATTGTCCCTTCTTTCCAAGACATATTCAATGGTACTGGAAGAAGAGCAGACCAAAGTGGAGTGGATAGATAGATATACATGCACATCATATTATATATTAATTCAATCAAGTGCGTGAATTGTGAAACCCAAGGTTGATATTTCACAAACAAACTTAATATACATGTACCAGCTTTTGTGCTAAGTTCATCTGTATTATATTTCAATTGCAGCAATTTCTTTCTTTATCGCCAAACCGAAGGAAAAGAGAGAAATTGTCTTGCCCTGGAAGTTGGTAAATCTAGTCAAGTTGATCTTTTTATTTTTTTTATGTCGCGGATTCAAATTTGAGATTACTAATTTGTAAATCAATGTCCTTTTTTATTGGGCTAAATCCCGCGTTGATAGAGATGTGAATATTGTTACACATAAACTTGCTGGATTCCTTAAATCATGGGAAAAGGAGTTTCATAATTTTTTCCAATATATGCTTTATAATGTTTCTTCTTTCCAATAATAAACCTCCCCGTCTAAAAATAGAAAGAAAAAACCGAAGTTATTCTTTTTCTTGGCAAGTAATGTGCACACAATTTCCAAGTCAAGATAGGCCAAGTCAGAAGTGACTTCATTCCGAAGTAGCCGTCTTTAGAATCCTGAATTCTTCCTTGCCAAGTTGTGTCAGGCTCGTCTTCATACGCGGCGGTACAGAGCATCCAGCCTATTTCCCTTCACACGCGTTCTTAATCCCAATCCAACAAGGAAAAGGCAAAAACCTACCTCCTCTCTCTGGAACTTTCCATCTCTCTCCTCCAATCAACCCTATATATACTTCAATTTCTTCCACAAACCCCCATCATCAAATCTCAAATTCTCTCTAAAAGTCTAAAACTTTCTGAATTCCGAGAATTGGGTTTTCGACTTTCGGTTCATCCGAACCGTAAAACACACAACTTTTTCCATCAAACATCCCAAATTCACTCCGAAGTCTAAATCTTTTTCAATTTTAAGAATTGGGTTTTCGAGTTTTCGTTCATCTGAGCAGTAAAACACAGAAAACTTTTACAAGCAACCATGAATTCCATGTTCAGTTCGTTTGATGCTTTGTGCGCTGAGTTTCTGGGCCAAAAGGTGAAGGCCTCCTTCCCTACCCAGCAGCAGCAGAAGAGTACTGGGGCTGTGGTGAACAACAAGGCCTCAGTTTCAGATAATTTGAACAACAGGGAGGAGGCCTCTTTGCCTCAGCAAGCTCAGCCTGTGAAAAAGCAGCAGAGCCAGAAGGCACCGCCACGGTTCGCGTTAGAGTTGGATGGGCTCAACTGCTTTGAGACCCTCGTCTGTCGTTAAAAACTACAACTGCCGCTGGAATTTTTAATCTCAAAAAATTGGTGTAAATGTTGATATAGGATATACTGCAATACAATTCTTTCAACTAATTTGCGGATCTTTTTGATGTGTTCATCCAATATTCCTTTATTTTACTTGTCCAACCAAAAACCATAGAATAGATATCCAATTGGAGTGAACCCCATGATCAAAAATTAAATACCTGAGAAATAAATAAAGAAAACTCTTAACATAAAATGAAATAATTCTGAGATCACAATCTGGCATAGCCATCCATTCCTTTTTTCCAAGAAAGGGAAATCTATTCTTGGGCCACCGACAACTAAAGGCTTATTTTCCATGAAGTGGGCCTAGTTTTTATTACATTCTTGATGTCCTTTTCGGCCCAAATGAATTTTAGAGAGAGACTCATTAACATTTGGAACACAAGAAAAGGAAGTCACCTCTTTGTGGTTGGAGATTGGATGTCACAAGTGCAAATTTTTTAAGAAAAATGAAACAAAATGGTTAAGTTTTGGGTTGATTGCACATATACAACATCAAATTTCATCAATTAATTTCGCCAAGTTTACGATTTGGACTTGATTGCAAATCAGAACTACCAAAATCGAAATGATAAGAAGCCCACACTTCATTCATTAGCTCAAATACAGTTCAAAGTCTTCAAGGTTGAATAATACTTATACCAACCCTACATAAACTCCAATGGCTCCCATCTTCCTTCCATCTTCATCCATGAGTTGACCGTTGACTCTCCAATAGTAGTCTTTTGCCAAAATCCAAATTCAACTTTAGGTGGCAGCTACTCTTCTTCCCATGGAACAACCTAGAAGTCTGTATTGTCTTGTATTGTCCCTTCAAGCTTTGCAATAAATCTTTAATGTTATTGGAATGAGACTAATTAAGTCGACTAGATAGATATACATGCACATCATATTATATTAATTCAACTTCTTTGTGTTCAATTCTGAAATCCGAAGTTGTTATTTCTCAAACTTAATGTAAAACTATACTCTCTTTTTTTTTGACACAAAGCAATAGTGTTTTATTAATGAGGAGGAAAGAAATAAGTACAAAACAATCGAAGTATGTCCTAAAGAATTAGGCGAGTATTCTAAATTATATATAAATCAAATCATATTGTGTAATGTTTTTTTTATGGATTTGTACGTTATGTACCTTTTGTGCTAAGTCCGTTTTTGTATTATGTTTCAACTTGCAGCATTTTTTTATCATCAAAAGGAGAAAAAGCAAAACACTTATGTCACCTTATAAATTGATTATGCATATCATTAACATGTTGTGTGTAAGCAAAAGTAAATCTAGTCAAGTTGATCCCTTCATATATTTTTTATTTATTTATTATGACTAGAACCTTGTCATGGCTTATGATAGTTGCTGTGGAACTTCTATAAATACAAAATTATATTCACCATTATTGTCCCATCTATAAGAACTCGACGGTGAAAATTCATTCGTGCATCATTTATGCAGACAAATTTATACATAAAGCTTTTTTCTTTCTCACTAAACAAACATCTAATCACATGAACTAATGGTGGACAAAGCCCCACTAATGACATGTCATTTATAAGAAACCCTTCAATGATGGAGAAACTTATATCTCACTAATGATATTCATATTTGACAATGCTAAGTATTGTGCGTCTTAGATTTACTCGTTTGCTTTATATGTAAATGATGTTTTACAATGGTTTATGTTAAAGAATAGCTTTTGAGAACGTGCCTCACGTGCGGTGAAATTCTGCTTTCACAAAGTCAAGAGGTTTCGTTCTTCGTCATCTAGAAACTGCCGTACGCGGCGGTTTCTAGGTGCAGTGCAGCCTTGCTCGTTACTGGTTGTGTGTTCTCTAAGCCTTCTCCGAGTATGGAGGAAGGTTCACTTGGTGTGCTCTTTAAGAGCTCAAGATTGATGAAGAGAGTCTGAGCGTTAGAGGATCGTGTTCCTGAGTATGGTATGGAAGATGCTTCCGATCATACTCCGATGCAGAATTCGGGTTTTGTTGATGGCCTAGTGATGGAAGGTAGATCTGGATTTGGATCTGTGAGTTTTAGGGATAAGTTGATGGATACGGTCAATTTAGCCAAAAATGTGGGAATTGATGTGAATAGCCTTGAGGTGGATTACGATGATCTCAATGATGAAACGGATGTTGTAGTTGCTTGTGGGGAGCGTGGTCCAAGCATCCAGTTCTCTGAACGAGCTATGGATCGATTGTGTAAGCCTTGGAAGAATGCTCTTATTATCAAGCTGCTAGGAAGATCACACACTTATAATTATCTTCATGCTAGATTGCAACAAAAATGGAGTCTCAAATGGGGTTGGAAATTGGTGGATTTAGTTAATGATTATTTTGTGGTGAAATTTGAGCTAGAGGAGGATTTGAATTTTGTTCTCACTGGAGGGCTCAGGATTATTGTAGGGCAGTATTTGGTGATGCAGAAATAGAGGCCTAGATTTTGCCCAGCTACTGCTAAGATTACTAGGATGGCTGCTTGGATTAGGGTGTCTGCTTTACAGTTGGAATGTTTTAATGTGTGGTCTTTGAAGAGAATTGGCAATCTATTGGGCAAGCTCTTGAAAATTGATTCTCTAACCACATCTCAAAATCGGGGTAAGTTTGCTAGACTTTGTGTGGAACTGGTATAATGTTGAATATGAGGGGCTGCCTGAGATTTGTTTTCTGTGTGGAAAATATGGTCATAAAAGAAAGGCTTGTGATATGAAAGCTGTGAATTCTGTGGAGAGTAATGCAAGGGGTTCTGATGAGGGGGGAATGGATCATATGGCCACTGACTCTGGCACTAAGGATGCTAAGGATATGCTTGCGGAGAGTGGGTTAAGAGGTTCGTGGATGATTGTTCAACCTAGACGGAATGTCAAGGCTCCTTTTAGATATGGTAATGGTAAGGGTTATGGTGATCAGGCTAAGGGGTCCAGGTTTGCTGCTCTTCGACAAGTGAATGATGATTTTGGGAGAGCTGAAGTTGGTTGTGATGTGGAGCAAATGCAAAATTATTCCAAACCAGCAAGTTCTGCTGCTCCTTTTGTTGATTTTAGTCCCAAAGTTTGGACTAAATCGCAAAGGTCTAAGAATGCATCAAGACTTGTTTTGAATGATATTTCTACCCACTCTGTTCGCGTCCAACGTAAGGGTGGTGAGAGTGGTAGGAAAATTGTTGGTGGTAATAAAACCCTATTTGGAGGTACGACTATAAAAGAGAGATTTGGGACAATGGGAGAAAAGGTTAATACCAAGGGTATTGTAAATGATCAGATTGCTAGTTGGGTTAATGAGAATGATATATCCAAAGAGAAAGGAGTTTATTTCTTTGGACATCAGCCACCCAACATACAGGAAGAGGAAGAGTCTGTGATGGGTAGCTTTGATTCTGATGATGATGAGGAGCAACTCCTCTCCTCGGTTCCTGGAAGCCAAAATAAAGTTGAACAGATGGATTTGTTTGAAGGGCAAGGAAATGTTGCTAAAGAGCAGTTGACAGATAATACCTTCGACAATGTTGGAGGTATGCCTCTTGGTTGTTAAAGGGTAAAGCCCTCATGTTAACTTTTTTGCTGTTAACTCATTCATTATGAATTTAGTTTGTTGGAATGTTAGAGGTGCTGCTAGCACAAAATTCAAAAATAATATGATGGAGTAGATCCATACCCATCGTATGGATATTTGTTTTTATGTGAGCCTAGAATTAGTGGTGAGAAGGCTTTGAACATTGCTACCTTTCTAAGGTTTTCTTGTGTTGAAATTATTGATTCAGTTGGGTTTTCTGGTGGTCTTTGGTTGATGTGGGATGATAGCAGAGTGCATCTGGATATCATTGGGACTTCTGATCAGTCTATTATAGCCTGTGTGTCTTGGAAGGACCAACCTAGTGGGTAGGGAGAAGCTTTAGGAGTATTTAGATTTTGTTGCTACTTGTCATCAATTGCCTTGGTTACTAGCTGGTGATTTCAATGAAATGCTAGGGGTTGATGATAAGTTGGGAGGTGCTTCTGTGAATAGGTTGAAAGGGTTTAAAAGGTGGTTTGGTGGTAATAATATGATGGACTTGGGTTTTTCTGGGCCTAAGTTTACTTGGAGAAACAATAAAGTTTTTGAGAGGCTTGATCATGCTATCTGTAACATGAAGTGGAGACACTTGTTTCCTGAGGGTCATGTTAGACATTTGCCTCGTACCACTTCTGATCATAATCTTATCAAGGTATCTTTGCAGTCTAATTTTTGTGCCTCTTTTAGGCCTTTTAGATTCGAGGCTATGTGGCTGAAGCATGAACACTTCAATGATTTAATTGTTGCTGTTTGGGGGAGTTCTTCTGGCTCTGCTGTAGATAAGACTTTGAATTTGATTAAACATTTAAAAAATTGGAATTCTACTATCTTTAGTCACTTAAGACAAAAGAAGGCTATACTTTTGGCTCGTCTTGATGAGATTCAGAGGGCTTTATGTCGGGGTCCTAATTATTTCCTTAAGCAGCTGGAGATTTTTCTTATGGATGATTTTAATGAAGTCTTAGACCATGAAGCGTTGTTTTGGAAGCAGAAATCTAGGATTAATTGGTTGCAAGGGGGTGACAGAAACACTAAATTTTTCCATCTCACTGCTGTGATTAGAAGAAGGAGGAATAAAATCAAGCGGCTTAAAAATAATGATGGCTTGCTTGTTGAGAAGGCTGCAGGCATCAAGGCTCTTGCTGTGGAGTATTTCTCGGGTCAGTTCAACCAAGTGCAGGTGGCTGTCCCTGACATGGTCCTCCCTAATTTGTTTCCTGGTATTAGCAATGATGATTTGGCTTTGTTGGGTAAGAATATTGAATTGGATGAGGTTAAAGAGAGCCTTTTTAATATTGGAAGTCTTAAAGCACCTGGTGTTGATGGTTTTCCAGCCTGTTTTTACCAAAGTCAATGGGATCATTGTTCTTCTGACATCTATGCTTTGGTGATCAAAGCTTTTACTGAGTGCAAGGTTCCTGAGAAATTAAATTACACCGTTATTACTCTGGTGCCTAAAGTTACTAATCCTCATACTATGGTTCAGTTCATGCCAATTAGTCTTTGTTCAACTCTCTATAAAGTCATTTCCAAAATTATTGTTGCAAGGTTGAGACTTATCTTGCCTTGCCTCATTAGCCTCAACCAGGTTAGTTTTGTCCTTAGTAGGCATATAACAGATAATATTCTTATTACTCAAGAGCTTATGCATAAATTCAAGCTCTCTAAAGGAAAGAAGGGTTTTGTGACTTGGAAGATTGATCTATCTAAAGCTTATGACAGACTAATTGGAATTTTGTTAAGTGTGTTTTACTAGAAGTGGGGCTGCCTACAGCTGTTATTCCACTGATTATGCATTGTGTCTCCACGGTGAGGTAACAGATCTGCATTAATGGTGAATTAACTGATTCTTTTGTGCCTAAGAATGGTATTAGACAAGGTGATCCTTTCTCACCTTACCTCTTTGTCTTGTGTGTGGAAAAGTTATCTCACCTTATTTTTGACTCTGTTCAAAAAAGGATTTGGAAACCTGTTAAATCCTCCCAGAGTGGTCCAGCTGTTTCTCATCTATTTTTTGCAATGATCTTATCCTGTTTACTGAAGCTAGCTCTAAACAAGCGCACATGTTATGAAGAATTGTTTAGAGATTTTCTGTCAGGCTTCTGGGCAAGTTGTTAACTATGATAAGTCTGCCATTTTATGTTCTCCTAATACCCCTAAGGCAATTGCTAAAGAGATTAGCTTTATATGTGGTTATCCTATTGTTGCAAGTCTTGGGAATTATCTTGGGATGCCTCTTTTACATTCTCGACCAACTTATACTACTTATAATGGGTTGATTGATCGAGTGACCAACCGTTTGGCTTCTTGGAAAAGCAAGTTGTTATCTATTGTTGGTAGGGCTACTCTTGTTCAAGCTGTGACTTCTTCCATTCCCATCTATGCTATGCAAACAGTTAAACTTCATGCTAGTGTCTATGAGCATCTAGATCGTTTGAATCGTAATTTTTTTTTGGGAGGCAAGGAGGAGAAAAATAAGGTCAATCTTTGCCAATGAGATTTGGTTTGTAGGCCTAAATGTAAAAGGGGAATGGGGTTCAAAAAAACTGCTGCAATGAACCAAGCGTTGTTATCTAAAATTGGGTGGAGGGTTCAAAATAAAGACAATGGTTTATGGGCTAAGATTTTTTAGGCTAAGTACTTAAAGGGTGCCTCTATTTTGGATTCTCCTAACTCTGTCAAGAAGTCTAGTTCTCGCAATTGGAAATGTATTGTTCATGGTGTGGAGCTGCTTTTGAAAGGTATGAGGTGGAGGATTGGTTCGGGTGATCAAGTAAAATTTTGGAAGGATAACTGGTGTAGTGACATACCCTTGCTGCATCAGGATGGTGTTTTGGATATTTGTAATGCTGACTGCGTGATCTCGAGCTTTTTTCTTCATAATTGGTGGGATATATCCAAGTTAAGAGCAGCTCTTTCAGAGGATTTAGTTCAAAAAAATTGTGAGTATTCCGGTAGGTGTTCATGGCTCTCTATTTGATACTCAAATTTGGCACGCTTCTTCTAATTGTGTTTTCTCTATTAAGACTGCTTATAAGTTGTTCTTTGCTGGTCCTTCTTGGCCTGAGTCTAGCTGGACTTTCCTTTGGAAACTAAAAATTTCTCCCAAGTTGCAAATCTTTTTTTGGCTTGCGTCCCAAAGTAAAATCTTGTCCAATGAGTATAGAGTGAGGCGTCAGCTGGCTATTGATTCTTCTTGTGGGTTATGATTGGCCTGTGGAATCTGTGTTGCATATTTTCCGTGATTGTGAAAGGGCTCAAAGTGTTTGGCATGCTATTTCTATTCTTGTATTTGCTCCCCATTTTTTTAAGCAAGATTTCATACCTTGGCTTAAAGTTAATCTGCTTTCTAAAGCTAAATGGGGTGGTGGTCTGCCTTGGTCAGCTGTGTTTGTTTTTACCTGTTGGTACTTGTGGAAATGGAGGAATAAGCATATTTTTCTCCCTCTTGATGAGTATGTTGCTGACCCTATTAAGACTATCTTAATGGTTGTGAGAGATTGGGTCAAGGCTTCTCAGGCGCGTGTTAAGATGAGTCCTAAAGCTCGGGTTTTACTCAGTTGGGAGCCTCCCGGTTTAGGTATGTTTAAACTGAATGTGGATTGTTCTAGGAGAGCAGCCTCAGGTTGTATTGGTGCTGGCAGAGTGATCTGTGGGGCTAATGGCAATTGGATCTGTGGTTTTGTTGTGAATCTAGGCAAAGGGCAGATCCTTGAGGCTGAGCTTTGGGGCTTGTATTTTGGGCTGCATTTGGCTTGTGATAAAGGTATCTCTAATCTTCTTGTTGAGATGGATGTTGTAGTTGTTGTTTCCCTTGTTCAGCAAGCTAGTACCTTGAGTTGTCATCCTTTTGTTGTGTTAATTCAGAGTTGTTGTGCTCTTATGAGGCGTATTGGCAACTGTCACCTTGCTCATGTTTACAGAGAAATGAATGTTGTAGCTGATCGTATGGCTAACTGGAGCTTTAACTTGGATTTGGGGGTTAGCTATTTGGATGAGGCCCCTGCTTGGGTTAGCTCTTTTTTGGAGGATGATTTTTTAGGAGTTGTTAGGCCTCGCTTGATCTATACTAGTTAGTTGTTGTTTCTTTTTGGGGTTTGTCCCTCCTATTTCATAAAATAAAATAAAATAAAACAAAATAAAATAAAATTTGATGTTTTACAATTAAGAAGCTCCTAATTTCATCGAAGATGCATTGTTTGAAAAGGAACATGCGTTGTGATGTATATTATTCTTTCCATTTCCTAAGATAAAAAGGAAAAAACAAAGTAAATTTTTGGGCAAGTGTGAACAATGTGCATAAAATTTTCCAAGTCAAGATAATAGACCAAGTCAGAAGAGGAGACACCAAGACTTGATTTCCAAGTAAATTCCACCCAAGCTGGAGCCTTCTATACGCGGCTAGTACAGACTACAGAGCAACTAGGAAAAGCCCCACTTCCTCTCGAACTTTCCATCTCCTTTCCCCCAAAACCCTATATATTTCAATTTTCTGTACAAGTCCCTCATATCAAACACCTTCTCTCTATTTTCTCTCTGAAGTCAAACTTTTTCAATTTCAAGAATTGGGTTTTCAAGTTTTGGTTCATCTGAGCAGTAAAATACAGAACTTGTACAAGCAGCCATGAATTCCATGTTCAGTTCGTTCGATGCTTTCTTCTACGCTGAGTTTTTGGGCCAAACGGTGAAGGCCTCCTTCCCTGCACAGCAGCAGCAGAAGAGTACTGGGACTGTGCTGAACAACAAGGCATCAGTTGCAGATAATTTGAATGGTGCAAAGCAAGAGGGCAACAGGGAGGCCTCCATCTCCATGCCTCAACAAGCTCAGCCTGTGAAGAAGAAGCAGAGCCAGAAGGCACCCCCACGGTTCGCGCCGGAGTTGGATGGGCTTAACTGCTTTGAGACCATCGTCTATCATTAACAACTACAACAGTCGCTGGAATTTTAATCTCAGATATTCAGATTGTTACACAGAAAAAAAAAAACCATTTGTTGTAAACGTTGATATAGGATATATTACAATACAATTTTTTCCCCACATTTTGGATCCATATTGATTGATTTTTTTTTAATTGCTGAAATTAAAATTTGATTTGTTGCCCAGTTCATAAAATCAGGAATTGAAAACTGGGTTTTGGTTATAAATTGTGCAGCTTTGGCTTGCAGCCATTAAAGCAATTTTAACCTTAAAAACACTAAACCCAGAGGAGGAGGGAACAGAGTGTGAGCTCTAGGTGCTTGCAACCAAACTGTCAGTGTTAATATCATGTTAAGCCAATCCTTTGCATCAATTGCAAGAGAGAGAAGCAAATGAAAACTCTGGAGTCCTCAAGAGCACTAGGTTTGAATAGAAACACTCTCCAAGTGGATAAGTTTCAGATTATCTTTCTAGAAGAAGACAATCAAAAATCAGGCACGACATCGTTTTGGACACACGTGTTACTCTTCTGTTAGCTTAACACAGAAAAAATATCGGCAGAGAAATCCTATGAAATCATGTTTTTGGACACACGTATATTTAATAATATCAGCAGAAAATCTTATTGAACAAAATTTCATGTCTTCTTCAATTTCAGATTTGCATGATTGACAAAAATCTGGCCAGCAAGGCTGTCTTTGAAGTTGCAGATGGTGGCCTTTTATCCACCAAGGAACCAGCTGTTAGAAAATGTTTTCATAGGAGCGATTCGCGGTTTTCTATCACTAGTGCCGATACTGTCGGTAACTTAACCACTTAAACAATCCGGTGAGTATAAAATTATATACAAAAAACCTCAGTATTAATAGTAGTGAAATTACTCATTATATCTTGTATTTATTTTATTTTATTAAGCCTTTGACGTTGGACTACACATTCTTCAACATAATTAGCCTCTATGTTTCCACTCTGCCTTTTTCCTAGCAAAATCGTGCTCTCAGCCAAGAATGTCGAGTTTTTTATGAGGACAATAGGCGGCTGTCTATACGAAAGGGGGTCATAACTCAATTATCGATTGCTTTGGGTCCAATGAATTTGATTTTGATACTTGTCCAACTCAAACACAAGAACCGTCATCATAACAGAGAATAGCCGACTTTATGGAAGTCAGATGTTATTGTGTGAACAGACCCCTAGCTTCGATGATTTATGGGTGCTGACTGATGGGCCACGTGCAAATAGAATTCCACATGTCTTTGAGGACCCAAAGACGCAACTTTACAAGGTTCAGGCTTCTAGCAGTAGTAGACAAGTGGCTGATTGTGATTGGTCACTTGTTTCCCCACGAACCCAGATGAACTTTTATCAACCTCCCTACTTCCTGAAAATATGGAGGGGTCCCATATCTACCATCATGATCTCATCCAGCCTAACATTTAACAATTTGCTTAGCATAACAACATGCAGTTTTTTAAATTATCAGAAACTGATCTGCATGTGTGTGTTTTCCCTTTGCCTTGGAGCATAATCTATCAGTTCACCTAACATTCTGTGCTCCCATGTTTTGATCGAGGACAGGCATCAATCAAGCTATTTCAACTGTCACTCAAGTTTGTATGCAAAACTACGAAGCAACTCAAAATCAATAATTTGAAAGAAAGAAAATGAGCATTAAAAGAACCTGAATGTTACTGTTATTCTTGCAGCACAAGATCCCTTAATGACATTTCCAACTTTAATGAATACAGCTATACGATCTCTCCTCTTTTCCCAGACATTTCTTTGTTCTCATCTCTCTTTTGGCTGGGATTCTACAATTAAAGCTATATTCATAGCTCAAAGGAAAAAAAGGGCAAAGAATATGACCTCCAATCCTCTCAAAAAGGGGCAAGTGCAGAGATTCATCATTTGGCAACTCCTCACTTCACTTTACAGTAACATTAGCTGGCGTCTCTGGAATGAAGCGACAATTATTTCCAATCACAACTTCCGACCAATGTTTGCGAACCTTCGGGCTACTCCAAATATAACTGCCTTAGTCAAGAGCCCCCGGTCAAGGCTACATGCAAGGGCAATGGCCCCACCGACAACTAGAAGCTTAGGTATGCTCTTCCCTTCTGGTTTCTTCTCCGATGAACCTGATTTTTCAATTGCCATGGTGTCACTAGTGCTGTTTTCCACCGATCTCAAGTAGTCTGCACTGACTTTGGTGTTGATCTGAGCCATGTAAGCACACCGTGAAAGTGGGGCTTTAGAGGCTCTCTCCTTCTGATATACTCGCAAGCCAGGTTCAATCTTTTTAACAGCTCCCCACATACCTTGCCGGACTCCAAGTTTTGCAATTTCCCAAGGAATACCCATATCTTCATGATGAAACAGTAAAACCTCACATGCAGTAAGCTGGCCATCCCCTCTCTTTGATTCAACTGGTTCATACCCAACACAAAGAAATCTTAGTGATTGTTCCCAAGACCACAATTCAGATAAGAATGCAATACAAATATTTAAATTTTAAAGCAAGAAAATTAATCTGCCAATTATATATCATAGAAAAGAAAGATCCTTCATTTAGGAAGTTTGACAGTTTTTTTTGGTGCTCCTTTATTCTTTAAGAAACCAAACCCACTTTGTATATCTTTCAAAATCACATAATTAAGATGCATGGTAAGACTTCCATACCTGCACGAATGCACCAACTTGAATAGTACAAATCAACACGTCTAGGTTTGTCGCGCCTTGGCACAGAAGAGCAAGGTACTCCCTGAAACATGTAAAATATGCCAACGGGTTATTTCCTGGATTACAAACTTTAAAAATATAAAATAATAATAATAAATACTACATGATGAACATTAGCTCTAAATTTATACTGAAAACATGCAGAACCAGCTCAAAACAAGCACTTGCAGCAATGACTAATTGTATACTATGGACAATAAGGGGAAAGACTAGTTTCCCCTGGTAATCTCTGCTTACACACAAAATAAACTCAAATTGCTTGAGAAATGGAAGAACTGCAATATCTCTTGAGACATTTTCAAATCCACAAATGCTATACTACTAAACTATTTAGAGTCAGAAATTACCATATTGAATGGAAATCCACATATATCTTAGTACTTCAACTATTCATAACTACAAAACCTTTACATACCAAATCTAACCAAGCTTATACATTTTAGTTATCATTAATTCACAATGGACATGTAGCCTTGGCAAGAAAACAATGAAATTGGAACCTAAAGGAATCGTTTTCATATTTTTTTTCCCTCCAAAATAGGCTACAACAGATTCTCTATGTGACTAAATAGAAAATTTATCTGTGAGGTTCCTCTTCATACCTTTGTTACACAGTAGTATGACCGTCCTGATTCCCAAATGCGGCGCCCTATCAAGTATTCTCTGTCGCTACAAAAGAATGGGAACTGTACCCAAAACAAAGAAAGAAAAAAACAATGTAAGTCATAAGTCAATGCAACCAGGACAATTCAATAAGCAAAGAGAAAAAAACAAGTAAACACTATTCTCACCTTGCGCACCCCAGTGCACTAACATGGTTCCAGTAGTGGGGCATTCTTCTAAAGTAGAAGCATATATAAGCATGTCATCCCACTTCGATCGAAACTCATCATCCCAAAAGAAATCCCTCAGTTGTTCTGGTGTAGCATCCTCATATATAGTACTACTGCGGTATTGTGGAGGTCCAGTCTAGAACACACAAATGAAACCCAGTCAGTTAACCTCACCAACCAGTACATATAAGCAAACAAGACCATGTATCTGACAGCCACAGTTAGTTGTATCAGAAACTAAATGAGAAGATTGGAAGACCTCAATTATCCAATAAAGCGAAAAGTAAAGATAGCTACCTCGGGATCTCTACGCCAAGCTTGATAGCGCATGGTTGGGGTGGACCGATCCATCATATGAATCCAAGCAGGACCTCCATCTTTCTCCTCAACCAGCTGACATATGTGCCGTAAATCCTGATTGGTCACACGACCGGATTTTTCTCTTTCCTTCTGTGAGGAACTGCCATAGCATAAGATTTACTCATTAAGCTGAAGCTCTTAGAAGTTAAAAATGACCCAAATCCCAAATTTAACACATTAACCACTTAGGAAAGTTGTGAATTGAACACATTAAACACCAAACTACGAAAAACTTTGGTAAACCCAAGTTGTGAAATTGGTCAAAATACATGGGAAAGTCAACAAACCTGAAATCAGGATTGGTGGTAGGTGGCATGGAAAGAGCCTCCTTTTGATTCCTATCATCGGCGGCCCAAGGAAGGTAACTGGGCAGCAGAAATCTCAATGAACTCAAGCTGGGAATAGGACCAAAACACGTGGATGATGTCTGTGACGATGAGGAAGACTCCTTTTGTTTGGAGATTGGGCAATCCAACAAGTCTCTGCCAACCAAGCTCGCCCATTTTGGCTTCCATGCCCACCCAACAAAAACCCCAACAATCACAGCAATCCAAAGAGGGGTTATGAACATCATAAGCTCGCCCAAGACTTCAACAATTGTGGGTCTCCGAAAAATCTCCAGAAAAGCCGAAACCAAAGCCATTCTCGACCAGAAACCCAATATCCAAAAAAAACCCAGAAATTGAAAAAAAGAAAAAAGAGAAAAACCCTCGATTGAATCGGATATTGGTATGCGTTAAGCACAGCGATTACTCGAGGGTTTCAGAGAGGAAGAGAGAAAGAAAGAAGATAACTGATAACAAAACCCCAAGACCCAACAAGGAGAAAGAAAGATAATAGAAATATAAATAAAGAAAATATAATAATAAACTAAAGGGATAGGAGGAGGAGGAGGAGGAAGCGGAGAACGATGAGATATAGATATGGTTATTGCAGGGATTGAGCAGTGGAAGAAGAAGACAAAGGAAAGCTGCGAGCTTTGGATAAGATTTCTGAGATAAGAGGCAGAGAGATGCGTTACCGAGATTACCACAGGACCAGCCACAGAGAGAGGCTTGTTTTCTTATGGTTTTGGTGTTGTTTTTTGGCCAATGGCTTCGACCAAAATGTCTAATTTTGGGGTTTTTGAGGGTAAACAATAAAAAGAAGAGCCAAAGGGAAGGCCTCTCTGACTCTTCTGAGTAAGTGAGTTTGAGTGAATGTGAAAAAAATTTGGCTGTGCTTTGAGAAATCTGTGTTGGTGTTTATTAATGCATGGGTTGGAGATGCCTGTTGTGTTCAATTGGGTAATGCCCCCAATCCATCTTTATATACTCGGTTTGGCTTTTTCTATGGTTGCCGCGTTTTCTCGTTTATCACGTTCTCTGACTTGGATTTTTCTATTCTCCATTCTTCTTTGTTACTCGTGTTGGCTAAGTAGAAACCATGTGTAATTTGTTTCTTTTTATTTTTTCCCCCCTTTTCTTTTGTCCAATTTTATTTTCATTTTTAAAATTACTCGCGAATGTGCGGCTAACAATGCATCAACACTCACAATTTTCGTACCCACGTGTGTGGCTAAGTGTATCAAAATTCTTAGATTTTGAGATTGAGAATCTGGGATCCATCATGATAATGCTACTATTTAGGCCCTTATCTATATATTGTTATTGTCCGGTTCAAGATTAGACAATAGATTCTATCTTTGATTCTATTAGGTAATAATCATCGGCAGTTATTTTAGTTGTAAATTATCATCCTAAACTTAAAATGCATCATCACCTCACATTAGTTATCTTATACGTACATTTGAATTTATACTCATAACAACTCTTATCTACTAATCAAATGATAAATGTAGGTTAGGGTTGGTCTCTGATTAGGTTTAAACAGAACAAATACAAACGAACATAATCCAAACAAAAAACGATGTCCTCTCTAGTTAAGAACTTAGTAGAGTAGCAAGTAAGCCCATTGAAACAAAAGTGCTACCCGCAAAGGGACAAGGAACACTTAATTTTTCTTTTATTTTTTAGGTTAGGAGCACTAATTATTTGTGGTAGATAGAACGAGGAACACTAATCAATATTTTAGGTTAGAAGACTAATGATTTGCGGTAGATAGAATGTGCCTAGTTATTATTCTTCGTTCTAATTATAAAAGCAGAAAATAAACGTCTAAAAGAGAAGCTAGTGTGGACCATTTTGATGGATGGCTTAGACACCGTTGGATATGAAATAAAGCAGCATTCAAGCATTTGAATTTTGACTGATGCATTCTTTGGATTGATCAAACGGACGCGTCTAAACCATGCTGCAACTTTCTGACTAGCAATCGAAAATTGACCTCAATACTTATTTAAGATGGTGGAGTATTGCAATTACCCCAATGGACATACACAAACTTGCCTATAGTCTCAGTGGAATGAGGGTAAGATGGTCAATTCATATACCATATTGTTAGGTCAAATTGAATGGATGATTTCAACAATTTGGCCTAAGCCTAATATAATTCAATTAAATCACAACTGGATTGTTGCCATAATAAGAAACATAATATGACTGTTTAATATTAAATTATATATCTTTGAGATATGACTTGCGTTATTCATCTATATTATAACACTTGAATTAACAACATTTCGTAACCGTGTGACAACCATTATTTAAAAATTCTACATAATAACATGCATGGTCTTCCCTAAGATTTTGTTCTCATTTGCCAAACTTTTGACCATTTTGCAATATGGGTAATGTGTAGTAATTTTTTCGCTACGTAGAATTCAAAAACACATAATCAACCTTAATATAGTCAAATTACACCATATAATTCAACCTTAACTTAGTCAAATTACAAATCACAGAGTAACAATGAGCATGTGAACAGAACAGGGTTTTGTAGGTATAGGTCAATGGAGCAAAGTTGCTTGAAATATTGTCCAAAGATTTTGGCTATAAGAACACAATAATACAATATCATGCTGAAATGAAACCGACCACACTCGATCACGATCACGTATGGCATGTTTTCGTCATGTAACTTATTTTATTTGGCGAGTAGGTTTTTTTAGTGGGACACTTCAAGGTGTGTAGTGGATCGCCTTTTTGACCTCCGACTTATATATTTTTAGCTCCTTGAGCTCCATGATGGTTATGTTTGAAGAATAGACAAGTCTTTTTAGTTAATTACAATTATTCTCATATTACTCTAGTACAAACCTAGATATAACTCGAAGAATGCAAACAACTAATTAAGGGTTTGTTTGAGACTTTTCTTGAAGTATTAAAATCATTTCTTTTACAATTAAGAAGTTTCTGATCGTTTTGGCAGAAAGACTTAAAGTGCTTCTTGAGTTATAAAAGCGTTTTTTTCTAAGAGAAAGCACACTTGAATTTTTAATTAAAGTTTCAACTTGTTTCTAATAAAAACACTCATAAAGTGCTTCATAGCTACAAAAACAATCTCAAACGAACTCTAAGGGGTTGTTTGGTATTAGATTTGAATACAACTTTTTAAACTCAAAAACAGAATTTGAGTTCAAAGCTCAAAAGATATGTTTGGTACACCTAGTTTTGAAAACCTAAACTCAAAAACACCTAAGTACTTAAAAACAAAAAGGAAAAAAAAATTATGTTCTTTTAGAATTTTTTTTCTTTTCAAAACTGTTTTCGAGTTGCATACTAAACAAGTTTTTGAATTTTAAAACATAAATTTTATAACTCTTTATTTTTAAAGTTTTTGAGTTCCCTACTTGAATAAGATACCAAACACCTTCTTAAATTGTTCGAGAAGAAAGAACATGTATACCTTTCCATTAACTCACTCAACATGCTCAAAGTGTCTATTTTTGGACCCCCATTACTTAGAAACTAGGGTTTTAAAACCCCGAACTTATGATGTGAATCCAAAGTTAGACCACTTTATACTTGAGGAGGAGGATCATTTGGTGTACTTGACTAAATTACCAAGCTAACAGTGATATGATGGTCCATCAGAATCATTTTACACTACATAAGATTTGGGGAATCCCATCGGATGTGATAGTTGATCTGCCGCAAATGTATTTCGGCTGCTACAGGCACCGACCCCAACCTTCGAACCACACACACTCCCTTCCCCATCCAATTTAACCTCAGCAATAATTACTTCATTCAAATAGATTTGAAGAGAAATTTCTCCTTTCAAACATTTTTTTTGTGCTGTGGAAATTTAAATTATTGAGGCATTGAGTACATGTTTGTTTGAATAGGTTGTTTGAAATTGATATCCCAACAACCGAATGTTAGATAAGATGGGATTACTCAATGTTTGAAACTTTAAATAATTATACACACAAGGAATGCAACATCAGGTGCTCCACAGTTTACACGCACAGGGCAAAAGAAAAGGGTGATTTACTCGTGTAGGTTTGAATTTCATGCTTGAGCACCAATGTGATTTGACTAGTCTTTATTGTTGAGGCACAAAGTCCAGGAGCTTGTTATTGCCATAATTGATGAAGCCTAGGAGAAAATTTTGATGTCTACTTAGGATGTTACGTTGATGATATCTCAAACCAATCTCACACTATCAATTGACAAAAACTAAAATGCATATTAATGCGTGATTGGCTTGAGATACTGTCAACCGACATCTGAATAGAGTGAACTTATTGTTGGGCTCGGACTAGTTGCTTTTGCTTTACATAAAAAGAGGTATTTTGTAAGACTTTTTGGGGCCAAATGAGCCAACACACCTTATGGCGAGGCCTGTTTAAAGAGTAATTAATAGTATCAAACTTGGATTCTTCATCTATCCCGACGAAGATTATATGTGCAACGATTAAATTAATGATATACCAACTGTCCCGCGGCATAAATAATTAGCAAAAATGGGGCAGATGGTGTGTTTAACCAATTTTCTGTTAATGCACACACATTTACATTACAATCAAAGTGAGGACAAGTTTTAGAAACTAGTGTGCCAAATGGCTTCATCACCCTCCCCACATCGCTGGTGCACCTCCTCCATTCTCTCCACTGATTTGCATATGCCCTGCAGCTCCAGTCAAATGATGCAGCACAAGGGTTTTCTGCTTGAGCTTTCCACTCACATTCTAGAGATAAGAGATAGAGAGGGTTTAAACATACAGCAGAGAGTTTAGATATTGCTCTCAATAAACTACTAACTGATTCTAAAGAACTAACAGTTTAATTCACTGACATCATATTTCCCAGCACTTACCAGGAGGGAGTCCCACAGCAAAGGCTTCTTTCATCAATGTGCTCAACATCAAGACCAATAAACCAAGAACCCAAGAGACATCTCATTTGCATATCTGTGCAGTATGTGAGAGGGAAAAAAAAAAAAAAAAAAAAAAACAAACACTGACATTTTCAAGATACATACAAGAAACAAATGCAACAACTGTCTTGTGCGTATAAGAGAGGACTTACCTAGTACTGAAATGTAAGTTGCCAAATCTTTGGAAATTGCGATATTGACCCGTTGCATGACGAAACTACTTATTTCCCTTCTCTCTCCAAAATTTCCAATATCGGTTCATGATCTTGACCCCCTATCAGAAAAGGTACAGATGAAGATGATGAACAAATAAAAACCCGAGATGCAAAATATTTGGCTGCTTACTATTTGCAGGACAGGTCCAGACTTCATGCAACAATATATGTACGAGGTTTTGATCTAGCCGGGCCAAAGTAGAACCAACCATTCCTGTCAAATGATGAGGACTTGAAGTTAATTTTTTGCCCCCGAATTGCATCAATTTTTTGCCCCCAAATTTCCATAGCAGAAACAGCTGCATTAGAAAACACATACACTAACCAAGATTTATGTGCACATCATCATCAACTTTAATATAGAAGTCAGCATCCCACTTAGCAACAGCTGCCGCAAAATAGATTTGGGTTTTTGATGACAATTCGTGATATCCTTCTATATGGTTCTGCAGACATACAATGGTAACACTGCATAAGGTCCACAGAAGTGATTTCAACTTTGAACCAAAGGAGAACTTAAACTTAAAACAACTATAAAAAGCCCACCAAAGGGTTTAAGAATTTTGTTCCTTTGATTGGTTCCAAGGACAATATATCTGCATCAAGCTGCATGAGTATACAATACTGAATGGAGTTAACAGGTTACTTGGTCCTAGGCACTCAGTTACTTACCAGTCGCAAAAAATCCTTATGCTTATCATTCTTCCGCATCAATGGCACGATCCAACGCCACCTGGAGTTTGACTGAGGACAAAAAATGAAACCTAAATTTTGTCAAACTTTTCATCTGAAAAACCAGTTTCTTAAGTAGTCACTTACAATGGTGAAGCAAGTTACCTGGTGGTCCAATACCAAACCGCATTATAATTCCCTTTCTCTGTCCTAACTTCTCACTCGTCCTGGAAAAGTACCAAAAAACAAAAAAAAATAAAATTTCTTAGTAGCAGCTATAATTTTTTTTCAAGAGAATGGATACTGAGTTTTTGGATTTCCACCTTGGGATCCACGTTTCCCTGATTGACTCCCTTCGTTTCGACTGCTGAAGGCAGTCATGATCCCATGACAAAGAAAACCTTCTGGCGCTCTTTCAATGGCTCCCTTCCTGTTTTAGTAACCACGGAGATCCTTCACCATTGTCAGCTTTTGAAGCTCTAGCTGCCGCTGCTGAAACCTCCAATGAGGAGATTGTCTTATCTAATGCCTGGAAACATGTACACATAAATTTATCCATATGATGAACCAGCTTCAGTTATACAATAACATACCAAAAAATGTGTGTATAATTACAATATAAATATAATTAAGGACATGGGAAGCTACATGATCACATCATGTGTTTGTGAGACTTGAAAAAGGATGTCTCCCGCACGGTCAGCTGCCTCCTGTTGTAGCATAGATAAATTATTAATTTGTATTACCACAGAAATGGGGCTAATGAATATACGGATCTAGTAACTTGGACTTGCCTTCTTCTCACAATTAACATTGGGATGCAGAGCTCTTAATTGACGTTTCTCCAGTAATGAAGCTCCTCGTCAATTTTTGGATCAGGAACACCCATAACCTGCAAGATAAACATGAGCAACTGACCGATATTTATGTAGAAAAGAAAAGTATGGACTAGACAATTATATTATCCTTGTCACATTAGTGGGATAGAGGATCACTAACAACCTCAATTCATACAAAAATAATATACAGAACATATACATGTACAAATATTGCAGAAACATAGTTTGCCTCTTAGCTAGCCACAAATTAATATCTCTTAGCCTTAGTTCTTGGTTTAAGCTCTTTACTTTTCCTTGAAATTTGTTCCTATTACATTCGTTTGAACATTCCTTTCCTCACATTCTACATATCAACTAACTCAACTATTATGGTAGTTTAACCCGAAGTATATTGGGTGCATATGGATTGAAGTTGTTTGTAATCTTCACGTCCCTTTTACAACACTAACAGAAACTATCATGACCAGAATTTACTCTTCAAGTAAAAAAGTTTCAGTACAATGTGAATCTATGATTGAAAACCAAGTCAACCAGTCTGAGTTCATCTAAACATCAAACTTATCAAGACTACGGTCAAAATTTAGGATAGCCAGCCTATCACCGATCATCCATTGCTAGAAATGCACATTGAACTTCTCAACTGGCGCCATTAATGTGTTTTACCACCCCATCAAGGAGTAACTTTCGAAAACCATTGCCAGTGCTGGTCTCAACTAACAATCGATCAGCAGCTCCCCAATTTCTACTCAACTAAAAAATCAACTTTCAAGCAAATGAGTCCCAATATCACGGGGAACTCATTATCCAATCAGACTAAACCTCTCAGACTCAGAGTCCAAAGCTAAACATCACTGAATCTACTGTGTACCACACTAAAAAGGAAGGAGATCGCAACAGGTATAATTCCCTTACAGTATAGTATCATATATCAACAAGAGACTTATTTGAATTTGCTAATTCAAGTATCTCTATATTAAGACAAGTTGTTTAGTACCCATTAGTCCAATGGTTACATAAAGACAGCAAAAGTGTAAACTTTGAATCCAGAAACCAGAGGATCATTTACAAACCACAGCAAAAGCGTCTAAAAAAAAGGGGTCAGTTGCAGCAAACAACATAAAGAATGAAAATTTCCAAACCCCACTAGAATGAGAAGCAAATCTAGAAAGCTCTTCAGCACAAGATCTTAGACTTTTGCAACGAGACACAGAGAGAGAGAGAGAGAGAGAGAGAGAACCTGTTGACAACAAGAACACCCAAGAAGAAGCTGGCAATGCAAAAGAGAGAGACCCATCTGGCGGAGACTCCATTGCCAACCTTGTGAGGTCTGCTCAGACCCATTGATTCAAAAAGGCTTCAGCTTTAAGGAAACCTTCCTTTTGCTCAGGTGGGGTTATGCTTATGGGCGTGGAGGGAGCGTCACAAGAAGATATAAGCAACCCCATTAGAGAGAGCACCAGTATCTGCTCAGACAACAACAAAATCATGTCCTGAAATAGAACCACATTTGAAAAGGAAAGCAAATTGATGGAGTTAAGGTAAGGCCACGCACCGTAAAGGTGATGTTTTTCACTTAATTTTCACCAGCTTTGCCTTTCTTAAATCAATCAAACTCCCACTCGGTGAGATGGGCTACCTAGTAATTATGTACGTTCCGTTTCTTTGTGTTCAGTAATCTGTCACGGGGAAACATTTAATATTTTGAAAATGACAAAAGCCATGGCAGCTTTAACTGCCAATAATACCCCTTTATTCTTAAGCAATGGATTGATCGGCATTCGCCACTTTCTGCTCGCCTGCCTCTCTGTTTTTCTATCGTTTTCTTTTTCTTTTTATTTCCTCCGTACTTGAGTTTTTTACATCAAGACTAAACTGGAACCTCATAGATTTATGTACTTGTGATGAAGCTATGTTATGTTATGTCGCCCACACACAAATAAATAAGTTTTGATTGTGGCATTGGTACGGTTAAAATTTTGAACATATACATGTGTGCAACTGATCTTAGCAAAATTGTAGTTGGGGAATGCTAGCAACTTTCTCTCTAACTTTCTTTTTTTTGCTTGACATGTGTCATTCTCCTTACACTTAAACAATGTCATTAATATATTATATAAGCTAACTTTTGCTTTCCGAGTTTACTCTTATTAAATGTATTCAATTTATCCAAAAAAAATCACAACTTTCTTACCATCTTATTATTTTTTTATTTAAGAAAATGTCTGCTTTTAAAAAAAAGGAGGAAATTGTTTTTTTTTTTTTTTTTTTCGGCAAGTTTATACTTTTTTTAATTTAAAAAAAAGGACATTTCCTCTTTTTTTTATTTTTTTATAAAGCAAACATTTTCTTTAAAAAAAAATAATTGAAGTAAAAAATTTTTAATAAGATGGTAAGAAAGTTGTGAATTTTTTTGGATAATTGAATACATTTAATAAGGGTAAACTTGGAAAGCAAAAGTTAACTTGCATAATATATTAAGACATTATTTTAAGTGAAAGGAGAATGACACATGTCAAGCAAAAAATAGAGAAGGTTCACAGGGAAGGTTAGAGAGAAGGTTGCTAGCATTCCTCATTGTAGCGATTTTTAGCACACACCTGATTATTCTTCTTGCTTGTATGGGTTGTTTTACTCCATCTTATCTTAGTTAATCCAGCCATAAATAGTGAATTAGTGACAGAGATCATGTTTATGTAACAAAAATCAAGTTGGGGTCTCGATGCACGTAGGGTACAGTGTTTCACGCAACAATCACGATGCATTTTAGGACTTATATTGAATTTCTTGGCAGTGATCAACATTTTTTTAACAATAATTTGGTACTGCATAAAAGTACAAAACTCACTTTTGACATGAAACAAAAATTTCAGGTAGATTTGGCCCTTGGAGTCGTTGGGACGGTTTGTCTAAATCAAATTCTATTGGAATGATCCAATCAAATTTGGACTCTAATAAATCATTGTTAATAATTGATTTAACAATGTTATTTGATCATTTTTTGCAACCAAATTGACATCGTTTTAGTTTTGTCTTCGTTTATTTTGTTACACCATATGACAAATACACGTCTTTCATTATGGAGATGTAAATCATACAACTGTGAATATGCACTCAGTTGAACTAGTTGACAAAGTTTTTTTAAATTATCCATTTACTTTGGCAGGCAACTTTTTCATTGCTCGAATTTTTGGCCTCCAACTAATTGATACATATATATAGTTATTCTCTCATCCGGATGTCCGCACGTTATTATCGTACGAATAATATTGTAAACATAAAGGAAAGCAAAGAGAGGTAATAAAAAATACATGGCGTCCGCAACACGATAATAATATCCGCATAGGAGAATTTATGTATATATATAGATCAAGAACTCTATTTAAGGATATATTATAGAATTTTTGTAGAATATTAATGTTATGATTTATCGGAAATTTGCATAAAAGCATTTTCATCGTTGACCTGCATGTTTGGGCATGTTCTGAAAGAAAACTTGATACTTTCTTGTTTTTTTTTCCTTGCCAATAAAAAACGCTTGATGCTTGATAGCTCAACATTGTATTCCTCTTTCTTATTTTCCTTTATGGTAAATTAATAAAGGGGCTTTTCTTATTAGGTTATCTGTCAAACATGAGGTGAGGTGGGTTAATAACACATGCAAACATGATTATACTTAATAATTATTATTTATGGACAAAATATTTTATAAGAAAGCATTGTATAAAACAGAGAACTTTTATTTTTCAACAACATTTCCAGCTAAAAAGAATGCCTTTATTGCAAATCACAAAATTCCATTTCAATGAATTATAGTACTACCCTCCAATTTAGGAGAAGACGTAAACACTTTATGAAGCCAAATAGGGCAGTTTGGTCCCATGCAAAAGCCATAAATTGGTACCCATTTTTTCTGTGGCAGAATTCAAAATATAAAAGCTGGAGAAAGGTAGGTTGGTGAATGGTGATAGAAAATATGACATGAAGCAGAGGATAATATAGTCCATTTTATGCCAGGGTGTCAAATCAGAGAGGCACAGAGAGATAGAGAAGAGACGACGTGAATACATGATGAAGTGAGGGACACACTTAATTTAGTATAGTGTGGTAGAGTAGTAGCAGGCAGGCTCCCTCCTCCCTTCACGGGTCCTGATTGCATGCCATGACCTCTCATTTTGACTGGTCCCCACTACCACTTTTTGTTTAAATGTTTTCAACTTTCTTTAGTTTCTGATATGAGTAATTTTAGCAGTTCATCAGATCAAGTGTTGTTCTGTTCTGTTTTGTTTTCTGGTTTTTAAATCCAATGCTGCAATTTGAGGCAAAAATAAGCTTTGAATATGTGAGCTCAAGTGTCTTAGTTGATTGTGTTTGAAGGTTGTTTTTCATGCTAATAGTTTTTTCATGTCTTCATAATGTCAGGCTCAGATTCTGCACAAGAAAATAAACAAGCCTATAAAGTTGTTGAACTTGTCAGTTGTGTTGGATGGATGTTCTTTTAATTAAGCTTTGTTTCTGTCACTACTTTCAGTTCTCAAATAACCAATTTGAGATCTGAAACTGGCGACACAAATTTGATGGTTGGCTACAAATCTTAGGCAGCCAAATGTTCACAGATGTTATAGAACAATAAGCAGCAGAAAACCAAATCATGTTTGTTTTGCTACCACTGTAGGATCAAATTCAAAACATATGCATCGTGAAACACAAACAGTTAAACAGTACTCAATGTAATAAGAACAGGATCAACAAGCTTGTTTTCATCTGTTCATAGATTTTGCAATCTTAATGGGTCCCATTGAACTAAATAGTTAGATATATAGTGGGGAACAGCCAATGATTCTTTTAGGTAAATCAGAATCAGAAATGCTGTAAATCCCCGTGAACGTTTGACCACCTGAACAAAATTATGCTCCAAAATAACTTTTGGGTTATTTTTCTGTACTGCAGTAGCTTTGTCACAGTAATTTGGTAATGTGGAGCTTCTTACAGATGATCATCTTCCTCCAATGGACAAGATAGATAAGTATGGTGGTTTAGGTTTGACACCTAGTCTCTGATTGTAGCAAAAGTCTGGTCATACTGAGGTTTTTTTTTATAAATCTTTTTTAATCATGGACTGATTGGCTATACTTAGAATTTAGAGCTCCTAATTTTATGTAGGGATTTGGAATTTGCCTGTTATAGTCAGTGGCGGTTCCAAGATTTGAAAGCTGATTGGGCAAAATTTATATACTAAACTCACCAGTAGAAGTGAGTTTTATGAATAAACATAAAAAAATACACATAGTGAGGGGGACGTAATGAGCCTTACTCTCAAATGCAGATATATCTACAAATACAAAAAAATATTTCTGAAACATCCGTCTTTGTGCGAGACAAAAAATAATAATAATAATAATAATAGGTGGGCTTGGGGTTTGTGTGAGACAAAAAAAAATTTAATAATCATAAGTAGTGTAGGTAATTTTATTTTATTTTTTAACAAAATGAGATAAGGAAAAAGAAGAAAAAAGAAGAGAGAGAGGAGAGAAAATAGAAGGAAAAGAACGGAAAAAAGAAAAGAAAAAGAGAGGAGAGACAAGAGAAGGAAAAGAAAGAAAAAAGAGGGAGAGGAGAGAGGGAAAAGAAATGAAGAGAGAGAGAAGAGGGAAGGAAAAGAAAGAAAAAAGGTTTCTACAGGTTTGTATATGCTTAATTTAAGAGGGGAACATATGTAGCGTAGATAAGAATTTTTTAACAAAAATTTGGGCCGGGTTTCTACAGGTTTGTTTATGCTTAATTTGAGTGGGGAACATATGTAGTGTAGATAAGAATTTTTTAACAAATTTGGGCCAGGCATGAGCCCAGCCTGCCATAGGCTAGAAACGCCACTGGCTATAGTTCAGCTGTTGAAAACAAATTCCTCATCAAACATGTATATGAAAAGGAAATGTCAATGTAGTTCTTTAAGATTGGTTGGTCAATGTGGTCTAGTCTAGTAGAAAAGGATATGGACTTGCATACTAGTGGTCTCATGTTCGAACGCCCATAACATTGTGTATGCGTGAGGAAAAATCCCTCCTTTATAATTTAAACTATCGTTTGTATTAAAAAAAATGTTCATTCGTCAGTTGGGAAAGCTCAACTTGATCTAAAATATATCATATATTCTAGTCAATTACAACCAAAAAAACCAGGAAACAAAAAGAGGCAAAAGGGCCGCATTATGTCATAATTTGGTCATCTAATTTTTTCTGTCAAAGATTATGTTTATGCACATTAGTGTGGCTGCGTGGAAGGCCAGTTCTTTTGAACGTGTCTTTCCTTTTTTAATGATTCATTGGTGAATGAGGGATCGATAT